GCTACCGAGGATTACGAACATGCGCTCGCCATAGGCCGGCACGCGTTAGAGGAAGATTGCATTCGGGGAAACGACAGGGCCGATATTTTGGGAACGATCGCCATCATGCTCCGTCTCCGAGCATCCATGGTCGAGTCTTCAGACTCCGGACGCATGCTTGATGAATCTGTCCAGCTCAGCCGAGAATCCTTTCGATGCGCACTTCCCCACGGCAATCCTCGCCGCTATGCGAGCAATAGGCTGATATACGCTTTGCGCGGAAGGTTTGTGCGAAACGGCGACCCGCGCGATCTTGAAGAGGCGATTGTAATAGGGCATCAGGTCATGGAAACGATTCCACGGGAAGATATCGGTCGACACGCAACGGCCGGTATGGTGGCAAATCTGCTCCTGGACCGTTTCATGGAGGCAAACGATGTAGAAGATCTCAACACGGCACTTTCCCTCGTTCACGACGCTATGACGGCTCTGTCCCCCTCATATATACACAGCGACGAATTCGCAAAAACGGCGATCTCATGTTTGACTATGCGATTCGAAGCTCGCCGAGATGTGAACGATCTCAAAGAAGCCATATCCTTTGCGGAGAAGTTGCACGACTCTTTGCCCGAGGGGCACGTGTCCAAGCTCGATTCAGTCCTAAGATTGGCGCGAGCACTCCTCCTGCGCGGGCGTCACAACAGGGACCTCACCGACATCGATCGAGCTGCGGACAAGATAGAATCTGTTGTGAATGTATCCTCGCACCGGGTGGAAACTCGTGAAGTCTTTCGCGTCCTTGCTGCATGCCATCTGACGAAGTTTCGCCTCGCCTGCAGCAATGCTGACGTTGTGCAAGCACGAGATATAATCAAAGGACTGTTGAAGACCGTGCCTGTAGGTCATAGAGGGCGGTACCAGTGTCTTTTAGATGCTGCGGAACTATACATGGAGCATGGCACGCCGTTTCAAAATTTGTCCACAGCATTGACGTACCTTGAGAAAGCCATGACGGACGATACCAAGGACGTGCGTTCACGAATCAACGATATCGCCCAGTTTCTTGAAACCATTGCAGTGTACCAACCAGAACTTCATGCTTCCCCCCACCCGGTGCCATCACAGCTTCTGACCATATATACCCGGGTTGTCGCACTTCTTCCCCGAGTCGCATTCTTTGGTCTCTATCCGCACTCCCGCTTACAATCATTGGCCAAGGGTCAGAGCGTCGCTTTATGTGGCGCATCACACGCGCTCAATATGTCTCTCCCCGAGAAGGCGCTCGAGATTCTGGAGCAAGGACGGGTGAACTTTTGGACGCATACCCTTCGTTTACGATGCCCGTTCGACGACGTCCCCGAAGCTCTGCACGTCCAATTGTTATCTCTTGCTCGACAGCTTGAACGAGTTCCAGACGCGGATGCCGTCCATAGCCAGCAAGCCATAGAAGCACAGATAGCGCGCAGGAGGCAGCAAAGCGAACGATTCGAATCGCTTCTGAGGGAGGTGCGCCGCTTACCGCGTCTGGAACGATTTTTGCTTCACGACGAGTTCTCGACGTTGTCCAAAGCCGCGGAGAGAGGTCCCGTCGTGGTCCTGGTTTCCAGCTCCTTGGCCTGTCACGCGATCATCCTCAAACCGTCCGGCGATATTGCCAGCATTCCTCTTCGCGCAGTTACAGACTCGTGGATTCTCGAATCGGGCATCGCGTGGCGGTCAGCCGCGGAGAGAGCGCGATCGCTCATGAGAGACCGTCTGCACATAAAAGTGAAGAAGGCGCCGGGTAGTTCCTCGAGAGCGCAGGCTGAGGGCATTCTTCGAAGGATATGGGTGAACGTAGTGGAACCAGTGATCAACGCGTTGAAACTCGAGGCACGTACTCATATTTACTGGATAAGAGCGTAGAACCTGATATAGCCCGTCTAGCCATCAGCCGGTCGAATTCGGCCTCGTGTATGGTGGTGTCCGACGGGGGGATTCGCACATCTACCTATCCATGCTGCTGGTGCAGATGGCCACTGCTGCTCCGATTATATGGTGTCATCGTACACACCAGCCCTCGGAGCTCTTCTTTGGGCGAGAGAGTCGCTCACAACCGTAAGAAAGCGGGAGGTTCGGGCTTTGGTTGCCGCGGTGCCTGAACCTTTCAGAGAGGAATTCGGTGAACTACCGTATGCGCGCGAGGAGATCAGCACTGTGATCTCTGCCCTACCAGACGGTGCGGCGATGGCGCTCCTACGTCACGACGATGCCACAACGGATCGAAATGGTGGAATACGAGCAGCGGAACTCCTAGAGAAGCTTCCCGATGCGACGATCCTGCATTTGGCGTGCCACGGCTTCCAGGATCCCGTAAATCCCCTTCAGAGCGGTTTTGCGATGCGCGATGAGATGCTCACAATCGAAAAATTGATGCCGATGCCCCTTCCGCACGCGTTTTTCGCGTACTTAAGCGCTTGCGGCACTGCGAAAGGAGACAAAGTGGGTTTCGGCTGCCTGTACCGAGTGTTATTGATCCATTTAAATGTTGCATGAAGGATCAACCTGACCAAGCGGTGCATCTCGCTGCCGTCATGTTGTTCGCCGGCTTCAAAAGCGTTATCGCTACTCTTTGGTCAGTGTCGCGAAAACCAATGAATAAACCAACGTTCAACTAACCGGTCGTACGATCAGGTCGATGCAAGACGTCGATGGTCCTATTATTGCAAAGTCAGTATACAGAGATATATTTGCCAGCGAGTCCGAATATCTCGATCCGGACGACGTAGCCTACGCTCTCGATGCTGCCGTTCAACAATTTCGCCAGGCCTTCCCTGATCCGATGCGCTGGGCTCCGTATATCCATTTAGGGATTTGAGCAGTTGAATTTATGGTCACTGTGGGAGTCGTTCATAGCTAGCTTCAAGTTCTTCTGTGCGCTCCGTGTATCGCCCGAAAAAGAAAAGTACATGGTCCGTGATTTTCGGAACCATGCCGCCGCCCTATCCGGCCAGTCCCGAAGTATGCACCATGAAGGCCTGCCCTGAAGGCAGGCTCCTGCCTTCGTCCGCAATGCATCTCCGTCACGGACACAAACTCAGAGTTAATTCAAGGTCAGGGTTTTACCTCTGGTCATCCTTCCCCCACATCTGAACAGTTACATCACGCTTTGCTATAGTTATCCGCCAACGAGCGCAGCCCAAGCTTGATTCATGGCGGCAGTACAAGTGGCACATGATAGGAGAGCGCGCTCCAGCTGACCGGTCGGGGCGGCGACGAGACCCCTCGCCCAAAGCCAAATATCTCCGCTGCGCTTGACCCGTTTGCCGTCTGAGCCCGTCATCGTCATCCGACCCACCTCCCCTTCGAGCTCATAAACGAGGCTCCATCCACACCTCTCGCCAAAGATGAAACTCCTCGACCTCAACGACGACGCGCTCTACCTCGTCCTCGACCTCCTCCGTCAACCTGAGCTGCGCAACCTCGCAGCGACATGCAATGCGGCGCACGACCTCGCGTCTCCCTACGTCTACCGTCGCGTTAAGCTCGACGGCATCCGCAAGCTGCTCACTTTCAACGACTTCATCCATTCCGCGGGCGGCGCGCGGTGGCGGCATACGATACGGTCGCTCACGGTCGACGTCCGGCGTGACTTCTGGAGCAAAGACATCGACATATACCACAACACCCAGGCGCTCGCGCGGATCCTGCGCTCCGCGCCCAACCTCGTCCACCTCGACCTCTTCGAAGAAGGCACCTGGCTCACGAACGCGCTCTACCTGGCCGACGCACTGGTCCACGGCATGCCCAACCTGATTTCCCTCTCGCTGTCCGTCAGCGAAGCAGCGCTGCGTCTTCTGCACCGCCTGCGCCAGCCTCTGCGCCGCGTGCGGCTCGACGAGCGCACCCCTTGGATCCCGCCCCGGACCCCGAGCTCGGACGCGCGCACGCTAATCGAGCTCGCCTGCCTATCTTCCACCCTGACCGCAATCACGATCGACCTCTCGTGTTTGACCTGTTCACCTCTTCCCACTTTCCCGCACGTCAGGTCGCTCTCCGTCAGCGCCAAGTTTCCGCACACGTCGGTCGACTGGACGCTCGTCCGTCGCGCCTTTCCTGATTTGCGCGAGCTGGCGGTGGAAGGGTATCACCCGACGAGGGCTAGCGAACTCGAGGAACATCTGCAACAGCAACAGCTTTCTCAGGATTCGAGTCAGATCCCCTGGCTCATGGTCTTCCAGGGGAGCTGGGAGGGATTTACCCAAATCCGAGGCCTCGGCCATATCGAGGAGCTGCACCTCACCACCGTCCCGTCCTCGGATGCCTTGGTGGAGGCGATGGAGAAGTTGTCACCGACGCTGTTATCGCTCGACGCCCCGTTACTCGAATGGCCCAAGGACACCCTTTCCAAGCTGATCGACGCTGTTCCGACCCTCAAATGCGTGTGCGTCGACACACTGGCGGAGAAGAATCACGACTCCCTGGTATGTCCCTGTTACATCTCTCCCCAGGCCTAGATCATGGTCTGATCCGAACGTCATCAGGTACAAGAACTTGACCTCCTCCGGGACACGGACGTTGCCTTGCTGCACGTCCAGTGCTCGAAATCGAGATGGGAAGCCGCGGTCGCGAGCAGTTATCCCGACGCGGTCGACGCTTTCGAATGCTATGCGGCCACGGTCCGTCGCAGCGTGCCCAGGCTCCGCCGCCTGGCGCTCTCCATCGAAGGCCTGGACAAACACGGCCCCGTCGCATGGCAATCGGATCCGGATTCGGAGGTCCGCAGACCGAGTTCAGCTGCCAGCTTTCGCAGAATTCCCGATAAGGAAGGTCAGGCGTGGCGAGCAGACCTGGTGAGGAGATTCCGGTCCCTTTCTTGGTTTCAGAATGTGCTTCAGCTGTGATCTCTGCGATTATGATAGATGCAACAGTTCTCGCCCCTCGCCCAGCGGCATACCCAACATCTGGAGCTATTTCTTGGTCCGCGTCGTCCCAGCACCGGCGCATAATTCGCATTTCGTCACTGCTCGCGTTCCCGTCAGAAGTCTCTCAAGCGGGGCGTACCAAACAGCCTGCGGGTTCGTGTAAGTTCAGCAACTGATGTAATTGTACTCATAACCTTGCCGTGTATACTTTAACGACTTCCATCTGTGCTTTCATAGCATCTATAGTTGTGCAAGCATAACTCAATGTATACTATAACCACCCTGACTAATCCCTGCAGGTGTCCTAGCCGTAGGCCTCGAAGTGAAATGACGTATAGATGGTCGCAACCAGATAAGCGGTACCACCGAGTTGCATCTTCTTCTAATCCTTTTCGTCGAACTCGTGGTCCTCCGCAGACCAGTACGCACTATACGTAAAACCGATTACCATCTGTCGACTAGGTGAGCGAAGATAGTGGAATGACGTACGGAGGCAGATTCATCGCGGCCGCTGGCTGATATTGCTGCATCGGCTGCGTTTGCGGCACGTATCCGGACACGATGTTGATGGGTATATCGAGCTTCAAGTCGTTACCGATGCCAGGGAACGGGACGCATACATGCAAGGTATGCTGATCAGACAACGCATCGTCAATCACCTAGAGTAACGTCCATGCCGAGAGAAAGGGGGTCCCCTACCGTCGTCGTGATGTGCTCCGTCTGGAAGTTGGGTGGAAACGTGAACTGGACGACCGTCTCGAAATGCGTCGCGCGCGTGCAGACCCGCTTCTCGTCCCCTCCCTCCTTGTCGCGGTGGTGGAAGAGCGAGCGGTGATGATGCTCCTCTTTCGGAGCCGCGGCCCAGATCGGTGGGTCCTGCCAGCAGCGCACGCTGCCCCCGCTCGGGTCGTCCTCCCCGAACCCGGCCAAGTTGTCGAACTCGTCCGAGACCGTCTCGCGCGTGGTGCCGAGGACGTGTCTCGCGGCGAGCTGGGTGTGGCGGTCGACGCGGAACGTGATCAAGGCGGGAGCCGTGGGCGGGGCGGGAAAGAGCGCCTTGTCGTCGTTCTCGTCCGGAATGTCGTCTTGCTTGAGCGGCTTGGTGGTCGTCACGACGTCGAGGCGGACGGGGATGGGCGTGCCGTACGGGAAGGCAGCGATGTCCGGCAGGCGGAGCTGTATATGAGGTAGCCTCAGCCCCGAGAGTATCTAACGGGGGGCACGGAGGAAAACGTTACCTCAACTCGGACTTGCGAGTGGTCTCCCCATATACCCTGGCGTATGGAATCCATATGCGTATGCGCCTTCCACGGCATGTTGGGGCCCCAGCCGCTGAGCAGGCCCTGACGTATCTGCACGTTCGCGGGCCATCCGCCGGGTATGAGCGCGATGACGGATCGAATGCGGCGGTTGAAGTGCAAGCCGGGCCTCTCGCCGACGACCTCGAGGTAGTACGTGATAGTGCCCTGCTTGTCGAAGCGCATGACGTGGTACGACGGCGGGAGGTTGGGCAGGAGCTGGAAGTTGAACGGGAGGGTTATCGTGCCGCTCCCAGGCTGGCCGCGCTGCCATAGAGGTATGTCCGTGTTGAGCACGGACGTGTTCGAGCGGTAGACTCTCGTCTCCTGGCCGATCGTACGCCTAATCATACTGGTCCATGACAAGCACAATGTCAGCGACGAAGAGACGTGGGACAACGCTCGGAGGACGACAGCTCACGTCTGGATCGAACCCCTGAACTTGACGATGATGTTCTCGATGTCATCCTCCTGCGCGGCCGCGAGATCGAGGTTGACGGAGCCGGACAGCACCTCTCCTGCGATGTGCAAACGCTGGGGGAAGTTGAGGGAGATCGCGGAGGACATGGTCGATGGATGTGTCTACCTCCCCCGGAGACGACCTCGTATTAAACGGTGGGCAGAACTACTGCATGACTGCGTCGGCGTTGATCGCCAAACCAGGACCTGTCCATTGCGTGGAACCCTTGTCTTCGGGCGTGCGAATTATGCGAATATCATGATGGGTGGTGTAAGCGGGGGCTGCGCGAACGATGCGCTCGTCGCGTCTACCAGGCGCCTACCCGTCGGGCGGCAGGGCCGCACGGGATTTTGCGTGCAATGCTGTAACGTGTGATAACGTGTGATGCATTGCTGTGTTACTTAGCACTTGATGAGGAGGTTCACAAAGGCTAGTTGAACGACGAGCGGGCGGAGCGAAGGGTGTTCCGGATGAGAACGTGTACACTGTGATCAAAGCGCCGTAGCCACCACCGTCTCACGCTCGATTCGAACTTAGAAAACCAGTCGTTTTCTATCCCTTATGGACGCAATCTCCGATTCCCTGGATGGGAAGAATTGGGGGTATACAACCAGTTACCATGGCATTGACCCAATACCAAAACACCACCATCACTGATCAGCCGCGCCAAAGGATATCTGGCTTTGCAAGGCGTTGTTTCGCAAGATGCCAGAGTGATCACCCGGGAGTATTGAATCTCGCCACCCGTGCGTGGATACCCGCTTTTGCCAGGTCGAAAGTAACCGCAACTACTCCCGATAGATGTGCTGAAGAGGGCAAGAGCATAACTGCGAAGGTACCCGCAAGAATCGCGGTTACCGTCCACTAGCTCTTGTCGTCCGCGCCAAAATCATGGTGCTCAGCCGTCCAGTACGCACTGTTCAGCATAACATATCAATCCTTTCGCTCGCTAGTATATGCAGTGAAATGAACACGTACGGAGGCAAGTCCATCGTCAGCGCCGTCTCGAAGTCCGGTGGTGAGTCGTGCCTGTCTTCATCCTCAGTGGGGCGGTCCGGCTCCCTTGTGTCTGGACGTGGAACATTTGCCGGTGATGGAATCGACGGAGGCGGAACCCCCGAGACGATACTGATAGGAATGTCGCACTTCAGATCGTTGCCGATACCAGGGAACGGGACGCATAGATGGAGTGTATGCTAAGCCAAAAAAAGATTCAGCCAGCTGTTCAGGCACGGGATGCGTGAAACGAGCTCACCGACGTCGTGATGATGTCGGTTTGAAACGAAGGAGAACACTTCAGGTCGATGATCGTCTCGAAGTGCGTCGTACGCGTGCAGATCCGCCGCTCTTCGCCCTCTTTCTCTCGCCCGAAGAGTTTCTTGCGCTTGGGCTCCAACGTCGTGGTCGTCCATATCGGCTTTTCTTGCCAATATCGAACGTGAGGGCCATACGGGCCTGGCAGTCCAAACCCGCCGATCGGACCGCCGTGGTCGATGATCGTGTCCGTGATGGTCCGACTGAGCCCGCTTTTCATTTTCGCCGTCATATCGACGCGGAGGGTAACCGAGCTAGGGTCGATCGGAGGAGCGGGGAACAACGGCTTATCATCTCCTTCGTCAGGTACGTCCGACGGTTTCAGTGGTTTGGTCACGGTGGTGACGTCCAAGTGGACGCGTATGGGCGTTCCGAAAGGGAAAGCGGGGATGTCTGGTAAACGCAGCTACGAGATGAAATCAGCCTTGACGATGGAAAAAAAAGGGTGACCGGACAGTTACGTACGTTTGCGGTAACCTGCGAGTACTCCCCCCATATTCCCGTCCGTATGGAGTCCGAGAGGGTATGCGTCTTCCATCCGATATTGGACCCGTCCGGTGGTCCATCCATCAGGGCCTGGCGGAGCTGCACATACATCGGCCATCCCGCAGGTATGACGGCGATGACCGCGCGGACACGTCGGTTTAAGTGCAGTATTCCCTCCCGGGCACCGACGACCTCGATGAAGTACGTGACGTTCGCGCGCTTGCTCACGCGTTGAGCGTGGAACGAAGGCGGGAGGTCGGTTGGAAGCTGGAACTTGAATGGAAAGGTCAAAACATGGCTGCCTGGGGCTGGAAACGCTTGACCGCGCGTCCATAGGGGGATGTCTTCACGTATGAGAGGGATGTTGGCACGGTATGTACTTGTCGATTGACCTGAGCTACGTTCGGTATACCTGTCCACTGCACGTGAGTAAAGGCAGGTGTATCATAGGTCGAGGACGCGCACGTCTGAACCGCGCCCCTGAACTTAATCTTCACATGCTCGATGTCTTCTTCTTGCGCGTTCAGGACGTTGATATCAACGGTCCCAGTAAGTTGCTCGCCAGCTATCCGCACGCGCTTAGGAAAATTGAGTGTGATCGCGGAGGACATCGTGATGAGATAGAATGAGGGCCTCCTCAGACAAGCCGGGTATAAATGCAAGGAGATGCACTGCAGTCGGAGCAGCTCGTAGGCGAAACCTGTTCAGCCCGTGGATGCCGCACCTCCTTGGACTTCGAGAGCACGGACGCTTGACGAGGTGATGCCTGATGGCCGAAAGGGAGAAGCTGCGCCATCCATTCATCCGTTACTTTGCCAAGCCTGTGTGTTGCCTGGCTCAGAGGGGGGTGTATTCCTTGAACGTAAGTCAATGGCGGCTGTCGGCGGCGACCTCCTGCAATATCGTGGAATTTGGACCGGAGGACCAGGAGGCTCCGAACAACCAGACGACTGTCAGGCGTCAACAGTGCCGGTACCCACGTGGCGTTGGGAGGCGGTGAACTCACGCCGAGGGCTGCGGCAGCGTTTGCGGAAATTCTTCGAGCGATAGGTCGTTCATATGTATCGTGTAAATCGGCTCCTCGTAACATCGTATGTACGAGTAACGACTGGAAAGCGCAAAGGCGATCAAGTGAGCTATTCCTGGACCACACCCGAATCCTCTCCCTGCGGAAAAGCACCACAGACCCTCACATGAGAATACAATCGCTCCTTCTCGACTTCAGTGACCACCGTGATTTGAAGGAGGCCTTAGACTCTGAGCGTAACACAGGTTGTGAGCGCAAGATCCGAACGGCACCCTGGAAAGCTTCATCGACGCCATACATCGTCTTTGCGGATGCCTCCACGAAGGGACACCGACAACTTTCCGCCAACTGCTGCCCTTCTGCCTTCGACACTTCTCGGGCGTACGCACGGTCGCACTTGTTGCCGACGAGGATGCATACGGGCTGCAGAGAATTTCCGAGTTGGTCGCGGTATTTGCTCCCGGAACCTGTGCACCTCGTCGAATGATACGCGAGAGGTGACGTCGTAGACGAGAATGAATGCCTGGCCAAGGCTGAAACAGTCAGTACTCATGAGCACGGGCTTGCCTGAAGGCAAAAGACGGTCCACGTACTGAATCCACTTCTCCGTCTCTGGCATATCTTAGAGTGTATGTCAGCCGCTGTTCTGAACACTCAAAGTCGAGTTCCTTTCTCGTACTTTGTCCCGCTGTGTCGATCACCTGAACGAAACATGAGATCCTATCCACAGTTATCTTCTTCCAGTTGATTCCACGGTCCTCTGCCCCTGGATCGTGCGTCTATGGGTCCAGTCAGCTGCCAGCTGTACGCGCTTTGAAACAACTTACGTCTGCTCGAGATAACGTTGCGGGGGTGGTGAGTCAATACGCGAATGGTCGCGATTCGGTTCATGCGATGGTGGCACCTAAGAAACAATCGCGGACATACTAGAAGGACAAACCTGAGGATTCACCGGATGCTGATCACAAGCAACGGGGTGGATAACGTACGTTGGAAACGATCGTCGACTTGCCCACACCAGCAGGTCCTAGAACGACGATCACCCACGACTCAAAGCTGGTCGGACGGTCGCGTTTGGCTGGGTGACGCTCGGGGCCGCGGCGCTGGTGAGCGTATGCACCATCATTTGTCATGAAGCAAGTAGAAGTAGGAGTAGAGGTCTGTTGGGAAGACTCGCGTGTACGTGGCTTTCCGCATCGTATTTGTGTAGCTGGGTCCTCACTCGCCGTTCGCATGCCGCACCCCAGTGACTCGGTACGCGACCCCGACGCGATCTTCGATCAATTTGGGAGTTGAAGGTGCAAGGTGTGCATCTTTCTGGTCGCTGTGCTGCGGGAGCCTACGCCGCAAGTCGGGTGGCTGAACAGGCGTGATCGAGCTCGCCGACGACGTATACCCTATGCCGGGTCCATTCCGTAAAACAGATTGCGATGCAAACACTATATAGTACAATTGCTTGACGAAAATGCTTCCTTCTACATGTCCCTTCACGTCCGCTCACGCGCTCACGCCTCCTTCTTATCCACCGCGCTCTGCGCCTCCGCCGCCAGCGACCCCTTCGGCGGCCTATACCCCAAAATCTGCTGCTCCGCGCTCTGAATCGTCCTCGCCTCCTCCTTCGAAATGTGATCCAAGTCCACGCTCGTGTCGACGTTACCGCCCTCCAGCGCCCGCTCCGCCTCCGTCAACGCCGCGTCCACCACCGCCGCCTCCTGCAGCTCCTCCTTCGGCAAGCCCATATGGGCATCGGGATGCTTCGCGGCCGCAGATTGCGCCTCGGCCGCGAGCGTGCCCGGAGGCGGGCGGTACCCGAGCGCCTTGTGCTCCGCGCTCTGGATCGTCCGCGCGTCGTCCTCGCCAACGTTCTCCAGCCCCGGCGCGCGCTCGAGCTCGGTCGCGAGCGCGTCCACGTCGGCCACGGCGCGCAGTGCTTCCGCGGGCAGGCCGGTGCTCGCCGCGGGGTGCTTCGCGGCGGCGGATTGCGCTTCGGCGGCGAGCGAGCCGGGCGGGGGGCGGTAGCCGAGCGCCTTGTGTTCCTCGCTCTGGATCGTCCGCGCGTCCTTCTCGCCGACGCTGTCCAGGCCGACACCACCCACGCCTCCCGTCGCGGCGACCGTCTCTATCGCGGGCGTGCCGGCGACGGCCGGAGCGACTTCCACCTCGACGTCGATGGCGGGTCCGTGCTCGTCGCGCACGCGGAGCGCGTCTTCGCGGGCGGCTTCTGCGAGCTGCGATTTGGGTAGGCCGGCGGACGCGGTCGGGTGCTCGGCGGCGGCGGATTTGGCTGCGGCGGCGAGCGAGTCTTTGGGCGGACGGTACCCAAGGGCTTTGTGCTCGGCCGATTCTATCTCTGCGGCTTCTTTGGCGCCGACTTGCGAAAGGTCGACGTTGGCGCCCAACGTCGGTGCTGCGGGCTCACGCTCCTTTCTACAGGCAAATGCGGGTAAGGAATAAAAAATGTGCGTGTTAGGTCGCGTGAAAGGGATACGTACGCGATTCGCTGCGCGTCTTGACGCGCAATTTCGGCCAACTTCTCCTTCTCGAGGCCGAGCGCCTTGTCAGGGTGTTTGGCGGCTGCAGCTTGGGCTTCAGCGGCGATAGAACCTGGAGGTGGACGGAAGCCAAGCGCTTTATGTTCCGCGGACATCAAGACGCGGGCGTCGCCTGAAGGAGGACAGTATATTCAACAAGTCGCTCAAAAATAGCTGCAAAAAAAAAAAAAGAGTGGCATACCTTCGCCAACCTTCTCGAGGTCGATCCCGGCCTTCGCTTGCTGCGCGCCCGTCGACGTGCTCACGCGCTCAGACGTGATCTTCGCCGCGTCCGAGCGCGCAATCTCGCGCAGCACCTCCGGGTCGACGTCGAGGCGCGCGTCGGGGTGTCGCGCGGCGGCGGCCTGCGCCTGCGCCGCGAGCGAGTCGGGCGGCGGGCGGAAGCCGAGCGCCTTGTGCTCCGCGCTCATGAGCACCTTCGCCTCGTCCGCGCCGACCTTGTCGAGGTCGATCGCCTTGGTGGCGTCGATGATGCCCGCGACGGCTTGGGCGGCCTTTGCCGCTTCGATGCGCACCGCGTCGCTCGCGGCGGCGGATTGAAGCCGGACGTCGTTGTTCTCCGAGTGCGTGACCATGGTGCGAGTCGTGCGTGCGTTTGCTGCTGAGAGTCGTGAGGGTCGTGCAAGGGGATGGAGGTGGCGTGGATGTGGATGAGGATAAGGTGGGCGTTGGAGACGACGGGCGAGGATTATATACGACTGCGCAGACATTATGTGCGAATCACCCCCCGTCGAACCCCGGGGCCACGCATTTGAGCTCCACGAAGCGGCAACGTCATCGTGTTCGTCGGTTGCGGGAGCCACAAGCGGTTGTTAGCCGCAGCAACAGGATCTCCCCTGCTGCCAGCTGGCCTGGCAAAGCGAGAAGGGTGGAGCGCGAAGTGGGGTAGCCGGACACCGCCACCAGCGATATAAACGTCGCGTCTGACTCCCGATATGGTCGTCCTCGGTCTCCTTTTGGGATAACACGGAGCAGCGGCGGGTGGAGTGGCGCAGGGCAGGGAATGCAACCGAGTTGTCGCGTCGAAAACGGGGAAGGGGTCGGTCGAGTCGCACCCCGGCTTCACGAGCGCGGGAAGAGCGCGTAAACTCCCTTGGCCAATCACCGACGCCTCCCAGGCGACGCGTGACGTCAACACGCGTCCTTCGTCGCACTGCCACGGAATTTTCTTCGAGGCAATCGTTCGCTCGAAGGATGTCGACGGACTGGGGTCCAGGCCGCCGTCGTGGTTGATAACGATGGTCAAGGTTCTGAACTCACCCTCTCGTTCTTGTTCTTCGTCCTCCTTGACGACACCCTAGCCATACCAGCCTACACTGCCCGGTGAATGCACCTCGCTAGAACGAGTAGCGACGAGACTCTTGGCGGCAATGACCTCGAACGCGTACCGCCCGACCTCGAGTCGGCCGGCGGCCAGGACGACCACCACCTGAACGACGGCGAAACGCCTCTCCTCGGCCCATCGCCCACTCCGCTGCCCAAGCGGTCTCTCGCGGCGCTCTGTGCGATCCGGCTCGTGGACCCCATCGCGTTCACGGTCATCTTCCCCTTCATCAACGAGATGATCGAGTCGCTGCAGCTCACCCAGGACACGTCCAAAATCGTCTTTTACAGCGGCATGGTGGTACGTGCGCATACATGCACTCCCCTCCCGCATACATGCTAACCTATCCTTGATTTCTTTCCTTGTCTCGTCAGGAAAGCGCCTACGCCATCGCCGAGCTCTGCTCGATCTACCAGTGGGCCGCCCTTTCCGACCGCGTCGGTCGGAGGCCTGTCCTGTTCATCGGGACGCTGGGCGCAGGACTCGCGACGGTCCTGTTCAGCCTCTCCCGCAGCTTGAGCGGCCTTCTTCTCGCCCGCTGCCTCGGTGAGCCCCCATCTCCCCGCCGCTTCTCCCGCTTTCCCGAACCTTATAAGCCCGCACGTTCACGACTATATGCGCTGACATCGTCGCGTTGCTGCACAGGCGGCATATGCTCAGGCATCACAGCCGTCATCCAGTCCGTCCTCGGCGAGATGACCGACAGCTCGAACCAGGCGACCGCGTTCCCGATATTCCACCTCTTCTGGCCTCTCGGCGTGATCATCGGGTAAGTCGTGCACGACGAAATAAACCGCCCCAACACTAGACGGCGGCTCTTCTCCCCCTCGCCCTTCTTCTTCGAAGCATCGCCGCTAACCAAACCTCGCTCCATCCACAGACCCCTCATCGGAGGCTCACTGTCCAATATGGCCTCCAATGCGGGTCGATCCCCGTTCCTGAAGTCATACGTCCCGTTCCTGCTCACGTACCCGTACTTCCTCCCCTGCCTCGCGGCGGGCGCGATCTCGCTTCTCGCCGTCTGCTTGGGCTGGTACTGGCTCGAAGAGGTATCCTCATCCACTCTCTTCGCCTCACAGGGAAAATGCGTGGGCTGATCGTGCCCTTCCAGACTCTCCCGAGTAAACGCCGACCGGCTCCATCCGCTTTACGAAAGGTCAAGCTCAACCCGGGGAGAGCCTATGGCGCCGTGGCGCCCCCTTCTCCCCCGCCCGCGTCCTCCGCTCCGCACGGATTCCCCGGCGGTCCAGAAGATCGAGCTGCGAAGCCGCCCTCGGCATGGTCCCTGCTCGGTATCCCCGCCCTCCGCGCGCTCTGCTTATCCGGCGCCGCGCTCTCGTTCGCAGCGACAGCCTTCGACGTCGTTTTCGTCCTCTTCTGTTACACCCCCTTGCAGTCCGGCGGACTCGGCTTCAACGTCAGTCTTCCCCCCTTTTTTGTTTTATCCCCCCTCCCCGCCCCGGCTTTTCCTACCGTAACGGCGATTATGGGTTGTTGAATGCGATATCTTGACGTAGGCGTCGAAGATCGGGTACGCGCTCTCGTTTGCCGGCGCGGGGTCGATCGCGCTCCAGCTGCTCGCGATGCCCGTCCTGCTGCGCCGGTGCGACAACGCGCGGCTGTACCGAACCTGTCTAGCCGTGTGGCCGCTCACGTTCGTCGGGCTGCCTGTGCTTCGACGGGTCGTCGGAGGTGCGTTTCCGATCGGGCTCATGACTCTCCGGAATGGGGACCCTGAACATAAAACGCCCCCCCTTATGGATATATATCTATCCGTTATGCAGGCGCAGAAGAGAGGGACGCGCACGCGGGCGCGCTGCTGTGGCTCGGGCTCGGGCTCGTGCTCCTCCTCTCGCGCGTCGGCTGCCTCGCCTACTCGTAAGCACATCCCCTCCCCCCCTTCCTTCCCCAACGTCTCCACCACGCCGATATTGACCGCCCCGTGACGCAGGGTGAACATGGTCCTCGTGAAAGCGCACGCCGCGCCCTCCGCGCTCGGGCGCGCGAACGGGCTCGCGCAGGTCGCGCAGTGCCTCGCGCGCGCGGGCGCGCCCGCGTTCGCGAGCGCGGTGTATGCGGCGTCGGTCGGTGCGGGCCCGGGCCCGGGGCTGTGGGTCGGCGTTATGAGCGGGTTGGCGGCGCTGGGGTGGGCGTCGAGTCGCGGTGTGCGGGGGTGATGGATGGATGGAGGGTTGTGTTTTGTGTTTTGTTTCTTTTTGGCTCGGAGTTGGCTTGTCCTCGGTATAAGGCATCGATGCGAGGGTTTGGTTATGACCTGCGAACGTCACGCGAGGATTCGTTGCATGTATGTACATACATCGATGTAGCATATATGTATCTAAATAGCTTTTTTTGTTTTGTACGCGACGCTGTGATGGGTAGCGCTCGCCTCCAGATAGGTTACGAAAATGACCGTGATGTCCTTGTGTCCTCCCGTGGCTGCTCCGTGCCCGGTCTTCTGTGGTTGGTTACTGTCGACATCGTTGGACGAGGTGTGCGCTACTCTGAACAGCTTCATCGGAGAAGCTTCTCGCCTGCCGAGTTGGCGTCCATGCCCCTCCTCGCATCGTATTTCTGAACACTGCAAATCCCTGAGCTCCCATTGACGCTGATGCATAGTATGCGAGGACAGATTATCAGCGCCGGATCCGTGTCCACCGCTCGCGAAGGAGGAGAGGAAGGAGTCCTCGTCACCATACGCGCTCACGTGGTCGTGACAGTCCGTGATTGTTTCGGGACGCTGCCCTCTGCCACGTCCAACGTGGCGCAATCGCCTGGCTTCATCTTGGTGGAACCGTTGTCTCAAGTTGGGTCCACGCCCATGAAAAAGGCCAAACACACGTGAGATTCTCGGCAAATTATTTGGATAGCTTGAAACTCATATCCTTGGAGAATCTGCAGACCGGCATTAAACCCACCTTCTCGGGATAGCCACGTACAAACGCTGCCCGGTCATGAAGAGGAAGTGCTACAGATTGACCACGAAATCGAAAAACTGGTCAGGAGGCTGGTCCCTCTTCGTAGAAGGCGCAACGAACTGGTGCCTGTCTCTCGGCTTTCCACGGACGTGCTCTCCATCATCTTCCGCTACAGCGTAGCCGACCTAGCAAAGCCGTTTTCATTCCCTACCAGCCATGCCTTCTCCCAGGTATGCGGTCGCTGGCGGGACGTCGCGCTTGATTGCGCGAGCCTTTGGACGCTCATTCCCCGTAGCACGGGAGAGCTCACCGAGCTGTTCTTGTCGCGATCGAAGAAGCATGAACTGTTCTTCCTCGACAAAAGTGATGGCACCAACGCATGGAAGAGGCCCCCTGAGTCGGCGGTGCAAGCTGCTTGCTCGCAGCTGTATCGCATCCGGACCCTCGACCTGTCTCCTGGTCGCAAAAACCCCAAAACGGACAGATTCTACGAACTTCCTCTGCTAGTCTGGCCCGCCCCGCACCTCGACACGTGCTCGATAGACGGCACTGCATACTTCACGCATGCTGGTCCGGTAGCGCTCCCCCCAAAGTTTCTGGCACTGTCCGCGCCTCGACTACGCCACCTTTCCTTACGAGACGTAGGGATCAGCTGGAACACGCTACGCGTTCCCACCTTGGTTCAAGGTCTAACATCTCTCGAGCTGCGCGCTATATCCTCAGACATGTATCCACGCGGATTCCAGCTGGTGAGGGCCTTACAAGAGATGCCCGCCTTGCAGAAACTCGTCCTACACCAGAAACGCGCGCTCCGAGATCAATGGGACTCCACTTCCGTGGAGGACACGACACGCTCAAGCGCCGCCGTGTTGACCAAGTTGCACACTCTCGAACTTGATGGATGGAAGCAGCAGATCTGTGATTCGCTGCGCCATATTCGGTGCCCTGCTCTGGCTGCGCTGTCGGTCAAGTTCCAACTTCCGGAAGATCGCCCGGATCCCAGTTCCGTTGAAACTCTTCTCGGATGTCGACACTCGCGTTGGGACGATGGGGCATCTCCACGTTGCGTGGTATTCAGCTTCCATCACCATAACTGCACGTTTTCTGCATATCCGACTGAGGGTAACGACGAAAGGGCGTCCAAGGACGATGACGACCAACTGTTTCGATTCGCTGGGACTTCCACTGTCCTCGTCCCCGTCGTCCGACAAATGCGGCTCGATCTTGTCATATGCGCCCACATCACGCTCAATCACGATTTCTGGTACGGTCGCGAAAACGCGAACCGGCCGTCTATGGAGCCCGTGTTTGAGGTTCTGGCAGAAGTCTTCAAGCATCCCTGTTTGGAGGAGATCAGCTTTGAATTCGGAGGCCATCCGCTGGAAGACGGTCTCCTCCTGCATTGTGCGAGCCTGGCGAAAGAACTGTACGAGGCGAGGGGGACATTGCCGGAAACTATCACATTCCGCGATATCGGGTCCCAATTTAGGCGGAGGACGAGGAGATGGAAATGGGACTATAACACCTGGCTGGTGTTCGATGGGGAGTACATGTACGTGGAGTCGTGCACGGACGCGGACAAGTCGGATTCTTCATCGCTGAATCAAGAAACTTGAAGAATTCGGGCGAGATGTATATGGAACGCACGTTAGACCTAACAGATCCCTTTGGATTTGGACACGCCATTCTTGCATCACTTCGTACGGCATCCGTACATGCAACAACTCACCAGGGCCTCGCCTTTCTAGCCCTCCGAGAAGATATCTCGCGGCGTTGAAGTCAAGCGATAGCATCTAGTACTGCGGGCTTCCTTACAAGGTAAAGGGTCGGCCAACGGGAGCATCCGCGCAGGAATCCACGTCTCGTGGTCAGTACGAATCCGCTCGTCGCACTTCCTACGGCAGCGGCGAAGTCTGGAGTGACTCACCGCTGAACAGTGCTGCGCACATATATGGGCGCTAAACTCATGCAGCGCCTCGTGATACATGTTCGCCGCCTACGCGATATGAGAGCCCCTTGCTTCGATCCGGACGGACCCAGGGCGAGTCAAGCCGAAGCGATACGCAGAGAAGATATCGAACCAACATACAGCCGCATTTTTGATCGTCGTACCGATGCTCACATCTATCTGAGCTCCCCGCTGGATGGCTTACCCTTGCCTTGCTTTGACTCGACCTTGCTTGGCTCTTGACTACTATGTCTCACTTGATCAAGCCACGGGTAGGACCAAGATATGGGCCGCTCCTCGAGAGGATGGGGCCTGTCGCTCTCAGCACAGAGGAGTGGTCCCATATGAAGGTAGGCAAGACGTGGATTGTCGTGCAGAATGCTCCTAAATGCCTATCACCAGTACCATATCCGAAGAATGATCCAGCGATATTTGGTCCCGGGAGCGTTGTTACCTCGTCAGCCTCCTGCCGTCGTGTTTCGATTGATGGAGAAGGTGCGTAACAAAAGGCCTCGAGTGATCTCCATAATCTCTCAAGTCCTGCCGTGCGAGACCTAATCAAATCCCGTTCCCGCAAGGTGTGCAATAAATATCCGCTCTTCAGACGCTACCAGAACGTTTGGCCGCTCCGAGAATACATCGACAATTACCTCCGCTCCAATGTGAAGCGAACAGAGTGGCGGATGCTCAATCCCTACAGTCGAGTTGCTCCCGCGCGTGAACAGCACACAGACGATGAATTCATCGACCTTTCTTGCGATACCGACGATGAAGATCCTATTGGGCCAAGCAAGGCTTCGGACCTACATTTTAACATGGTCAGTTCGTGCACCAGTTCTAACGCCTTAGCAACTTATTCTTGGAGGAAAGGAGAACAAGCCCGGATTGACATCCTCAACTGGCGCAGGGCGACCTCCGACTTCTACCCATAGACACGATCAGCGTTGGGCGGAGTCCCCGTTGGCCTCTTCCAGCGCACGCAACACGAAGAGCGTTGCCCGACGGTCTTCTCCGGGCACCCCAGCCGATCCCATAGTCGGCCTTCTCGCGAAACATCCCCCGAAATCGGTGGAGCGCGTGTGTGCTGCACTGCGGGCGCTCGGAATCAACGATCAGGTTGGTTCCATCGGCCATCCGTATGTGATACGTTCCTTGGCATGACGGATAGTACTTCCCGCAGGCGGATATCGATTCTATGTGCGGGTTGCCTGCGCACTCGCGCGATCTGTGGTTGGAAGCGGAACTCCACAGAGCAGGTACTTCCGAAGGGTCCGGTGAAATTACTCCATTCGATCTGTTGCTCTTGAAAGAGGCGTTCTCCGAGCGCGAAAAGAAGCTGAATGCCGAGGCGAGGGAGGATGCAATATAGGCAATGTTGCTATTCGTCGAGTGTTGTGAGTTATGTATCGTCAATGATGGTTTCGGAACTTTGGGTTATCCATAGCCGTCTGTTCTCTATCCAACATCAGCTACCATGTTAGACAAGTATTGCGTTCGTGCTCGCCGAATAAGCCGCTCGCACAAATGGCCGGTGCGCTGCCGTTCCGCTTCACGGCGGTTAATTTCCATTTCGCGCTGTGCACTATACTATAAACGCTGTACGAGCTCAGGCAGGATCATTCCGAGTCAGCTGCCAACAATCACTTACCCGTCTCGACGTCTTCTTCGCGATGACTCCTCGGCGGGGCCTCGGACCCGTGGCAGCGTGTTCTTTTTGGGGACGGATCAAGTGTCGAGGCCGAGCGATGCTCGTACGCCGGTCAAACCTTGAATATGTGCAGACGGGACTGATCTTGCAGTTGAATATATATACATCTTCATTACGAGGTTCCTCCGCCAGGTCTTCGAGCCGACCACGCTCAGCCCCTCTCTTACTCGTCATGCAGCACCTAGAAGTGATACCCAATAATCCAAGGACAAACGATCCTCCCTTTGGCCTTCTCGACAGGATCCGAGCCACAGGCGTGCATTTCCCAGACAGGCTATGGCCCCCAATGGCGGTAAGTAGACTCGCGCGGTTCAGCGGGAACGAATTGCCAACTATGCCTTCCAGTTCCATCTTCGTGAATTGATCCAGAAGTATTTGGTCCCTGGAAAGTTGATCGGAAAACAGCTACCCGCTGCGCTTGACGCGCTAATCCAGGAGGTGAGCAGGATTGGAAGAATCTTGTAGAGTTTGCACTAAATAATGTCGCATGTCGAGGCGTGTGCCAAGTATCCAATCCTCGTTAGGTTCGAAAGCCATTGGCCGATCCGCGAATACGTCAAAAACTATCTGTATCACAATCAATCTCGTGATGAGTGGCCGATGTTGTCACGTAGAACACAGCGTTCTCGCAGCTCGGAGGCACCCTCGCAGCTTCGCGGCCAGAACGAAGAAGAGAATGTTATCGACCTTTCTCGCGATTCCGACGAAGAAGAAGGGGTCACCGTCGCTCGATACGTCCGCAGTAGAGTAATCGCGCATCCGAGCAGTCGAATGGTAAGCTGGAGCACAGTCTCTCTACTGCAGCAGCTGACGATACGCCAGCGAGGCGATGCGACGGCTTCCCGTGCTAGGCGCATATCCAACCTTGAGAACGTGCCAACAGCTCCTCCGCAGAGCCGAATACAGGGAAATTTGACGCAACGCCGGCGAGGCCCCGAACTCGATCCTCTGGATGCGTTGCTTGCGAATGGGCCACCGAAAACCTTGCAGCGCTTGCGTCCGGCGCTGCGCGTGCTCGGTATCCGGGAACAGGTTGGTCAGGTTTCAAGTTTCGAACGCATGCACGGCTGAAGAACTTTCCCGTATGTTGAGGCCGACGTTGATTCCATATGCGGCTCGGACGCGCATGCCCGCGACGACTGGTTGGACCGGAAGCTCCAGGGTATGGTCACCACCAACGATGCGGGCAGCATCACCCCCCTCGATCTATTCCTTCTGAAGCAAGCCTTTGTTGAACGCAAGAAGAACATGGGAGCTGGCGACGTGGAAAATGCGGCATGAGTGAGACGACGGTAGAACCAAAGTATCTCGTTAATACGCTTCCAACTACTTCTTACCGCGTGCCTCAGATCTCTCATGTATCTGGCAGTGCGAGTGAGCGAAGCACCCGGCGAATCGAGAACGAATGTAAGGTGAACACAACGGAAGTGTTAGCGTACGACCGATCAGCGAGAGTTGGTAAAGGGACTTGTTCATGTCAAGATCATCGCGCGTCCATCGGAGCACACGGCCGAAACCCGAGCTCACTCCACCGGTGCACGAAAAGTGCTTATCAGATAAGACATTGCTTGCTTTCGACCGCCTCCTCGTCTTGGCGTCATGCCTATATCCCAAGAGACGCTTGAGACGGCTATCCGACAAGCTATTCCCGTCACCTACCTAGAGATCACTGACACCTCAAATGGCTGTGGCGAGAACTACTCGGTCGTGGTCGTGTCCGAGGTGCATTTAGCTCCTCACAAGCTTGTATCGACGCAATTGCTGACGCGTTATCGAAGGCATTCGAGGGGAAAACAACTTTAGCAAGGCATCGGTTCAGTGAGGCTAATCTGATTTGGCACAGGCCTGCCGGCGGCCTTTGTTCCTCAGCACTGACGCATAGACTGTTAGTCAACGAACTACTGAAGAATGAGATAGCTTTGATGCACGCATTTTCACAGGTAGGCATGTCCAGATAGCGAGCGCTAAGAGTCGCGATACATCCATCTTTCTTCTTGTTTTACCAGAAAACATTCACGCCAAGGCAGTACGATGCATACATCGCCAAGCAATCCGAGATGGACACGGGCGCATGACCACCTTACGAATCAGATGCTTTACAGAATCCCAATTGTATCTGAATGATCTCGCTAGGACATAGTAATAATACGGTGGAGCATACCACAGACAGCCCCTCGCAATCAGAACGCATCTGCAGTCATCCTGGGGACGTCCGTTTCCAACCCCACTTTGTCCCGTAGTCTCTTGCACATAATATCCAGATACGCCTTGCTATCTCGCCAGTCGCCTCCAAGCGTGGCACCATCCTGTATCAAAGGTTGTCAATGATATAGTCGACATCGATACATCTCGATGCCCATACCACTGTCAAGGATTCCAGGCGTTGTATCACTGGCGCCAATTTTTGCGCCGCCTCCCCTCGCAGGGTCTCCGGATCGGGGATCGCCGTACTGGAGGCCAGACGGGACATCGACATCGACAGTGATTTCGCCTGCGCAGCATGCTCGTTTCGCATGTCCCAATATTGAGTCAGATGCCGCCAAAGCAAGAGCAACAGCATCTCCAGCACGTCTATTCGTCCTAGCATCAGAATCCGGTATGAAGCTTTTCACGTGGTGACGAGCAAACCTAGTACGTTATGTGCCTCCTCTTGCTTGTCGAGTTTCAATCGGCCCAACTCGCGAACCAGGAGATTTTGTTTCTCCGTCAAGTCGAGTTCTTCGAGGAAATCGACGTCAGGAAGGGAGACAACCTGGCAACATTTCGCATGGTAAGCGTCGTATGCAGTAGATCGTGGGACTGTGTCACTCACCTCGCGAATGGTCTCGATTCTGATATGATCCTTGGATCCGATCTCTGCCGACAAGTCTGCGATCTGGCGAAGCACGGTCGATAGGTTCGTGGACAAGTCGCCCAACGCCTCGATTGCGTCTCCCATAGTGGGCGCCATGGCTAGACGGCGGTGGTCAGCGCTGTTGGCACGATACGACGCTGGTCAAATACCTAGGACACGCTGTGAGCGATCGTCACTGCGTGACGCGATCGTCAGAGGAGACAGGACGACGCTGAACTCCGGTTCTAATAGGAGCTCGGCTATAAGATATGCCTTGCTGACTGAGAGTCGACGCACCAGTGAAGTCGCTGGCCGTGCCAAGGTAAGAAACGATAGCCTGCCGGAGTGCGGTAGCCTTCTTGAGTACGGACACCTGGAACCTCGATTTTGACGGCTCCCCTGTGATGACGCGTTACAACGGGCATTGGTATGACGAGGGTAAACATACCTGGTGCTGCTACACTAGCGTTTGCAATGTCGCTTTCCGACTGCGGTTGGATACTCCGGATCCAGTGCAGATTGCCCAAACACCTAGCTGATAGGCTAAGGATCGCAAAATGCACGCTACCCAGACCTGTAATCGTTGAAGCCTGGCGGACAGAGGATTCAGGATTTCGATAGATGGGTCTGGGAGAGCAAGCTCACCAACTCCGATTTCGGCACGCTTGGCAAGATGCTAGCACAAAGCTCCACAAGGACGGTGACTTCCTCGATGACCGCGACAGAGGTCATTTCCGCGTCACTTTTCAGGAGGATTACAATGGTTTCGCGATGGCTCGTAAGGAAGTTCATAACCTGTGCATCATCGTGAGCTAGGACACCAGCGCAACATACCCTGCCGCACCTGCTTTGTAGCAGTCGCGTGTCCATCACCCAAGGCTGACAGGATCCCAACGATCAACTGCAATGCGGGCATGAATAATTGATGATAGCGTTCGACGGCCGAGGGCAAGAAACTGTCACGATCTGAGAAGCGACTTCAGTCGAATGCAATATCTTGAACACGACGATGTCTACCTATGAATGCCTGATCCGCTTCCGGCCTTGAATCAAGGTAATCGCAACTCGCAAGCGTCTGTACTATGCGTGCATCCAAAAGACGCTCGGCGCCCGAACGCGACTGTGAAACTCTGATGAAGAAGGACAACTTCGCCTCATAGACATATAAGGCATTCACGTCATCTATAGCATGATAAGACTGGATGAACGGAACGTGAATACATAAAAACGACTGACCAGGTTCCGGTGCCAGAACTGCCTGCAAGCGAGAGTCCGACTCGGATAGACTTCGGACCAGATTGGAGAGTATCCCATGACGAACAAGAGTGTCGATGATGACGTTCGTCTTTTCGGCATGCGATAGCTGAACCAAGGAATCGAGGAACATGAAGGCCACGGTTTTCCATATTTCACTGCCGTCGATGGCATCCCTGGCGACGATGGTCAACAGTTGGTCAAGTGATTCCTTGATGATCGAGAGACTGGTGCTCTCAAGCGTAGTCACGGGTAGATGTGTGGATCTTTGCGGTCCATCCAAACCCATGGCGAAGGCATGGTCGTCAAAGAACGCATCTCCGTTGGTCGTTGACTTTTGTGAGCCTTCCGCGTCCGAAGCAGATGGGTCGTTTGGAGCAATCAGATGCATGAAGTTGATGAGCGCAGCGTAGAGGTTACCGCGGACCACTTCCAGCCGATTGTTGTCCAGGATACATCGAAGGGTGCTCCTGAGCAGCATGAACAGCCGCTCGGCAGGAAGAGCTCCCGCCTCCAAGTTGCCACTCGCAGCCTGCAGGAGAAGCTGATAACGCCGGTCTTCCCGAAGCTTGGTGATGACAGAAAGGATTGACTCGGAGAGTAAAACGGCTGTCCCTTCATCGGTGTTGCCCGACTGTAGTACATCTGGAAGTACGTGGAGCAGGTCAAACAGGATGGTCTCCCTTTGGTCCGAAGGTAGCCTGTCGAAGCATTTGGTAAGAATCATGTCCAATAGTCGCTTCCACGCCTCGTATCCCATGCCGGTGGCATGGCGGACTTCACGTCGATGGTTCTCGGCAGCACAGCTGGACAAGATGTACTCTGTCTCCTGAGCCGCCTTGTCAGAGTGCGCTTGAGTCACCAACCGACCTTGGGCGTGCAACGTTTGCCGGGCGGCTGCCAGTAGGGCCAGAAGGGCGGCCCGATCGACAACTTCGCATCCGTTGTCTTCGGCCCGGACGCACGACTGCAAGTTCAGACCGGCGAAGAAGTCCAACGTGACCGGTTCAACCGCGAGACTGTCTGACCAGTCAAAGTCCAGTGACTGCAGCAACTCAATGATACGAACATGCGACTGGCCAACGTCGTGGAAGGGCCGAAGCAGATCATCGCCTTGCTGGTCATCGTAGTACCCCTCGTTGCTCTCGAAGAGAAGTCGGAGTAGGTCGTCGACGCCCTTGTGGTGCCTCTTCGAGGTAAGGATGTGCAGCTCGAGCGCGACAAGATCCAAGACGAGCGATCGCAAGCGTAAGAACGAGCTGGTGGCAGCGACGGTGGATATCACCCGTGAACCATCGTCATATACGAGTTCGATAAATGGATCGTCTTCCGCGGGGGGAGCCTTGAAAGGGATGGCAACCAAGTGGCGAGCGAAGAAATCTTCCTGGGTGCGAAGATAACGCATTGTCATCTCCGAGGTACGTGGATGAACACAGAGCTGATGGACCACCCGGTAGCAGCGTTCCGCAAGAGTAGGAAGAGTCAGGAAAAGCGGATCGGCGACGATCGTACGTTCTTTGCGCTTTCCCTTGAGTCTCGGAACGCCTTCGTTAAGTAGGTCGAGGATGACATGGATGCAGCTTTGTTGTGCGCCGAGGGCATGGGGGTCTTGGATGGCTTCGACGTCCAGACCGCCAAAAAGAAGCAGATGGGCCAAATTCGGGAGCGGTTTTCCGTTCCGCGTATTTTGTATGAGCAGGTCTAGAGCGGCAAGCCGTGTAGCTTGGGGCGCAATATCAAGGGAGTCGTCGATGTCAGGTGCACCAGCTCCGGTGCTATCTTCCATGGTCATCTCTGCTGATGCCACGTCGTCCTCGCTGTCGACGGCGATGATGCGTCTAAACCCAGCCAAGATCCTCTCCGAATCCGGACTGTGGTCGATGAGAGTCGCGAGCTTGCTGAATGCATGAGAAGCGGAGAGCTCTTTCAGTATCTTGATGGCCAAGTAGGTAAGTTCCGCGTATGAAGGGAAGGCGACGTACGCCGCGATAGCAGGTACGTAGTGCGGTGCGAACGAGAGTGCCTGGTCAAACTTCAGGAAGTATGATCGCGGGTGGGCTATCCCAACGATCGGCGCGCTGTCAAACTCAGAAAGGAGAGGAATGATCACGTCCAAGAATATGTCTTGGATCTCCAGAACGCGATGTACGATGCGGAGCACGCGCACAATCGTGCTCGCAAAGTCCGGCTCGATCTCCGCAATCCCCTTGTCGAAACCCTCCACACCTTCCACGACGTAACCCAAGATGGTGCTCTGGAGCGGCGTCTGCGTTAGCAGTCTCTTCATCACGTCGTAACCTGGGTGGGTCAGGAATGGAATAAGCGTCTCCATCAACAAGGTTCCGTTGTCCGCCGCCGACACCAGCGTCTCTAGCTCATAGCTCCCCAGACATCTCTCGACGTAACAGAGGCAGAGGTCATTCATTCTCCATCGGTCGGACGGCTGTTGAAATTCCCGCGTCCCGATCTTCGCGAAAACCTCATCAATGACGAACGCTGTGAAGGGTCCCGCGCCGGGAAGCCTATAGGGTGCGCCGAGCTGATCAGGAACAGAGTTGATTAACCCCGAGTCCGCAGTGCCAAGTCGCTCCTTGAGGGGCAGGCGCTTGGGGGTGTGTATGAGCGTGGCGAGGAGCTTGAGGAATGGTAGTGTTGCCGGGTAGAGCTTGTATACTGCCTCGACCTCCTCAAGCTCCACCTCGACGCCCTTCACAGGAGCAGTCAAGACGCCGGCCCCACTGTCCTTCCTGACATTGATCACTTCCAGCCGCTCCATCAGCAACCATACCGCCCTGCATATCTCTAAAACCGCTCCTCCGGCCACCGAGCTTGAACCTGGTTCGCAGAAAGCTGACAGAGTCTCAAACAGCGCTCCCTTGAGCTCCAAGGGCACAGGAAGGGGTATGAGAGCCACCAGTGCCGGAATGGCACGGAACTGAGCATGGCTAGCGATCGCTGTCCGTACCGCAACTGAGAACGATACGACTGTCCCCAGTAGGCGGAGGAAGGCTTGAGCGAACAGAACATCCTTAGCGTTCAGTTGTATAGGGGCGTGGCTAGCTGGCGCCGCCGTCGCTGACCCAGGAAGTGGAGAATGCGAATGCCAACCCGTGGTCCCGGAGACTTGCCCATGCGTCGAGCTAACCCTCTCATGCTTCGGGGCCCCTTGTGCTGCCCAGTTATCCAGCAAGCCGAAAATAGCCACCCAACTGACGCTGGAGGCGCCTCCCATGTTGCTGATACCGTCGCCTCCACCACGCGCGACGAAGTTATAACACAGCTCCGCGCATTGTCGTCCGTGGGCCAGCCCGCTAAGCATGTCGTGCAGCGCGGTACACATCGCGGTGTCGCGTGGCTGAGTCGACCACACGCTCCACTGGAGGAACGAAGGAAGCTTCGGCGTCTGAATCTCGACGATCTCAGGGTAAGAGAGACCAGAGGGCGAAGGAAGTGGCGCAGAGCCCCAGAATTGCAAAGCTCGTTCGGTTGGGAGCGCTGTGTAAAGAACACCGATGAAGGAGAAGAGAATAGCAATGTCGTTCCGGGGTGGAGCGCCTGTCCCGTCAGCATCTTCAGAACCGCCACCTTGGCTTGGTCCAGCAGCGCCCAGCTGTCCCGGCCGGAACGCCCGAGAGCGCTCAGGTCGACCATGTGCTCCTGCCAATACTAAGTCTTCTTGACGCTGCTTGATCTTTCGCAGTTCACTTGAGGCATGCGAAATAAGCCCACGGACCAGGCTCTCGAACGCCCCCAGTACTTCGGGCTTGAACTCGACGGGAGGGGCCGGCGGGGTGTGGTTCGGATCGGCGGTTTGTATGGTGTGTAAGAGCGAGGGAGGGGGGTACGACGATCGCTGAGACCGTGACTGCAGGGACAAGGTGGCAAGGGCCAGGTACGCAAAGGCATCGCCTTGCACGGCGTTCCAAATCTGAGTCTCGAGCTGTTCGGTACGAAAGCCTTCACGGGCCTCCAAGCTCCCGTCTCTTCGTCTTGCTTCGGTCAAGAACAGAGTCCACCTCAGCAACACCACCGCTTTAAGGCCAGGTACTGTCCATTTGTTCATGACGTCCATCTTGTTCTTCATATGTGCAAGCACGGTCTGATCGATCGCGAGCCTTGCCCGCATGTCCGAGCTCAGCGAGCCGGGAGGGGACAGCGACGAATCGAAGACCGCGAGGACGGCGGCCAGCATATGGTATGTAAGGGGGTGGGAGGGATTAGACGCAAGCCAGTCGACGAGTGTCGTGACTTCAGCCGGTGACGGGTAGGCCATGCGGGAAAGGAGGTAGAGGGTAGTAGCGAGAGCTCGCCGTTCGTAGGCAAGGGAGGAGAGCCGGATAGAAAGGATGTCTGCACCTAACGTAGCGTTCACTCCTGCAAGACGTTGCATAATCAGTCACCGTGATGGACAGTGCAAGCGTTTAACACTTTTTCTGACCTTGTTGAGCCTGCGAAGGTATGGTGGTATTAGAGACCGCGTTTTGCTTCGCAGCTTCTACTTGAGCTATGGTCTTCCCCAAGTTTTCGACCTCGTTCATCAACTTCGCGAAAAATGTGGCTCCCTGACTGGTACCCAAAGCTCCTGATCCTTGTCCAGGCGCCTTATCCTTAGGCAACAGCCCCTGCCTGACGAACACGTCCAGCCTCTTGAACAACGTGGGCGCTTCATCGTTCTCCGCCACCATCGCCGCCTCTAATATGTACCTCAAGCAGTCCACCAGGTCTCTCCTCCGCTTGTGGTACTCAAGTAGGGTGGCTTCGACGCATTCTGCAGGCGTGATATTCGGGTTGTGTACCGCCACGTCGTGCAGTAGGGCGGAGACCACGCGTTCGGAGCATTCGAGGTGCTGGGAGAGAAATATAGCTTGACGCGCGAAGTCCACATTGACGGCAAGAGTTTTGCCGTCGATGGTTGTCTTTCCTGCAAGAAAGAACATAGCACGAGTCAATATACATTTCTGATGTATCAGTTGGAACTGCAACACACCGGATTCCAGTTCCCTTTGTTCAGCAGGGCTACGCGGGCCAATCTGAAACAGTCTACGCAGAGCTGTTCTATGCGCGGCAAGTTCGTCGAAGAGTTCCTGCTCGCCGTGGTGGCTGCCTCGTGCATTGGCGTTCAGGGCAGCCAGCAACACGGCGCGCAGTCTCGCGCATGACTCCATCGCAAATTCGTTAGATCCTTTCTCTGCGCGTCGTTTTGTGTCGTGGCCGCTAGAAGTCGCAGAGTTGTGAGGAGGTCGTGGATGAAGTCAAGACGCGTTGAAGTCAGAACGGACGCGTCGACAAATCGGCTTGTCTCTTGCCTCCACCTCTCATCATATATACGTAACCCTTATGTCGATCTACTACCGCCAATATGCAGGCGAGGGCGATCTTCCGGCGATCATGTCGCTCGTTCAGACGGAGCTGAGCGAACCCTACGTGATCTACACGTATAGGTATTTCCTCGACCAGTGGTACGCACGCGCCCATCCTGTTATTTCTTGTGTATCTGACGGACCATCATCCCAACAGGCCTCATCTAGCATTTCTTGTGAGTATGGTGAACTCGGGTCCGGCTTCCTGTCCTCAGTTTCCCCCGATGAATAGGCCTTTCCAGAATCCGAACCGGAGCAGCCCTCTACGCATCGCGCGGACGCACAACTCGGCTCTTCACACTCACAGTCATCTTCAAAACCAATAGGCGTCATCGTTTGCAAACAAAGCATGCACCGTGAAAAGGCCAACAGAGGCTATATCGCGATGCTTAGCGTTAATCCCCAATGGCGAAAACGAGGCATCGGTTAGTCCGTCAAGCCTGTGTTGTCGTGTTTTTCGCCTCTTGTTCGCGTATATCAGACCACATCATAACACGACTAATCCGTTCTCTTTTGTCTCCAGCTACCGCCCTCGTCTCCAAATCGATCGCTGAGATGCGCGCCCGGGAGGTAGATGAAGTCGTATTAGAAACCGAGTTCGACAACGCCTCCGCTATCTCACTGTACGAATCACTCGGCTTCATTCGGGAGAAGCGATTGTTCAGGTTCTACCTGAATGGCAAGGACGCGTTTAGGTTAATCCTGAGCCTGCAACCCCCAGCGCATATGGAGAGGACAGTGATCCCGCGTGCCGAAAGAACGGAATCCGCTCAAGCAGTGTCAGACGTGCACTACTCTACGGGAACCATTCAGGAACAGGACGAAGATGATGATGCAGATGTGCCAGTCACCGCACCTAGCGGGTGGAGGATGCGCGAGGGGAGTGCCTCCGATGACGGCGAGGAACCGACGTGACAGGAGTATCGTTCAAGAACGACGAGCTCGAGCAGTGCACCACAGGCGTCATCACGCCATCGTGAACACTTGCGAGATCTGGTCCCTCGACGAAGCATTGAGCGGGCACTCCGCGTCTTGGCAAGATCGATCGTAACGATGACATATACCCAACGAAGCGAGTAATCGCCGCCCTTAGACACCTGGACCAGTTGACTTGTTCTTCTCGGGGCCGCTGTTGCACCCATGTACCAACAGGTTCGATTGGAAACAACGTGCGCATATGCGAAGACCGGAGGTCAGAAGAGCTGTCTCTGTCACAACACCGTACACATATCAACACGCCTTGGAACATTCTCGTTGGCAAAGGCGGATGCAGGGTAAACTTGGAAGTCTTCGGTCTAGGCAATAGGGATGAAGCGCTGCGCCATCTGTGGTTTGCCATAACTCGAAGTGCATACTCTTACATTCACTTGTGCACGTCAAATACGCCATGAATCCAGATCATCTAGATCCTGCCTCGTGCGATCATCGTGAAAGCTCAGGGACAATTTTTCCACCGAGCACATTCTCGTTGCTGCCAAAGTATCGTACGTCCCGACATGTTTACTTATTTGTAGAGCCGTATTCTCTGCCCATATCGAGATTTCAAGCTGGCATGGATCGAGTTCATCAGACTCTGCCATTTCAGTCTGCGTGTTTACCATCAGCTGCCGCTGCAAATAGCTCTCATTGACGACGTTAACATTACGGATCTTTCAGCATATTGTGCCAGGTTCATTTCATCTGGAGGTTCGGGCACGATGTGCCGTCGAGCATCAGGTGCATACCAGATCTTATAGGAGCAGATGGTCGTTGGCGAAATTACTGTGTTCTTTTACTGTGTTTCGCGCCGGGCGCCCTAACATGCTTATCTGTGACTATGTGCGGTTCAGTGAAGTTGCTACTGGCCTTGAAAAGAAACGATGGGAGGAATAGTCACAGAAAAGCGAGTGGTTAGATTATGTGTATGCCGACCAGAAGTGCGGATGGATAGTTACAAAGTGTTGTGAAAGCTATACATTTGCGAAAGCGGAAGAAAAGGCGGGGTGAACCTGAACAGTGAAGTCATGAGGGGTAGTCTGAGGAATCCGCGACTGAAGATAGGGTGCGCTAATCGAAGGCCTCTTCCGCACTCCGGCGGACCAGACGGCGAACCTTCTTCTTGTAGGCTAAAGAGCGACACTTAGCGAGCGGGATACGGGAGCAATATATTTAAGAAATACCTTCAAAGTTTGTCCTAACCTCTACCGCGGCGTCAACATTCGCAGGGCTGTCGAGGTTCGGCTTGTCCGCGGATAGGAGAGAAATGACACTGAGGAGCTGATAGCGTGACCACGTGAGACGAAAGCATGGAACGTGCAAGACTCTGGCTTACGATCGACTCCACGGAATGCACCGGCAGCCACCTCTCTCCCGAGTCTTCGTAGCCGTATTGGTCTTCCCCAGGCGGATGTAATATGGAGATGCACACATTACCGTCGGGGTAAACTGGGATAACGATGTCATCGTTGGAAAGGATCAGCAGAATTGGTGCTGGGACATACTGTTTGGGTGCCACATGGGGGTGATGAACCGAAGCTTCGGTGGATTCAGGGGGAAGTCTGGCGGGAACGTCATCCGAGCCTTAAAGAAGCCACCTTCACTGCGAGCCACCATCCATCAACGACAAATCATGCGCTCAAGAACGTCGAACATACTACAGGGTATCTGGAGGGCTGATCACGAACGTCAGACACGATCGTCTCGGACAAGTGCATGGCAAGACGTACCCGATGATCAAGATCTCCCATTCGTATAGATTGTCATCATCGACGAGCCCTTGCGGCCCGTACTACGTCAGGATATATTCAAGGCTGGCGCCATTCAGCGGCAAGCGACTTACCTGCTGAGAAGCCCTCAACCGGATGCTTAGTGAGCTCCGTGAGTTGACGCCGGAGCAGCAGAGTGTTAGATGCGGGTGCCGGGCTGCCTGGTTTCGACATTTCGTCCAAAGAGCACTAAGGCAGTAGTTCGTCGTCAGAAATGATATCTGACCAGTGACCGAAGCTGCGAGGGAGTAACCGATCTGCGATGGTGAGCACGATGAGGGTAAAGGGCACCGATAGAACCACCATGCTGTTCTTATGTAGCGCAAGCACACGTGAGTCATTGAAAATGTCTCGGTGGTCCATTTGGCCCGGGCCTGCTTCACGCTTTGCAGATCCTCTCACCGCTCCGGTAACAGTCCGCCTGCTGTTGCATCGTGGCTCAGGAGCCTCTTGTTCGGGGTTCGGTATCGGGGACAGCAGCTCCCGGCCACATGGCCACCCTCGACGAGGAAGAAAGCGAATGGGAGAAGCTCAATCGGACGAATTGGAGAGGCTTAGGATTGGCAGACCCTGTTAAGAACGTTGAGGTTCGTGAAAATCCGTGAGTCCTTGTCGGAACACGGTTGAACATGGACTCAACAGGATAAATGGCTGCTTCTGCCTGCCTTTCTCAAAGTCAAAGGTCTCGTAAAACAGCACATTGACTCGTTCAATTACTTTGTGGACGTTGATATCAAGAACATTCTCAAAGCAAATAACAAAGTCACATCGGATGTGGATCCGCGTTTCTGGCTGAAATATACGGACATCCATGTGGGCTTCCCCGATAGGACCGACGCGGACGCCATTGACAAGAGCGTCACCCCGCATGAGTGCCGATTGCGGGATACCACGTACAGCGCACCGATTTTGGTGACGATACAATATACACGCGGGAAGAGCGTCGTACGTCGGCCCAATGTCAGCATAGGGCGAATTCCCATCATGCTCAGGAGCAACAAATGCGTTCTTACTGGCAGGAACGAAGCGCAGCTAGCTCGCATGCTGGAGTGCCCGTTGGATCCTGGGGGCTACTTTGTTGTCAAGGGCACGGAGAAGGTCATCCTCGTTCAGGAGCAATTGAGCAAGAATCGAATCATCGTGGAGACGGATCCCGTCAAGGATGTCGTACAGGCCTCTTGCACATCGTAAGCCCTCTTTCTTGAAGTATTACTGCTATATCGGAGAATTGACGCCTTCACTACTGTAGATCCACTCATGGCGGCCTGAAGTCGAAGACATACGTCGCTACCAAGAAGGGCAAAATCTATCTCCGACACAACTCAATTCACGAAGACGTCCCAATTGTCATCGCGCTCAAGGCCTTAGGCTTCCAAGCGGACAAGGAGATTCTACTCCTGACTGCAGGCAACTCGGAGGTTTACAAGTCAGCATTCTCCCCCAACCTCGAAGAAGCGGCCAAGCTTGGCGTGTTTACTCGCCATCAGGCGCTAGAATATATCGGAAGTCGCGTTAAAGTAAACAGACGAGTCATCGGACCCAGGAGGCCAGCTTGGGAAGAAGCTATGGAGGCGCTTGCTACGATCGTTCTCGCACACGTCCCCGTTAACGGACTCGATTTTCGTCCGAAGGCCATCTTTGTCGCTACGATGACGAGGCGTGTGCTCATGGCGATGGCGGACGAGAAGATGGTCGACGATCGAGACTACGTCGGAAACAAACGACTGGAGCTGTAAGTTCCTACGTCGACGGTATTTCGCTCGTGTCTAATCCGGTACCAGTGCCGGTCAATTGCTCGCTCTGCTATTCGAGGACCTCTTCAAGACCTTCAACTCGAACCTGAAGTCCGCGATAGACAAGGTACTCAAGAAGCCATCCCGGACGAATGAGTTCGACGCCTGGAATACCATGCAGTTCATGGGCGACCATATCACGTCGGGCTTCGTGCGCGCCATCTCAACCGGCAACTGGTCGCTGAAGCGTTTCAAGATGGAGCGTGCTGGTGTTACCCACGTTCTGAGCCGGCTCAGTTTCATCAGTGCGCTCGGTATGATGACGCGAATCAGTTCGCAGTTCGAGAAGACCAGAAAGGTCAGCGGTCCTCGCGCGCTGCAGCCAAGTCAATGGGGCATGCTCTGTCCCAGCGATACGCCCGAAGGAGAAGCTTGTGGGTTGGTCAAGAATCTCGCCCTGATGACGCATATCACCACGGACGTTGAAGAGGAGCCTATAATCCGCATAGCCTATCTGTTAGGTGTCGAAGGTAAGTGGCGTTGCTTCTCCTCTCGTTCCTGGCATTGATGAGATTTCCGTAAGATATTTGCTTGGCGTCCGGTGCCGAGGTTTACGGCCCTCATACCTTCGTGGTCCACGTGAACGGTACCATCATCGGCCTGACTCGATACCCCGCACGTTTCGTCTCAAACTTCCGCAAACTCCGTCGTGCTGGGCGTTTTAGCGAATTCGTCAGCATCTACGTCAATCACCACCACAGTACCGTGCACATCGCGACCGATGGCGGGCGTATATGTCGACCAATGATCATCGTGGAAAACCAGCGGCCACGAGTAACATCAGATCACATCTTAGTAAGATCAATCGATATCATGGCTTTGCATCAGTGTTTCACCCATGTCTCATTCTCCTATTGTGTTTAGTTGCTGAAGAAGGGCCAAGTTAACTTCGACGATTTCCTGAAGAAGGGACTTGTGGAGTATCTTGACGTGAACGAGGAGAATGACTCGTACATTGCCCTGTACGAAGCGAACATCGTATCGAGCACCACGCACCTCGAGATTGAACCTTTCACAATCCTCGGAGCCGTTGCGGGTCTCATCCCGTATCCTCACCACAATCAATCTCCAAGAAATACGTACCAATGCGCCATGGGCAAGCAGGCCATCGGAGCCATCGGCTTCAATCAGCTAAACCGCATCGAGACGTTGCTGTATCTGCATTGCTACCCCCAGCAGCCGATGGTCAAGACCAAAACAATTGAGTTGATCGGCTATGACAAGTTGCCCGCGGGACAAAATGCTACCGTTGCAGTGATGAGTTACTCCGGATACGATATCGAGGACGCCTTGATCCTTAATAAGGTCCGCGTGTATTTCTAGATCCGTGATTCACATCTGATGATTTCCATGCAGGCAAGTCTAGATCGGGGCTACGGAAGGTGTCAGGTCCTTCGAAAGAACCAAACACTAATCCGCAAGTATCCTAATGGAACGTAAGCATCGTGAAGATAGAGTTGATGTTCTGCGCAACGAAGCTCACATGCTGTGCAGTTTCGATCGATTAGCGGACGCTCCGGTGGACGAGAACGGCGGAGTCCAGAAGAAATACGATATCATTCAGATGGACGGGCTCGCCGGCGTCGGGGAACGCGTCGACCCCGGCGACGTCTACATCAACAAGCAGACGCCGACGAACGCGAACGATAATGCCTTCGTCGGTCAAGCAGCGTCAGTGCCATACAAGAACGCGCCGATGACGTACAAGTCACCCGTCTCTGGCTACATCGACAAGGTTATGATCACCGACACCGAAAATGAGCAGACGCTCATCAAGGTGCTGATGCGTCAAACACGGCGGCCGGAGCTCGGCGATAAGTTCTCCTCGCGGCATGGCCAGAAGGGCGTTTGCGGGCTGATAGTGAATCAGGAGGACATGCCGTTCAATGACCAAGGCATCGTTCCAGGCGAGTATCGCCATGCCACCGTCGTGTTCAACGGAACGCTGACGCGGGCCTGGGGCCCGAAACAGACTCCATCATGAACCCACACGGTTTCCCGTCCCGAATGACGGTCGGCAAAATGATTGAATTGTTGGCTGGCAAAGTAAGCTTTTTCGCGCCACCACGGTCCCCGTGGCGCACTAACGATTGACGTCGTACGAAGGCCGGAGTGCTGTCCGGAAAATTACAATACGGTACAGCCTTTGGCGGGTCAAAGGTACGGATCTTTCGGAGCGGATGCTGTGGACACGAGACAATAATGAACCATCCGGAGCTAGGTCGAAGACATGTCCCGGATTCTCATAGAGAACGGCTTCAACTATGCCGGAAAGGATATGTTGACGAGTGGGATCACCGGAGAGCAGATGGAAGCCTACGTCTACTTCGGGCCTATCTACTATCAGGTGCGTGATTCTCAACGAGAAGGCTCCGGCAACCAAAGAATATGACCGCCCTTTGCAGAAACTCAGTAAGCGTGTAGCTTATCGTGTCTTCCATGCAAGCACTCATGACTGCGCCAGAACACATGGTCATGGACAAGATGCACGCCCGGGCGCGGTGAGTATGTTCTAGCCCAAAATAACGAGACTCTCACAACGTGTTCTTGCCTTGCTCATGCTGTAGCGGGCCCCGCGCAACTTTGACGCGACAACCGACCGAAGGTCGCTCCCGCGAGGGCGGCCTGCGCCTTGGCGAGATGGAGCGTGACTGCCTCATTGGCTATGGCGCGACGCAGCTCCTTCTGGAGCGCCTTATGATCTCCTCCGACAAGTTTGAGGTGAACGCGTGTGCGGAGTGCGGGTTGATGGGCTACAACGGGTGGTGCACCTACTGCAAAAGCTCCAAGAAAATGGCGCAATTGACGATCCCGTACGCTGCTAAGCTTCTGTTCCAAGAGGTCAGAATCCCTTCCTTTCCGCTTCGATGGTGGACGAGTATAGCTGATGCTGGGTCCCCAGCTCATGGCGATGAATGTGGTCCCACGACTCGAACTGGATGATGCATGAGGTTCCACGGTCTTTCATGTTTGCCAACCTTATTTTATGACTGTATTCTCTCCCGCGTCGCTATCTCATAATCGCAATGTATCCATAGGAATTCAATGCCAGGTACTCCAATCTGCCCACCGTCGTGAATGGATACGCAAAGTTGCGCATGGTTGGCGGACTGGATGATGAAAGATCCCCCGAATCCGTACCTACTTGGCCCGGAACATTCAGGCGTTCTTCTAGGTCAACCATTGGCTGACGGGTTCTCGGCGTAACTTCAACGCCGAAGCTCCGCTCAAGGCAGATACTACAGCGCGACGAAATCGGTGTATCCGAACGTCGTGCTGACGACATCAAGCGAAGCACCTGACTGTCACGACGTCTAACAAGCCAAAGTCGGTGCCTCCGTGTCATCGCACGCAATGATCAACCGTCTGCGTATCGCTGCGGTGAAACGATTGCGCGTGCGGCGATACAATCGGGACCGTATAGGACGCGATGCAGATCCCTTTGTGTGCGACGCCATTGACGCAGCCATTGACCGCCACGATCGAGCCATGGCGCGCACCCGCTGGTACTTGGCATCGTTTTATCTATCCTCTGAGAATCAAATCCTGAATGAGAGCCGGAGTCGATTTTTGCGGAGTAGAGTATCTGAGTTTTCCCTGGTTGCTTCTGCCCAATTGCAATCCACCAGAGCGTCGGAACAAATTCGGGAACTGAGCACCCTGTTGGATTGGACTGCCAAGGGCACTACTGTCGGTTCCATATGGCTTGGACTCCCGCGGCGGTGAACGCGCGAGCATCGGCCAGTGTCGGCAGGTGTCGGCCCATGAGAATCGGAGGGTGAAGAAGTTGGCGGCTTTGGCTGCGAATATCCAAACTTTTTCTGCCCGGGTATGAATGGAAAATCACACGATGGCAGCCGCGCCCGTCGTGCCTGTCGCCAAACTGGTGTGCTCCTGCGTCGAAACAACTAGGCTGAGGCTAGCGGGATGCTCGCCGTCAACGATCGCATTGATGCCATCGCACTTACACCGACGCTATTCGTGGAAACGGCACCGCCACCCGCTATTCCACGTGTATCGCGAGCGCCCGACAGCCAAGCTCTGAGTCTCTCTCTCTCTCAGCTCAGGCTTGCAGTCGCCAATCTTGGACCGGTCTCTTATCACCAACTGAAGTAACTCGGCCCCGTACTCTCTCGGATATGTCACGCCAATCTGCCAGCAACGCGACGGCGCTACGCCGACTCATGACTGAATACAAGCAGCTCACCGCACAAGGTATAGCTCTCTCCGCGCCCAGATCGCTTCTTCGTCCGCCGTGGCTCATCCTGCCAAGGTGCTCCGGACGGGATGTTTACAGCAGGTAAGCAAGCTCACGTATACGATTCCCGATGCCTTGTGATCTCTTACGCTCTCTTGCGAAGGCCCGATCTCCGAGTCCGACTTCTTCACCTGGGAAGCGCTCATATGTGGCCCGAAGGACACTCCATTCGTGCGTTTTCCTCGCTGGATGGGATGTTTGGCGTCTCCGCCGCCGCGGGGCTGACGGCCATGACCTGATCACAACACACAGGAAGGTGGCGTCTTCGCTGCCAAGCTGACCTTCGTACGTCTCTTCTCCTTCATCTTCTGCCGGTGCCCCCGCGCCCTCGATGGCGGCGACCCACATCCATGTCGACTGAAACAAACCACGCGCTGCCCGTCAGCCGTCGGATTACCCGCTATCACCGTTCAAGATGAAGTTCGACCCGCCCTTGTTCCATCCGAACAGTGCGTGTTACTGCCTCGGACGACCTTAGTGCCGCCTGAATCCCGTGTAACTCAAACAAAAAAAAAATGCGTCATTAAATCCCATCCCACACATGTGTCGCGGCGCCCACGAGCAGTCTATCCCGACGGCACCGTCTGCATCTCGATCTTACATACGCCCGGCGATGACCCTACGATGTACGAGAAGGCCTCGGAGCGGTGGAGCCCTGTGCAGAGTGTGGAAAAGGTGATTCTCAGCGTCATCTCCATGCTCGCCGGTGGGTTTGAGGCCTTTCCTTGTGGTGCACGGTGTATTGATATGACTCACAAAAACCTCGATCCGTTCCCGACATATGCTCACGACACACCAATAAAAAAAACTTTTGGTGTCAAATGCCAAACAGAGCCGAATCTAGAGAGCGGGGCGAACATCGATTGCTGCAAGCTCTATCGGGACAACAAATCGGTACGTAATGGGCCGTGTGCTCGATCAGCCTGGCATAGTCTAATGGCCGGATACAAATTTGTTTGTTCGATGTTCAGGAATACGAACGGATCGTGCGGCAATCCATCAAGGAACAGCTGGGGCTTTGACGTTCGCCCCGGGACTTCTCTGACGTTGTAACGACCTAGTTATGATATCCATACATGTATAGACACCGTTCCGGGGATTCGGACCCATGACAGAGAGGCAAACGGACTTGGCCGGCCGGCGTTGCGCTTTGGCGAAACGAACCCGGAATAGCGCGACCGGGACGTAATATCGACGCCCGCGTCCGCATTCGGGAATCGCAAGCTTAATCCGCCCCCGAAGACACCCCACTGCATCTCTTACGCCACCGACCGACGGGATTGGCTCCCGCACCGTCGTCCCCCCTCCCCCGGCCGGCGCACACGGACTCCAACAGCTGCCTTATGCAATCGCTGGTGTGAGACACCGCGCGTCGCAAAAAAGCACATGTAACGAGCGACAAAAACTTCTCCCAGCATTCCCTCCTCGCACCGCCGTACCGCCGTATTCATTACAACGCCATGTTTTTACAATAGGGAAGATAAAAAGCGTTTTAGAGTACTGTCCGGCGAGGAACGCGCGCACGCGGGCTGTGTGGGCGTGCTAGCGACTAACTAAATGTGATAATTTTTTACCATCCGTGGACGATAGGCGCGGGTCGTCGAAAGCGATCAGGTCGCGCGCGACGTCGAAGGCTTGAACACCCTCCCGTCCACGTCCGGGCCTAAGCAGCCCAGGATGTGGCGCTTGACGTAGGGGTTGGTGAGCACTCCGCCGGGGTCGACGCGCTGGAGCAGCCGGGTGAAGTCGTCGAATCGGGGGTACAAGCGCCGCAGCGCCTCCGGCCCGAGCGAGTGCGCCTTGGCCCAGTGCGGGCGACCGCCATGGTGGAGCATGATGGCCTCGAACCGCGCGAACAGTTTTCGATAAGGAACCGGGAATCCGTACGGCCTGTGCGTTGGACGGGGAGAGTTGGCGTGAGTCAGTTATGCGGTGCCGAGACGAACGAAAAAAAGATGTGAACGGTCGCGCGAGCGCGCCGAAACTGACCTGTACTGAATGATGCCTATCCAGCACGTCCGGTGGCCGCTGCTAGGGCTGAGCCAGATGTCGTCTTTATCGGAGAAGCGGATTTCCAGCGGGAAGTGCGGGCGTAGGCCGTGCGGGTCTGCTAGTTCGCCGTCGAGCATAGACCGGAGAGCGCGCATGCACGCGTCCGTGTTCTCATACGGAATGGCCCACTCCGTCGTGTATTGTTGGTACTGCCCAAACACGCCCCCGTCAGCCATCTCCATCGCAGAACGGAGAAAGTAAGGGCGGAGACGTACCTTGCAGTCGATATTGTATATATTTTGACTGCGGTCCACGCTGAGCGCCGGTTCGCTTGCGAGCCATGCCGCGAAGCGGGCCGTCCAAGCGTTGAGAAACGTAAAATATCGCCCGAGGAAGAGCGCAAATTGGATAACATGAAAACCAATGAACGAGTCCCATAGCCAATTGCTTGTCCTGCGTATGGGCTAAAAATAGATTATCAATAAAAGCAGCCGAGGAAAAATAAAATTCAAAAATGGAACTTTACCTCCAAGGTACGATTCGCTGCGCTAATGCGAATAGAGTTCGCTTGGGGGAACCACCAAAGGCGAACATGTTCCGCAGAGTTCACGATTTCCGGCATCCTTTGGAGCGTCTCCTCGAAGCTGATGCTGTACTGAGACTCCTTCAGTCGGAACATCGGCTCGACCTCCATCTGGATCGAGAGAATGATGCCCGTGCTCCCGAGCCCGCACAGCGACGCCATGAAGAGGTCATGGTGATCCTGGCGTGAGCATCGTACTCGGCTGCCGTCGGCAAGCAGCAGAGTCATGGCTTGCACATGGGTCGACAGGACGCCGAACGTTATCCCGGAACCGTGCGTGGCCGTCGTGATGACGCCGGCCAGCGTCTGATCGGATATTGACCCGCAGTTCCGCATGCAGAGGCCGCGCGAGGCCAGGCCGTCGTGGAGGGCATGGAGGGTGATCCCGCCCTGGGCGACGACGTAGCGCTTCTCCAAGTTGATCTACAGAAGGCCGCGACGCAAAAGGGCTGATGTAAGCGAGGGTGCCGCGCGACAGGGGCCAAACCGTTTAGATAGAGAAGAGGCGCATGCAAACGCGAGCGATCGGGCGTTCGGCGATCTCCCGCGCTGGACCGATCGGCACGATGCATCTCCGAAGAAAAAGGGGAGGGGCGGCGTGAAATGGCTTGGCTCTCACCTCCAAGAGCCGATTGAGTTTGTCGGTGCGTAGCATGTACTCGTTCGTGCACGCGAGGTCGCTCGGGCTGTGGCCGACGCCTGCGGCCCGGACCGCCTTGCCGGTGCGTCTGGCGAGCGCAAGGATCATGGCGCAGTGTTCTTCGGTCTCGGGCACGAACGTCAAGGAGGGGGTGCAGGCGAAGGTGCGGGCCCAGTTGGCGAACTGGGCGTCGGGGAGGGTGATGGGTCGGAGGGCGTCGTAGAGGGCGCCGAGGTCCATGGCTGCGAGGTCGGGCGACGAGGCCATGGTCGGTGGGTGGTTTGGCGCATGTCCGTCCGGGCAGAGACTTTATAGGTGGCCGAGGGCGGATTGATGCCCATCCCGACCTCCGATCCGGACCCGGGAGTGCCCAACGCGTGCACGCAAGATGCCGAGTGGGCGATCGGGAGTGGGTAGGGGGGCTGTCGGGGGGCTGAATTGCATGCCGCTCGTTATAGGGCGGTAGTTGGACACGTTCCTACCCAAGCCCACTCCGTCGTGAGTTGACGCTCGAGCCACGCCACGGTCCCACGACGAGCCGTCGCGAGCTGATGCCTGCGCGTATCACCGATGCATGTGCAAAGCGGAGTCGACCGTCGGGTAAACACCTGACTGCCGTCCCCTCCCATTGCTGCGAAACGAGCTGGCTTGAAGCGACGACACTCATGTGGTCACCTCGTCGTGGGAGACTCAACGGCAGTACGGCACGACCAGCGGACGAGGCCACACGCTCCGCGCTGGCCGCGTTCGCCATCACAGCCCTCGGGGCGAGCTGGTTAGCCTTTAAGGACGGGCGGGACACGACCGTGGTGGTGTGGTGGGGGTTAGCGCTGAGAGGCGGTCGTACAGCCCAGCACCCTCGGCACGCCCCGCGCGAGCCCACACGTCTTTTAGTCTCACGCAGCATCATCTCATGAAGCACGATGATGGTTCCTTGGTTCTGCAATTGACCCCTCGACTACCGTCCATGCTGGTCCCTTCGGCCTCGCGGCTGCCCATCGTGATCGCACAACGCGGTAAAAAAAGATATCATGAAAGAAAATCGAACACGATCTTGCCCCATTCCTGCCCGTCGTACAGCAGAACCCCTCGGACTTCGGCACTGTCGAATTCGAGCCCGAGTTCGAACTCTGGAACGACGTGAGTAAGATGAACGTCGGTCACACCCGGGAGATGAAATCGGTCCCTCGCTCCTGTGAATCGCGTTACTGACCTGTGTAAAAGCCATTACCCATGCTTGCGGCCGCGTTCTGCTGGAAGACCGGGAGGGCACCCAAGTCCACAGTCCATTTGCACAGTTCGTCGGTCTCGCCCTGAGAAACGGATTCCAAACGTGCGGTCCGTCAGCGCTCTCCGTGAACGGAAACGGCCCGCATGACGTCTGGACGCCCCACACGCGCGCACGCACCTCGTCGTTATATCGCATCACCTTATCACTGTCGGAGGTGTACAGCGTCGCCACGAAGATTCGATCTGGCGAAAATATCCCAGTCAGATCCCATCGGGAACGACCGCCATGGCCGGGAAGACGGCGGCGCACCTTGGGAGCTTTGGGAGTATTTGCTGTTTCATGGACAAATTCAGTACTCCGGATCTGCAACGTGTAAAGCGCAAGAAAAAGAAGGCTCACCAAAACTTCGTGATTACCCTTTGACTGGGATGCGAAGCATTCAGCTACGCTTCACATGGCGGCGATTGACAGCCAGCAATGTGGTTCACATACCCTCTCCGCAAGATCGCGCCTTTCGTGACGAGGTACTGGAGCCTGGAATAGAGTAGGTATCGGGTCAGTGCCGACCGAAGACGTGCCGAACTGCGCCCGCACCGGTTCTCGCACACCGGCGTGCCCCCATCGACGCTCTTTATGTACGCAGGACGCTTCAGCCAATCCTCCGACTCTGCCGGAAGTTTCACCTGTGGATGCGCCATAGATAAGCCGTCGCTCAAAACAGCTCGCAGCTTCGAAGGATACAGCGGCGTTCTGAGTTCACGACAACCCGTGCAACGGCGCCGCCCATGCACAGAGTATGTCCGCAGCAAGAGCGAGAGACCAACCTTCATGATGTAGGATCGGGGCACGATCGTGCTCGAAACGACATTGCGGCCCCCCAAGCCATGTTTAGCAGCGCCGCGCAACGTTGCTGTATCCGCATCGACCGGTCGTGCAATGACGCGAATGCGTCCACCAAATTGCTCCTAAGGATAGCCCAGTCAGCGTCAAGGCCTATCTATAATCACCAGCGGCAGCAGGGTGTGAAACGACGTGTGAAAGCGCAACGGGCATAATGGTGGTAAGCCCTGCCGAGGGCACCCCGATCATGGGTGATGGGAAGCCAACTTACGTTCACGCGCTTGAACAAGTATTCACTACAGCATCTTGTGAGCAGTCTCGATCTGGCCGGTCCCGGTGATGGCTGCATACCTGCCCGAGAATCCACCTACGAGGAGCAAGGCATCAATTCTCTGCTCCGCCTTCTTCAATTGCTCTTCTACCAGGTCTAGCACCTACAATAGACGAGGTCAGCGCACGCAATTAGAACCGAAGGATGGTGTCCCGGTGTGGGTGAGAACGAGAGATCGGAAAGAAGCCGCGTTCGACTGCAGTTCATATTCAAACGCGACTTCTACCGACGGGAGATCTAGGCAGGCACGTGGACAAACCTGGTTAATGACGGGGTCGAAGACGTGTTCCCGAAGGAGTTTGCCTGGATCCGTGGTAAATGCGCCACATCGACGGTGAGAAAAACAAGCTTGCCTGGTATTACCAGTTCCCCGTTAATGAGCCCGACCGATGGGTCATCAGGCTGAACGTTGAAGCAGGAGAATTGGATCATATTCCCTGTGGTCGAAGTTTTTCAGTTCTTGCCCGCAACGAGAGACCTCCGATGCAGAGGCATACCATCATCGTCTACGCCCCGGTATTCGAGTTTTTCGTTCTCGCTAAACGCGCGCATGAAGTTTGCCATGCTCGGCGGATCGAGATGGGCGGGATAGTCCGCTAGAAGAGTCTCGACGAGCGAGCGGAACCGAAGATCGAGAAATAGTGAGCCGCAATTTGCTCCGGAGCGAGCGCAAATCTCCGCGATTTCCAGGTTGGCTAACTGGCCGAGGATTTTGTAGACAGCGAGGTCCTTGGGGGACGTGAGTATTCATCAGACCTGCTGTTGACATCTCAACCTACAACGGTACCACCTGTCGGCGTCACGCTAAGTCAAAGAGCGTCGGCTGACTTAATCACTTACCGCCAGCATCACAGATCATAAAGTTCTGGCTAGTCTTAAGTCTGTGTACATCCGTCATGGTCGCGCAATGGACCGCAGCAGCTTCGGGTTCTCTGGCAGTTCACTAGATCAGAACACGTCCGCAAATGTAAGCATTTGTGCAGGAAGAGATCTCACGTAATGATGCGCAGACGATCCCGCCAATTCTTATCGCCAGCGCGGGAGGACTGCACGAGACCGGCGGAGATCGCGGCATCCCGCATCAGCTCGCAGCCTTTCGCATCCCAGGCGGCGGGGACTGTCAAGATGATATCCGCGGAATCTGCGAGAGATGCGTTGAGAACAACATGCTTCTTAGACTAACGTCGAAGGCTCGGTGAGAAATTGTGCGGGAGTAAGTTACATACCGAGGTCAGCCACAGAGCCAAGCTGACGCGTGATCTGGCCCTTTGCGTACTCCCATATGCATGATAAGAAGTCTATGATGACATCTATCGCAGTTTTGCCAGGCTGTGTACAAGTAAATTCATCAGGATCGTGGCGCTAAGGTAGAATACCGATCCCAATGGTATGACGCTCACGGGAAGTTGAGGTAATCGGCTATCCACAGCGTCTTCATTCCTCAAGGCATGAGGCTCAAGGAACAACTTGAACCACTCGCATTTGATGAAACAAGCATGGACGGGCGTATTCTTGGCTTCCAGGCCCCAGGCAATGATTTTGCCATTCTCGTCGTAAACCAGGCACGTGGCTGACCATTCCGCTGAAGTTCAGGCCCGTCTTTCACCCAGTGTGAAACCGCGCACTCACGAATTTTCCTGAACGTCTCGGACGAGCCAGGCCAATGAAGAATCTGTTGGACTTGTCCCGCGGATATACGCGCCGAGGCGAACGCAACGCCTGAAAATGTCGTCCCAAAGTCGACCGCAACAGACATCCTGCCCTGATTCGCCCCAGCACCGCTGCCATCTACCGAAGAGAAAGACATGGACACCGAACGGTTTCCGCCATCAGAGACGGAAATGCCCCGGCCATGCGCGCTCGGATAGAACCCATTTGGCTGGTAGGCCGAGGGTGGTCGTGCAAGGCTCGAAACGCCCATCGAAGGCGGCGTTGGCACACCCTGGGACGCCGGAAGCGTTGACATGCTCATCATTGAGGGTGAGGTAGATGTCGTGCGATCAGGCGCAGGGTATACCGGGGTCGGTTGCGCTAGAGTAGGCGGAGGACTCGGAGCGTTCGTGTTGCCGTGAACGGGGGAAGAACCAGATTGCGCTGAAGCCCAGGCTTGCGATCCCGGAGGTTGTCCATATTGCTCAGGTTGAACGGCAGTTTGAGGCTGGAATTGAGGTGGTGATGTCGGAGGAGGTTGAGTCGTAACTGGCGTGGAACTGGCGTGCTTCGTCTGCGCGTTGGTCTCGTCCGGGTGGCTATGCCGCGCTTCCCCACAGCAGCTCATCGTCTCTCGCAAGGTTTTCTGGCTCAGTACGGAGACGTGGTAGAAAGAAACTCAAGTCTAGAGCGACGGGGTGCAACGAGGCTGCCATCGTCCTCCCTTGGCGCGCTCAGGAGGCGGTGTGAGCGCTTATTACTCTCGTTGACCCCAGGTCCCATCAGTCAAGTCGCCGATATTCCATACGTCAAGAGCTGCTAAAATGCCGTCGGCAATCACCGCCGGCTCGAAGGACCTTCGGATTCGATAGGTTTGTTTCGTTGGGGAGGGATCGGGGGCAAGGCAACATTGCATTGCGAGGCAGAGGATTGCAAGGCAGGATGAGACTGAGGAGCGTATATAGAGATGCTCGGGTATAAGCGTGTCGTTGATGCACGACAGTTCTTGCTCATGCCCCATATAGTACGAAGCATGTGGAATGTTCGTCTACAGCGACCATGTCGCGGGAGATCTGCAAATTGAGCCGATGAACGAGTTCAGTTCGCACAGCGCCACATAGTAAATCAGGCGATTCTATATGCGAACGAGAAAGGGCACCTATGATACCCGATGACATCAGCGAAAGCTCCGCCTGAGATGTCCTCGATCCTGGTTTTGTCTACTGTTCGCGGAGGGAGTGCATGTGGACAAAACGAGGGGTTGGCGGTTCGAAGATATGGGCTATTCCGTTGCAGAAATGAGCGAGGACCTGAGAACATCATTATGAGCTGAACCAAAATTCATTCAAGCACGAGCCCTGCAACACACCTTCCGCGACTCTCAATTCCAACGACAGCAGGAGTTCTCGTTGCCCTCGTCTATGATCTAAGGCAATAGCCGATCGCGTAGACACCGGTATGAACGACGGTGGCCATCAACTGAACGCATGCACATATCCCGCAAAGATTTTCGCGGGTCGCATGGCGGATTGTTCTGCTTGTGATTTTCGGGCAGAGAGATCTTCGCGCCACTTTTTCTCGCCGATAGCCGACATCACTCCCTTGACGATCTGGGAAGCGACAGACGCTGACAACAACTTGGCGCGTTTGCTATCAGAGTTAGCATCAGCTTGTGGAAATGTTGCGATGACGAGGAGACTTGCATGTGGTCATCGCCATCGTTCCCGAAAAAGAGGACTCCGTTGACTGATATAGAATCGCGGTGGCTTGCGCTATATGCACAGTGTGGGTCTGGTGGCCGAAGAACCACGGTACAGAAGGGGAGAAGAAATGCGATATATTCCATGGGTCGCTGCTCCGGGGTACGACGGTCACTGATGGTCGGATAGGCGAAGGTTCTCCATCTCTTCTTGAATCGCCTTGGGAATGTCATCTCGAGACACAGTCCGGTCGTGAGGTGTACCATACCGTGCTAATTGACACGAGATTGTAGGTGTGTTGGGGCGCCCCCGTGGACGTGTCTGCTTCTCATGCGAGCGCACGGATCTTGCGAACAAAACTCCGAAAAGGAGGCGCAGCTGCCGGGTTATGGGGACGATCGATACGCCTCCTACGTCCTGCGGTGGAGAAAGACGAGGGGAGAGAACCATCGGGAGTCCGGGCGCAGCGCTGCCCTATCCGGTCCATCAACGCAGAAAAACCACGCGTACACCACGCTGGGAGTGCTTTCTATCGACGGGGGCTGCTGAATGCTCCGTCGGGTCGGTCGAGTGCCTGCCTGTCAGCGAAAGATAGCGAGTGAAGATGGTCGAAGAGACGAGGCAGCTCAGAGAGACGAAACCATCGATAAGAGAGAGATTGTTCGGCCCCTACCATATACATTCATGGTAAACTCGCAGCAGCGAACTGAATGTTCACATGGTCAACGACGCCAACAACGTGCGACCAGATTATCGTACAACCTGCAGGATGCTGAAAGAGTTTCTTGCGAACCGAAATGTCCCCTTGAGCGAGTCCTGAATAGAAATGGCCACGGCTAGAATAACGCGCACTACACAAGGACGCCATAGACCGCAATATGTCCTTGCCGGGAAAAGGTAACGAAGGCAGGGCCCTGTCCGTAGCCCGAACTTCACTCAGGGCAATCGCCGTGCCGTCACGGTCAGATGGTGGCTGAATGGCAAGCCAGAGTAAGAATTGTGGCTGATTCAGTGTAACTAGATCCAGCAGCCGGCCCAGAATAATCGACCTCGACGGCTAGCTGGTTCACCGGAGAAAAATAGTTTCTAAGGCCGGTGAAGGGGTCCATTAATGTCATGACCGCGAGTCACTGAGCTCCCATGAGCTAAACAGAGGAGCTTGTACATTCTTCTTAGCCAATGGCCCTGGGAGGGTCAGCTGCGCTTCCCTACTTGACGCGTGCCGAGTGGCAAACAGCGGGTAAGTGGAGAAAACCTTGGGAAGGATCGAACGTAGTTCGAAATGCCCATCTGAGGCCGCAGCGTGACGGCATGACGGCTCTGGCCAGCGAGTTGCCCATGGAACTGGCAGATAGGGACGGATAACACGGAAGGATGTCGTGCGGTCGGTAACAGAACCCATATATCCGTCTCAGCTGAAGGTCCAAGAGCGATTGTTGCCGTGTACCCACTGACGGCACGTCCAGCGGATGCCTGTGGATCAGGTTCCTTCAGATGAAAATAATCCTAGGACCCAGACCGAGGCGCAGGCAGAAGAACGAACCTTCTTGATGTAAATGCCATCGCACGGTGTTCTTGAGAGGGTGGATGCAACATCACGCAGCCTCACCAAGCAATACATGTCGCGTAGACATTCGAGATACGCTCGCTACTCGGCTAGCCACGAGCCTTCTCCTCAAAGTGCAGCACGAGTCCACCGAAATCGACCGAAGAATATTGAGGACGCGAACAAGAAAGTGACGTTTTGTTGTGACCTCCGAGACCGCGTGACAGACGCGTTGGCCCGAGTTCCCCGCCATCATCGCTTCCTGCATGATACTTCCTGCAGTTTAACCCCCCTGACCGTTTCCGTGGTCCATTTTCTACCAATGGCCGCGCGGAGCACTCAGCAGGCTTTGCGGAGGTGAGCAAGACCGGCGAGCTCGTAATTGTACTTCGCTGAACGCAGCAAAAGTATTGCGGCAGGTTGGCCAGCGGATCCATTCCGGCCTAACCTTCAAGTGAAGACATTCCTGAATTCGCTCTCGAACCATCCGAGTCTGACACCGGAAGCCGTGGATGCTGCACGCGCTCTCGCAAACAATGCGTTCCAGAAGAAAGTAGGTTCGTGCGTTGGTCGGCCATGGCCGCACGCTCACAGCTCGCTACAGTACCCGCTCACTCCGAAGACGCTGAAGCCAGCGGGGATGCCCCTCTACTACGACAGACTGATCGAGGGCTACGACAAGAGTGCTCGCGGGATCGCTCGCCCATGGTGGAAAATCTTCTTCGGTGTATGGTGATGACGCGGAATTGTCGTCGTGTCCCCACCCGCTTGCCGATCAAAAAGGGGTCTTATTCGCGCGCTTCCCATCGCTCGCTACCGTGGACCGCTCCAACGGCAAAGATCATAACTGCCTACTATGGTACATCGCGCCATCGGTCCTGCACTCTTACGGTACACGTGTTACGAAGTGCGGAACGCGGAAGACTCCTAACCGCCGCCGGTGCGACGCAAGCCATGCGTCGTCGATTCTCCGTCATCACGGAAGTCAAGCCACACGGCCACCGTGCCACCCGTCCTTGGTCACCCTGGGATATTGTGATTCTTCCGGCGCAACAGCATGCATGTGCGCCGTGCGAAATGCACCTCGCCGTTCAGGGTCGGGAGAACTAAACTCACTCGTCCAGTATCTCGTCTTCCCCTTCTCTGGCCTGTAAGAAAGGAAAAAACTCGCGCATTAGTTAACAGCATCCACATCCGGACGAGCGAGGTTCGTTACCTTGTCCATGAGTTGCCGTCGCTTTTCCCGTGCCTTTCTCTGCACCTTGACATATTTGCCGAGCGGGCTTTCCTCCACCTTGACGGCACGCTCCCACTCCTGGACCTGAGAGGTTTGTTTTGGCGCGAACTCGACGCTTTTCCGCTGTTGCTCGACCCATTTTGCGCTCTCCTCGATGCGGTCGACGAGCCCTTTAACGAACGATGCTTCCTTTCCAGACGGCTTGCCCTTTCCCCCGCCGGACTGTTTGGATTTTGTCGCACTCTTAAGAGCTTTACGCAGAACAATCGTAATGGGCACGGCAATTTCGGGGAAAGCGATGCTGCCCTGTACAGGTCGGCTGGCAAGCCATTCCGCGAGGATGAACGTAGCGTCTTCCACCAACTCCTCGGCGTAGACGCGAGTCTTGACGTACTGCTGCGGCGCGCGGATATGAGTCTCCATGTCAAGGGGCTTTAGTGTGGCCGCCTTTTTGGCCTGGGCCGAGAGAGCGGAAGTGATAATGGGAAGAAGATAAGGAGACATTGGGACGTAGGTATGCGTGTGTTGCGTCAAGTGAAGCAACGAACGCGAGAGATGTAAGTGGAACGGGAACGATCGTGGAGCGGATACGAGCCTGTAGGAACGAATATGAGGTACGCCCCAAGAGACTATAGGAGTGGAAACGACGAACTTGATCGCACCGACAGTCACCTGGACGAGCGGATAGATGAGCGCTTGTAGCTGGCTCTCTTCCCCGCCCCGTTGGTCTGTTGCTTGTTTATCGCAAGCCCGAGCAAGCACAAGACACCAGAAGTCCACAGAGTGCACATATTGCCAGTTGTACACCAGCTTGTAAGATTCCTATACGTCCAAACCATCGTGTCAGCATCCACGGTTTTGGTGGAGGTGAAAGATTTCGGTTTTACTTTTGTCTTAGTCTTCATACTATTCCTAAGATGTACGGCCAGTTGTCGAATATAGCCGAACGCATGCTGGTATGCTGTCGCATGATCGACGCAATACAAGTCAGAAGCTGAGTTTTTCATCAGGTTGATGGAAGGGAGAGTATGCGGCGTCGTTGTCTTTGACGCCCTGACCAGGGTGAGGTACACGCCCTGGATCAGCAGTATGAGCTTCGTTATGGAGGGTCGGACATGAGGAAAGTACCTTCAGGACGAGATCCATTATGGAGTCGTCCGTCGAAGAGATCAAACGACGCATCGCGAGGTATGCCGCTATTCTCACTTGATCTTGCGCACTCGACCAAAGACCCAAGCACATCTGGTTCAGATATCAATGATTCGCGCTTTAGCGAGGTTGCGACAGAGCAGTTTCACGCGTACTTTGAGGTAAGTCTTCACGGCCTTCCGGCTGCCCACGACGTATGGAAGGAGTTTCGCACTCTCCGACACGGCCAGCTCGACCATCTCGGGATCGGTGAGTTGGTCGACAATGTGTATGACATTGTGGAAGTACGAGAGAACAAGCTTGTTCAAGGTGATGAACTTGTGAGCCTGCGTTGGAGGTTTGCTATGTGAGCGTCATCGGTAAACGTGGCGAAAGCGAATAAACCAAGATGAAAGCGCACTATTTTCCGTTGGGAAGTGTCCTATAAGGCATATGATGTTCTAAAACGACAGGTGTATAACGGAATGCGGTGGTCACAAGTTTGTTGTAAACTGGAGGACAGTATGAGTATAGTCGTGCCACAAGATGTGAGCCTGAGTTCGCGTACCACTTGGGCTGTCGATATTCCAAGCAAGGACCTGATCTTCCTCGTTCATGTGCGTGGCTGCCCTAAACGCAACCAGGAGCTTTCGGAGAGCGCGCAGCGATCTTTGCTATACAGAGGGCGCTGAATATAAGTCACTAGAACGCGGAAGCCTTGACCAAGACGAACCTGAAGCATCGCTTTCTGCCATCCCTTCAACACTTCCTTAGTGAGGACCGGTGCCTTCACCTCCTCTGCCTCCTCCTCCGCGCCCTCTTCCGCATCGTCCATATCCGCGTCTTCGTCACCGTCATCCGCTTCGCCGGCCGTGAATCGCAAGAGCTCCGGATCGTTCTCTTGAAGATATTTGTAGAACTCCGGGTCCTTGTCAGCGAGCTTTGCAAGCTCCTGTATGTGGTCATCTCCGTCATCTGGATCAGTCGGACATCTGTCAAGTACTGATTCGAGCACGCAGGACGTATATCGCGGGCTCACCATCAAGATCGTCGACGTCTGAGAAAGACTGGTTGCTGTCCACGTCTTCAGCTCCGGAACCTTCGTCCGCTTCACTGTCCATCTCGTCCTATGTTGATACCCAGTAAACCATGTCCCATATGCGAGCCACGAGACTCTTACATCGTCGTCATCTTGCATGAACTCCCCGCCCAGGAAATCATCGACAGTCATCTTCTTACCCTCCCCCCTTCTCTGCTTCCCAGCCTTCACGTCCTCTTCATCTTCCTGAGCGTCATCCTCGAGACCCGACTCAGCTTCGCTCGTCTCCCTCTCTTTGCCTTTGCCCTTCCCCGGTGCCTTCCCAGCATGTTTCCTGTTCAGCCGAGCGTCCGCTTTACGCTTAATTTGCTGGTGCTTCCTCCTCGCGTCAATGGTTTTCTTCAGCTGTCCGCTAGCAGCAAACTTGCGAGTAGCCTTATTTGCTTTCTTGCCCATAGCGAAAGATCGGTTCGAAGGCAAAGCAGGGAAGAGGAAAAGAGACTTTCGACACAGCCACATCCATTTCGGCAAATCCTCCAACGCCGCCTCAGCGTCGGGCGAGCCGTTCATGTTGCGACCACGATCGCAAGTGCGAACGACGAAGCAATGTGAGGCCTCGGAAACCCACGGGAGAATGTATACTGGGTATTAATGTTACATGGAACGCGGTACAGACACTCATATAGGCAATAAACTGCCAGCCCCTCTGAACGCCATCGACGCCCCGAATCGGAGTGTCTGTATACCGCCCGGGAAGTACGCGAGCACATATGAAACGAGAGCTACCACCTGTAAGTCGCATGAAGGACAGCACAAACGACGGACAGAATGGTAACATGCATACCTGGACAATCCCACATAAGAGAGCGCCAAGGTATGAGTGAACCTGAGTTAACGGTCAGAATCGTCGGTCAGAGCGAGTGTTTCGGTGTCAAGACTCTCACCCCCACGGAGAAGTATATAGTAAGAGCAAGACTTGAGAAGTAGGCCACCGTGAAGGGTAACCGCTCTTTCGAGATAAGATGTTTGATGTGATTTATGGGGCCGATGAGGACCGAGAAGCTGGGAAGGTTGAGTAGCACTAAGAACAATATCGGCGGGAAATAGAGGGAAATCAACACACCCAAACATCACGAGCAAGCTCCCCAAGCTGGTCATGCATCCATGGTTAGTCTCTTGCAACTGTCAAGGCCAACGGGAACGTGCCTGAACGCCAGCGCGAACTTGGCCGGACGTATGGCCAGCATTGGTAGTGTCAAGAACGCCACGAAGAAGCATACTGCAGCTCCTAGCAGACAGGCTCCGAAGCCGAGTAACCTGACATAGGCTGGACTTCAGCATTCGATGGACGAGCTGAGACCGATGACGTTAGCAACAGAACACGCACCTTTCCCATCTGGATAGCGCGAAGTAAGCCTCCTCTTCGTTACTCCTCTCGCTACTCCTCAGCGGTATGTAACCGCCGACTCCCGTCGAGACCGAGTTGTAGAACCTCGCGAAAGGACCGCTCTGTTGTTGAGCTTGGGAGTCGTCGGTGTTTCCCGTGGCCCAGCGGAATTGCGAGAGGTTGGAGCGAAAGTTTTGCTCCGCCGAGTTGTTGTTCGGTGCCATCGCGTATGCCGAGGGCGGAACGCAAAGTCTGTCAGGCCAGGTATTGGGGTGAGCGAGCAAAGGAGTTAGAGTAATACGGTACGGTGTGCTGCGCGCGAGTACCCTACGGCGCACAGTTCTGACCGTGAGAATACGCTTCTTAACGCCCCCTTGAACTTGCTCTCAACCAACACATATGCACAACTCAATGCTGCATTTCGAAACGCTTACTGGTTTGTGATCTGGTAGCTTCTCATACCAAAAAAATACGGCACCAAGCACATCCGTTTTGCTTATCTCGTTTTCACTCGATGTTCCGCTTTCAATCATGCTCATTAACTGGGGACGGCTTGTGAGTTGGATTCTATAGCAAGCGACCTTACCTATTCATTCAGTGGCCGGATGCCACATCTGGTCGACTATCCCCGTTTTCCTGTAGTTCAGAAGCACGCTGTGGTCGACAGATGGGCTGAACCAGGCCGTGAAGCGTCCCTTGACAGGCGTTTTACTTGACGCACATCGGATCTTGGACAAGCTTCCGGACCATTCTATCGCTGTGGTATTCTTTAAACCGCGCGGTCCTGAGCCTTATCGCCGACTCCGCCACGTATCCGGCCAACGTAACCTCCTTACTGCGGATGATGCAGATGAAACAGCTATTATGGCTTGCCCCTTGTGCAAACACTCGCAAGCCGTTGAACGTCTCAAATGCTACCCCGGGTTCGCTGGGCTCCGGATCAAATCTTACTGAAGATGCAGTCATTAGCATCAGCCAAGGTAATTGAGCACCCTGATAAGCCCAACTCGTAGGATATAACTGACTTGTGCATATAACCGCACTTGATTTAAATGCGGCTTTGATTTACCTTATTCATGCTCCGATGTTGTGCTCAGCTTGTCCCTTAACCGACCAAGTAAATGGACGCCTTTGTTTCAGACTCGAACACGCAACACCAACGATCTACTATGTATGAATCACCCTGAGAAGAAAGACATTTCGGAGCTAACAAGACCGGGCTTCTGCTTTCGGGTATACCAGCAGCCCGCGCCTTCCCCTCGAAGTCGATGATTTGTTGAATATGGCCCAAGGTAGTCATCCTCTCCCTGTCACCGAGCCTGCTCACACTGTGGTGTAGTGCTTCCAATAACGACGTATCTTCTGGCCCTAAGTGTTACAGCTGCACGCGACCTGAACGTGGAGCCATAGAGAGGCCGACTGCGCATTGTATCGCAACTCAACGCTTATGTTGAGAGTGGCATCACGTAACGGTCCTGTATCGTCATTGTATTATTATTGTGTCGTTCATCCTCTACTCGAATCGCCGAAATTACGTGACAGGAATATGACCTCTTTCGTCGCGTCGGCAGCTTACTGCTGGTGCGTTTTACATCGCTGCTTTATACACCGATATTTGTCGACAACGTGTCATCAAGTAGTCGAGCATAGCATGGACTGTACTTTGAGATGCATCCCATACTCGGATTCGTCTCGCGTGCATCACAGCCTCCCTGTGTCTTATCAGTGACTGCAGACCACATCAGCCAGGTATACGTACTGCAGTCCGCTACACATGAATGGGAAGTACATTCGTCGTCGTCAGGATATTCCACGCAACAAGATCTGCATGCGGTAACGCATGACTGTCGTGGAAATAATCAGCATGGTAGGATTCGAAAGTGTGCGTTTACGGACATTCGCATTGCTGAGCAGGAAATTACAGTGCTGTGCCAGTACCGAAGATGATAGCGCCGCGATTACGAGGATGAGGAAACGCATTTTGGTCGAGACACAGGCTCGCAGACGACGAATCCGCCTTGGATGTTTCCACTCGTTTTCACGGGGAATATTTATACTCACTCGGAACTCCAAATGAAGCCCTATATCCGTGTCGTAGGTACCGCCAAGACTAATGTCGATCCGCGTTCCTGCCCCGCACATGTGACGGAAGTGACGTGGTGAACTTGAATCCGTCTTGGACAGATGCTTGATGTAGCGAGAGTCAACATCGGGATGAGGTAGGCCTGAAAGGGATACGCCACTGTTCCGAACAGTCAGTTCCTAACGGTTATCAGCGTACGTATGAGTGATCCTCGTGGCTCTGATATCGCTCTCAGGGACAAACCGGACGCTGCTGTCATAATATGGTCCATTGTTCACGTTGAACGTCAACATCTGAGTGTCGACGTCGCCTTCGAATCAGCTGCTTAGGACTATCGGCATCCATTAGGGGGGTTCAGAGTTGGCGATTCTGCGCCGATTCTGCCCCAGATTCTGTGTCGATTCTATGTCGATTTTGCCGTCGCTACGACGGTCATAATCCGATTCTCCTCACCTTCAACTCTGAACCCCCCGCTTCTACCACTGATTCTGGCCCGATTCTGTGCACGACGTAATATCCTGCCGACACTGCGGCATGCCCATCTGAGTTTTAACGACGGGCTCGGCATAGCGGCAGCTCATCCGAGGTGGCGAAAACTCTGGAATTGAATGCGAAGGTCGAGTTATAACGTGAATGACAGAGTTTCTTTGTTTTAAGCTCGAGTCCGACAATGTATGTCCGAGGTTTATTTGCAGCCAGAAGAGTGAAATATTTATTGGCTTAAATAGGCGTCAGGAGTGTTGCTATGCGGAACTACCAAATGCAATCTACTTCTGCCCATAAACTGCTGATACAATGGTATGTCGAGGGTCCTGGTGACAGCCTCTGCGCGAGTACATATATATACAGGAGTAAAACACAGGTTGAGGATTGCCTGAACGAGGGGGTGGAAGACCCTGGAAAACCTCGTGACGCGTCAGTGGTTTCGGACTCCGAGGCAGCGACGCGATGAAGCTGAATCGGACTCTGGTCGAATCGAGTGAAGCGACTCCAGAGCCGCTTCACCAATCCACCCAGAATCGGTGTCCAGAATCGACTCTTGAATCCGCCCTTGAATCCTTGCCAGAATCCCAACTCTGAGCCCCCCTATTGATCAGATGTGGATGGATATTGACATGATATCTAATCTCTGTATCGAATGACAGCAGGCTCAAAGCTTCTCTGTACTGTAAATGAACACCGTATACGACGAGTGCATAAGTCAAGCAACGCCTACCGCAGTCGATGAGGCAGCTTCCACTTGTGCATTCCTCATCGTCTGGGAATTCTAGACAGCACTCCTTGCAGGCACTGATGCACTCCTACGACGGCGGGTAAGTACTAAGCTGCGGGAAGCGACGTCTGTGAGTGGACACACGCTGGCGGGGATATCAAACAAGCAGTTCTGTGCGAGAACCGACAGAGACAGTGCGGCGAGGGTAAGCACAAGTAAGCGCATGTTGAAGGATCCGAGTGCTGTTGGCTACATGTCCCACCGCACGTAGGTTATATACTGTGGGCGGAACTGACTCCGCCAGTCACCTCGCGAGTAGTCAGCAGGGGGTTGACGAGCCATCAAGTCCGAAATAGAGCGCAGTGAGAAGCTTGTGTATTTCCGGGAGACGGAAGACGCGATAGGCATGTACAAACGACGCTCTGGGTCAAATTAGCAACTGCGGGTCCTGGTGGAGCGAATCAAAGCAGCTGACCATGGTTGCATCTTGACGTTCATGTAGGAGTTGCGTGAAGCATGGACAGCGTTGGGCGAGCCTTATCGCTCCAAGTTTCGTCTGTGCACATCGGTCGCCGTCTGCTGCGCCGGTATCCCAGGGATGACAAGACATGCGCAAAGCGGCATCGCGTCGATTACTTGTACCGACGGACGTAGTCTTAATTACTTGCCGGGGCTGTCGTGTTTGTCCGGCTCAATAGGTTCAGTGGCATACAGCGTGACAAGGATATTCAGTCGTCGTCGGTGATGGTTCGTGTCCTCGCACTGGTGCTACTTAGAACGATTGTCTTCACTGCGCATCGAGAGTCTGACTGGGACTACACTGGCGCCGGTGGCGGCTCTCGGCACCGAATCTCTGCGAAAACGCGTCCAAGTCACGCGGTTGCACGTGAGTCAACGCGTCCTTAACGCGACTTGAAGAGTTCGCCCGTTCTTACCCTGGCCCCTGTCACTGTCAGACCTTTTGAAGGCTCGACTGGTTCGATAGCAACCTCAAGGTACGCTAACTCACCCATTTCCGTACTGGTACACACAATAGATGATCTGATGTTGCTTGCGTTGCGCTAGATCGTTGGCGTCCCGAGGTGACCCTAAAACCGAAGCTTTCTGGGATTGGACGGGGACGCTATGCTTCCAGCTCGCGCGAGCGGTGCGAAAGCACACTCGAATGTACCGGGTAATCCTCACGGTAAGAGAAAAAAAAATCAGACTGCGTGCCTGCTGACATCCTCGGTTTTCCGTCCGAAGTACCGACGTCGCCACAGGAATCATCAGGTTCGACAACGGAGTCACGCCAGTCTGTACCCAATTGACTCCTGGAAACAGATGCAGAATTTGATCCTGACTTTACCCCTGGCGAATATGTATACGAGCCGAAGCGTCGTCGTGCGCCCACACGAAAACGCGCTCACAGTGACCGTACCCGTGCTTCTCCTCGAGGGAAACGCAGCAGGGTTACAGGTAGGTGAAGCTCGAAATTCTGAAAAATAATCTGATATAAATATCATTGCGCTAAGGTAGCACTGGACGACGGCCGAACGACCCATTGCGGGATATATTTGGTAAGTTTCAGTTCACAGTAAGCGATTAACAACATTGACCATCGATAGGCGACGAGTACGGGGTATACTCAGGTTCAGACGTGCCTGAATCAGACCACGAAGAAGATTCGGAGGAAATCGAAGACTCCGTCACAGGCGAGCAACACACAGGATGCACAAAGCAGTATTGACCATCTTTCAGAGTCGGAGTCGGAGGCAGAATCTACAACAGGACTTGCGACGGTCCTTAAAACTGATGTGAGAGCTCAAGCAATAAATGTCTTAGGCAAGCGCGCCAGACCGGAGAATGATGGTGAGTTTTGCGAGGGTGATTTGTATCCGTAGCGCTAATCGTTGGCCGCAGAAGAGTCCGTGACCGAATCCGAGTCCGAATGTGAAGAGCCACCTCATCATACCGTGAAACGTGCCAAGACAATCGAAGTTCAAAGCGAGGGGTCTGTAACCGAATCCGAATCCGAATCCGAGAGCCTCGTAAGGATTGTCTGCACCGTACGCCGACACGCTGAGCTGCAATGATGCCTAGATTATCCAATCCGCCGATTCAACACGACCAGCTTTTCACCGTACTCGGGAACAACCGCTGCTCGGCCCACTGGTTCTTGACGCCAAACGACACATCAGCGTCCCTCGTTATATCAACACCTTTCTCCGCGACTATCAGCGAGAAGGAATCCGTTTTCTCTGGACACAATATTCACAAGGCTTGGGCGCTCTACTGGGCGATGATATGGGTTTAGGGAAAACGGTTCAGATAATATGTCAGTTACGCTTTTCATGAAGGATCCCGTACTCAATGTGTAGGAATGTAGCATTCCTATCCGCCATCATGAGGAAAAGCGGCGATATCCGCGATCTAGACCGGAGACGAAGATACGTGTCACATTTACAGGACAGTGAAGATTGGCAAAAGCGAAAGAAACTTCCACCCGCCAATGTCAAGTGGCCAACGTGTCTGATCATCGCACCCAGTACCGTGGTCTACAACTGGGAGCGGGAATTCGAAACTGTGTGTTCGTCTCCTGCAGTCGATTGCAATCATAACTAAAGGGGAGTTCATCAGTGGGGTTTCTTTGAGGTTGGAGTTTATACAGGGAAACCGAGCGACCGGAAAGATGTACTCAGGGATTTCAAGATGGGACGATTAGATGTTGGTAAGTCCATTGCCCAGTGATGAGCTTTTTGAAACATCGCTGATGTTGGACCGCAGTAATTACCTCGTTTGATCTCGCAAGACAGGATATATCATTGCTAGATGATCTCGCGTGGTCAGTAGTAATAGTTGATGAGGTCCACACTCTCAAGAACCCGCGATCGAAGACCGCCCATGCATACAATCAATTCAAGTGCCAACAACGGATCGGACTGACTGGAACTGCGATCCAGAACAACTATGGCGAGCTGCACACTATTCTCGATTGGACGAATCCCGGACGAGTCGGGACCCCAGCACAATGGCAGTTTTACGTCACCGGACCTTTGACACGCGGACAAAGCAAGGCATGTTCCGAGGAAGAACGAGCACGAGCAAATGTGAGCGATTTGTCCGTCCGTGAGTATACATGCTGACGTTCTGTCAGATCGTTGCCAGCATCTTGAAAGACAAACTGCTTCCAAAATATTTCAAGCGCAGGTACGGGTTCATCATAATCTGATTGGCATCACAGAATCATCCGCCCACAGGACGAAAGACATAATCAAGGATCAGGCAAGCCTTCTTCAATAATATCCATTGCTAATCACTGTTGCTCACACCTCCTGTCGGACAGTTACCGAAAAAGATCGACAAGGTCGTTTTCTGCCCGCTCACCAGGAAACAAATTCTCGTGTACAAGAGGATACTCGCAGTTCCTGCTGTTCAAGACATGCTTATGAAAGACGATCTTTGCGAATGCGGCTCACGAGCAAAGTGAGCAGGAGCCCTTGGCGCAAGGTGATTACACTTAATCAGGAGAGTGCAGACGAAAAGACTGTTGCAAACCATGGGACAAAAAGATCCTCTTCCAGTACATGTCGGCCCTGCTCAAGGCGTCGAACCATTTGTCCCTGCTACTTCCTGGGCCGGGAGATACCGCCGAACAGGCGAGTCAGAACCTAAACTGTTTTACTTGTGGCACTGATGGACGGTAGGTTGAACGCAATCGTCAACTAGCTCGCGTTGCCTTCGGGCCCTCTCCGCCGACCTATGGAGAGTCCATGTTCGTCCCCGACTTCTGTGGCAAATGGCTGGTGTGTGGGAGGCAACTGCTACGACATCTTGCACCGAACTCATTCTTGCTACTAGATACTGGAATCGCTTCTGGCGGAGTGGCGGGAGGACCCTACCATCAAAGTCTTGATTTTCACCAAATCAGTTAAACTACTTGAGATTCTTGATTACCATCTTGGCCGGCAACGTGAGTTAAGACGAACATACAGCGCCATATATACAATACTTATATGCCTACAGACAGTCAATTTGTCCGTTTGGATGGCTCTACTCCGCAGCACGACCGTTCGTAGACCCGTCATGTCCGAACGACGCTATCTGAAATCTTAGTTCTTAGGTATGCCGCTAATTGATAGATTCAACAACGATCCCGAGATCCGGATTTTCTTGATCTCAACCTTGGCTGGAGGGACGGGGCTGAATCTGACGGCCGCTAACAAAGTGGTTATATTTGGTACGTCGCCCATCATCCAGCACCCCACAGCGGATTGAATGCAAGATCGTGCAGATCCCAATTGGAGTGCGTCATCCAAGTATCCACTCTCGAGATCGCGGTGTTAATAGTTTGTGAAGATCCCGCCCACGATCTGCAAGCCATGGACAGAGCCTACCGTTTTGGACAAACCCGAGACGTGTATGTTTATCGGCTACTCGGTATGTCATATACAGCTTAGCAAGTAACCGCAACTGACAAGTGCGTATAGGTGCCGGTTCTCTTGAGGAGTTGATATACGCCAGGCAGCTATACAAGCAACAACAGATGCGGATAGGCTACGAGGCTAGCATTCAGACGAGGTACTATTTTCGACCGACTTGCTATCGTGTCCAGTGATTGACTCTGAGGTAGATACTTCGAGGGCATACAGGGCGACCCTACGAGGAAAGGTGAACTTTTCGGCATCAAAAACATATTTACCTTACACGAAGATACACTGGCGACAAAAAAGGCTGTACGAACTGAGGGTCCTTGGCATCGGTGCTTGCTCGCTGATTTGACTATAATTGAAGATTGAGGATGCTCATCTGTCCTCGTTTGATTGGGCCCTTGCGCATGCAGAGGCGAAGAAGAGAGGCAAAGATGCCTGGGTGTACGATGCAGAGAAGGAAGGAACCAAACAGGAACCCGAGATGAATGGCCTGGGCGCTTTGCTCTTCGATGACAGTGCGTCGTTTCAGCCTTCTAACGAGCATCTTTGGACCGTCACATGTAGGCGTAAAAGCTCGGGAGGCCCATGAAGTGACTGAGAAGGCGCTGAAAGCTGCTGGCATTCAATATGCTCATGCTAATGAAGACCTTCTGAAGACAAATCCATTCGAGCAACAGAGAGCGGCTCTGGCGACCAAGGTTGGAGGATTTGCGCTTCACAGATTTGACGAAGAGCTGATCGACTACATGTCCGCGATAGACCTTGAAGGCGAAGGCAAGGACGAGCCGCGCTCGCAAGGACAAACCAGAGAGCGCGCAAGAACCGGAATGGCCACCTCGCCGTCGCCATCACCGACCACCTATGAGTCCGCGATCAAGGTATTTCTGGTTCGTCTCGCGAATACGCGGGGAAATAACAACGTGTTTAGGCTTGCAAACCGCCAGATAGCTCTGATTGAGCTAGGTTTCATCAATGATGCCGTAGACTCAGCCACATTCGCCCAAGAATTGTAAGCCGTGGCGTGCATCTTGTGGAATTCTTCAGCTCACCTGGGATCCAGCGCACGCATGCCAGCAACTGAACAGGAAGCGCTGTTAGCTCGCCTTGATGATCACGCAAAAAAGAGCATAGCCCAGTCGTCAGGTCACTGATGTCGCTATGGATCGCAATTCTCCTCCGTGGACAACACACACGATCGACCATTTCGACCCTGGTCCGACCATGGTCCAAAAGAGATCATCTATAGGCACGTGATAGATGCAGTTCTCTGGGAGGTCTGACAGGACCGGTGCGAATACCGCCAGAGCTCCGATCCACACAGCCACCAAAATCCCCGAAAAACGCCCGTTTACGGGCGCGAGCTCCGATACCAAAACCCCGAAAACATGGGGGTAGAGGGCAAAATGTTACATCCAGGTCTGCTCCGAAAAGGGACAGATTCCAGCGGGGTTCGATCCAAGATCCCTGAAATTGGAGGCCAGCCGTGACAACCATTAGGCTACGAGACACACTGGCTGAGCATCCATTCAGCAAATTATATTCTGTTTGGCATGTGCTACACACTTGCGCGAATTTGAGTCCCCACTGCCCTCATTTACTCACTATACTTTCCGAGCTCGCCGTGTCCCGAATTGCTTCCACCACCATTCTCTCCACCTCCAGGCAGAATCAGGCAGGCTTCAAGTGCTTGGCGCACGTACAAGGATCTTGTCCGCTCCGTCCAGGATGTGCTAATAAAGAAAACGGAAGAATTTATGAGAGCTGTGAAGTCCCGGAACAGGCAAACAATGGGAGAAAGCAATGAGAATGGCGGGAACATGGAAAATCGAGCACGGAGACGGAGACGGGAATGTGAGCATAGTCGGGATCTGGACTCGATTGAGACGACAAGGAGTCCTCTGGTGCACAATTAGGTACACTGAAGTGTATTCAGGCGACGGTGTGCTGTGAAGCGTCTCGGAGAGCTCCGATCCCATTTTTGCCCCGAAAATCGTCAATTCGGGGCCATGTCTGATGTCAAATCCCCGAAATTCGGCCTCTTGGGACCTTCACCGGAACCCCGAAAATGGCCGAAATCGCCTCTTTGAGGGATCGGAGCTCTGGTGGGGTTCGCACCGGTCCTGGTCTGACGTCCCCGCTTTATTCGTCAAGGGATAGAATACCAATAATGATAGATAACTCGGTAGATTATGCAGTGAATGGGGACCCAAAGGCACTTCAGCTTTGTACTTGAGCTTCACTAGCATCGTGATCATAATATCAGCTTCTTGAATCCGGACTATATACACCCTTCAAGACGATGTCCAACACAGACGGGCCACCCCACGCGCGTAGGTCCCTTCACAGGCTTTGCCGGCAGAATTTGAACGGGACGCCATGTACCAGCAAGATTAGGTGGCGGCGAGCTTCCTTCCTTGACGGAGAGCTCATTGTCAACCCCAGCAGGAATCACGAATCCAGGCAAGTAACAATCGGGTTCCTAGGCGATAATCGGCTTACCGTTATGTGTCTCGTAGAATATGCGAACTTGACACCGGCCGAGCTCCATGAGCTGAATGATGTCCGTTGAATCTGATTGCATCCGAGTCGTTCGTTAGACACTGATACTGATTCGTAAGGCTTTGATGAAAGACGCAGTCCCTGAGAGACCCCTGATTGACAAAATCATGGACATCTCGGTGCTCCGAGAAGAGTACGAAGCCGGAAACGGGCTGTTCGTCGTTCAAATTGATGGTCTCGTCAAGAAGGGATTCAAAGGAGTGCGACGAACGCGCGGCGACGGAGACTGCTTCTACCGCTCCTGGGCGTTCGCGTACATCCAACGACTCCTCCATTCTCCAGATGGTGAACTGGCTGTCGCGAGCGCGGTGTCCCATCTGGAGAGCACCCTCCCTCTGCTGGAGACTGCCGGCTTTCAGCGGATGGTCTTTGAGGATTTCTACGACGTCTTCGCGTCACTTATTCAACAGATCGTTCAGCCAAGTCCTGGGGGCTCGGTACTCACTGACGAAACGCTCTTGGAAGCCTTCCAGTCACCGGAAGGTTCGTCCGCTGCACATTCATCGTCAGGCATTTGACTCATCCAGCATGCGCAGTCTCAAACTCGGTGGTTGTGTATCTCAGATTTTTGACGTCAGCGCACATGCGTCTCGATCCGGAAGCATACGAGCCATTCATCTTCCATCCTGAGACGCAAGAGCCCATGGGCGTCGTTCCCTTCTGTGAAAACTTTGTCGAAGCATGCGGGCGGGAGGCGGATCACGTTCAAGTTACGGCACTCTCGCGCGCCATGAAGGCCAACGTATCCGTCGTATATCTGGACGGTCGCAGTCAGGTTGCGGATTTCGTAGATTTCGTTTACGCCGAAGACGGAGAGATGGAGCCATTGATTCTCCTGTATAGGTTGGTCTCGAATTCTTACCGTGAACAGAAATCGCCTAACGTCCGACTAGACCAGGACACTACGACATACTGGAGCGACACGCAGGTAACTAAATGCGACACCATAGGGAGCTCCTCTACACGGAAGTTTTCACGGCTTCGTATTCATCCAACGATATTGATAATTTCCTCGGTGTGTACATGCTGCATCAGCTACTGTCACATAGAAGGCGTGCCCCCGCGTAGCAATGTACAATAGTCGGTAAAAATGCATTAGGCCATACTCAGGCGGGTGGCATCGCAGGCCCGTTGTTCCGATAGGTATAAACGTCTTCAGTTGCAGGTGTAGCCTTGAAGTACCGGCCCAAGACGGCGTCTTTTGGTAACATGAAAACGGTCAGAATCATATCCTTGCCTTAAGTGAGAGAAACTCACACGTCGGGTCGCTCTCGACGTGCAGGAAGTGCTTCAAGGGCCACGTGGTGCCGCCTGCAGCTTCATCCTTCCTCCGCTGTCGTTGATCATTCTTGAGAGGATTGTCAGTTGTGCATCTGCGGCATATGACTGGACGACTGACCTCAATCTTACTCTTCTCCTTGCTAGCAGTTTCGTAATCACCCTCGCGAATACCCTTCGCAACTTTGCCCCAGAGCTTTCGGCTCTCAAAGTCGTCCATCTTATCCACCGGCGCGACAGTGACCTCCTCTTTGGGCGCGCTCACGTCGTGGAAAGTCTCCCCGGTCTTGACGTTCTTCGAGTTGGTGTGCCATTGGCCCTCAAAAGTGTGCGTGGGCGAGCCGGCACCGAAGCCAGGAGTCATAACCGCCTTGAACGTGTGTGATTTGCCAGAGAAGTAACCCTTGCCCTTGTACTCGATCTATCGGAATGGGGTTCAGAGGAGGCGAAGATGCTGAGCGAACACGACAGCGACGTACGGTCGTTAACCATCCATTCGAACCGGAAATGTACGACGTTTCGGCGAGTTCGATGTAAGGCGAGCCGTACCATAGACCTTCGATTCGAAGCTTCGGCAGGGTGATGAGGTACTCCTCCTTGTTTCCGTCGGGTAGGTTCAGAGTCAACACAGCATGTCCGACCTGCCTCACGATGATGTTGCCTCCTGCAAGCATGTGAGGTCAGGATTGGTTCGTTTGCGTGGGGGAGTATGTCACGGACCAGAGAAGCTGGTCTTCTGTGCACTGTGGCCCTGGAGTGAGATGCCCTTGCTGGGGTTCTCGATGTAGTAGGCCGTGATAGGCGGATGGTGTGACACCTGCTCAACGACCAAATTTGTCTGACCCCGGCCGTGCTTGTCCGGCCAATATCCGTAGAACAACCTTCAAGGGCGACGCGCGTGAGCCAACTCAGTGGGGACGATCATCAATCAAACTCACTCTCCAAGGACAGGGTTGAGCGGTCTAGACGGGGGCATGAAGATCAGCGGAAAGTTCGGAAGGGCGCGGGACAATGACACGGACTTCTTTTCCGACCCCATGGACTCGTTCCTGGACGTGTATTGTCCCTTCAGCGTTGACTATTAGGTGGCATGTCAGACCGGGAGCGCACACAACGCTACTGATGCAATCTCTACGCACGATGAACCACCGCAGGACCGCGATAGCCCGTTCTTCACCATTCTTTCCATCGGCAATGGCTGAAAACAGCTCGGGGCGTTCACACCAGTAGGCTGTAGAGAAGAGAAAATGACCATAAGTAATAGGAGCGATGAAGCTAACAGTAACCAATACCTGGGAACTCGGTCAACGAAACGGGGGAGAGGATGAAGGGCGGGGCGGTCAAGGACGAGAGGTCTCCGGAGAAGGACGCGATTCTATGGGCACCGTCAACACGCGAATGTTCGTTGGTCGATGATAATGAAGCCGATCCGGACGTACGATTTGAGGAACGAGGTCCAGCTGCTGCGCTGCGCGGGCGGAACAGCCTGCCAGAGAGGGTATCAGAATTACATGCGCGCGACGCCGCACAGAACAGGAGACTTGCTTCGGCCTCTTCGTGGGGCGTGTCGGTCATGGTTCAAGGAGCGCTGAGGTTGAGGATGTAATACACGAAGAGAATGATGGGTGATGGAGTCGCGATCAAGGTCAAGGAAAGGTATGAGACGGGGTGGTCTTGAACGTATAGATGGCAGTGTTCGCGCGTTTACATCAAACGTCATCGAAGCCCCTAAACTAATGCCCAACCAAGCGTACATGGAGCTATTGCGATAATCTATTGCACAATTCTACACATTGCGGAACTCAAAAGCCGGTGCGCCGGGCTCAGAGGCCTCGATGATAGCTCTGTTGAAGCCAGGTTCCCCAGCGTGTTGAAGGGCCTCTTCCACCGACAGCACCTCTACGTCCACCAGATTGAGCGACTTCTTCAGATACGGCAGGATCTCCTTCAGCACTTCGATCTCCGAGAACAGAAGCGAGCGCTGGAAGGCGGTCTTAGCACCCAACTGAGCCATACGTTTCTGCGGAAACGTAGATCTATGAGCGAGGACTCCGTTCCTGAAGGGTCTCAGGACCGTACCTTAAATGCTTGAACGAACGGCATCGCCATCTTGTTCTTGATGAGACCTTGCTTGGTCAAGATCTCCCGAACTTTGGCGTCGTCCACCTTATCCGCCTCCGGCGCGTAGGCATCCTTGATGGCCTGCACGCACTGTTCCTGCCATTCGGGGAATGACGACGCGACGTACACCCGCACGGACCGCGGCTTCTTCGGGTCGAAAGGTGGCGGCCCGCCCTTCGCCTTGTTCATTTTCTTCAGCACGTTCAGCTCCGCGTCGCGGACCATCTTGACGGTGCCACGCATGTAGGCGCCAGCCTCGACGACGCTGCGCTCCACGTCCGTGGATGGAGTCGGCCAAAGCGCGAACTGCACCGACTTGGGCTCCTTCAAGACCGTGCTCCATATGTGCTCGGCGAAGTGCGGTGCGACGGGCGCGATGAGCAGGGCGGCACTGCGAACCCAGTACTCCACGAGCTCCGCATGCATGCCAACGTCGGCAGTAACTTCTCGGTACCAGTCGCGAGCCGATTGGAGTTCGTAGAAGCCATACTTGACCGCATCCTTGTAGTGCATCCTATGAAGCGATATATTTGTAAGCGGGAATAAGCCTAGAAGGGGTAGCTTAGCATACTCGGCGTAGTGTTCCTTGGTGATGTTGATCAAATCCTTGACTTCTTCCTCAAAGACGCAATCGTGGTAGTTCCGCGGTCCACTGCGAAGAGACTTGTCCTGGAGGATCTCCTAGAAGGGGTTGAACCGGCTGTATGACGGATCCTGGGATCGTACTCACCTCACACCAGTTGATGAGCGTATGCAGACGCAGGATGTTCGCGTTCGCGGTCTTCTCCTCGAAGTTGGCATCCTCGATACCATCGCCAGCGTCGGCCAACGACAACCTCGTTGCATCCGCACCGAATTTCTCGACGGACTCGCGCATGGTCAACGAGTTGCCCGTGCTCTTGCTCATCTTCTTGCCGTTGAGCATCAAGTGGCCGTTCGCCCGCATGCTCCGCGGCCAGTACTCCTCCGGGAAGATCGCGGCGTGGCAGTAGACGGCGAAAGTCAAGTGGTTGCCGATGAGGTCCTTGCCGGACGAGCGGATCTCGAAGGGATAAAAGTACTCGAACTCGTATTTCATGCGGTCCGCCTTCTCTTTGGGCAGGGGAGCGGATTCTGGCCAGGGGCCCTTAGCGAAAATGTACTCCCAAACTTCGTCCGTCATTTGATCTGCAGTGACACCCAACGGTCCCGGCTTGCTACCGTCAATCACACCGCCTGTGATGGAAGTAGTGAGCACAGGTATTCCCGGTCGGCTCGATCACGAACCTTGCAAAAGATGAGCGACCGTGTAGTAGGACATGTAGATGGTTGAGTCGCTCAAAGACTCCACCAAGAACTGGGGATCCCAGGGTAGCTTGGAACCAAGTCCGTAGGTGCGAGCGCATGCCCATTGGTTCAGCCATGCCAGTATACCCTCGAACGCGTTCCTCGTCTCGTTGTTGTACAGCTCCATACGAGCAACCAACCTTTAACAGAGATCGATCAGTAAGACGCTTAAGCGCGATCCTTGGGACCTACTTCTCGGCTTGCTTCCGCCATTCGGTCTCTCCATAATCCAGATACCACTGGTCCATTAGGGCGACAACACACTCGTCTGCACTTCGGGAAATGACCAAACCCTCGGGCTCCGCGTACGCAAACGCGAGTCCCTGGGCGATCATGCTCTCCCGCACCTTCGGCTTGGCGTCCTGAACGGAAAGGCCCTTGAACTCTCCTACGAGCATCGTTCCGCTGTAGAAGCCCTCCTTGTACGCGATCTCCTTGGCTTCAGCTAGCTGCTTGACGTCCTTCTGGGATTGAATCTTCAGCTGCTTCACCAGCGCTGGCGCAGTGAGTTCACCATACGTCGGCGTGGAAAGCACGGGCACTGGGTCGATCGCTGCCCATGAAGGATCAATTTTGTAGAATTCAGCCTTCTTGCGGAGGTCCATCAGGGTCGCATAGTCATCAGGCGAGTCCGAAGGGACGGAGGTCACGACACCGGTGCCCTACGAGAACTTCAGAAGTGTTTTTATGACAGATTTATTGGATATTAGCCGCACCTTGGTCGGGAGGACATTCTCCATGGGCAAGACGTAAACCTCGGGGTGTACGGCGAAAGGCGCCTTGATCTTGGTGCCGACAATCTTGGCACCGTCGATCTCCAGCAGCTGCTCGACCTTGCCATTCTGCGAGAAGACGCCCTGGAAGGCCATGTTCCTCGCCGCTCGGTAGGTGGTCACGTACGCCTCCTTGTCGTTCGCGGCGAACACCCCGTACTTGATGGCCGTGCCGACGAAGCAGTTCGTCTGACCATACATTGTCTCGGGCCGCAGAGTCGCCGCCACCAAGTACACCTTCCGTCCGCCGACCTTGCCCTCGATGTCGGCTTTCGCGGCCGGACTCCAGTCTACGACCTCCATCTTGATCGCGGTGTACTCCTGCGGACCGACGCCCTCGCCGTCCGACCGGTCGTGGTCCATGCATGGCTGACCGTCCTTCGGGCTGTAGATAGTGTATCGTTCCCCAAACTTGATCTTGCCCATCTTGTGCAGTTTGTTCATCTGCCACCTCACGAACGAGTCGTAGTAGGGGTTCACGTCTGTCGTGATGAACGATCTTCGCCAGTCGATTCGAGACCCAAAAGCGGCGTGGTCTTCCTGTTCCGTTCCTCGTTGAGCAGAGAGAAGTCGGAGAACACAGCGAGAGGAAGCTCACCTTCGCGATGGGTGGGAAGTAAGTCAGCCAATAGTAAGGGTCTGCGAACTTCTTGATTTCCTGGCGCGGTACACCGATGGCCTCCATGATCTGGAACTGGTACGTGTGTCCGGTAGCCTTCGCCGCAACCTTCCCCTTCTTAGCTTTGTCAACGGGCTTGGACTCTCCAGGACCAGCCTGCGACGAGGCGGTGGGCGCTTCGGGTTCCGCTTCTGGCGCAAACTTTTCGAAATCTTCGCCAAACATCTCCATCTCGCGAATGATCTTGTCGGAAGCCGCCTAAGAGCGAGGATCAGGGTACCGTTATCAGTCGACAGCGCAGCACACGCACCTTGATCGGCATTCCCGTGCAGTGGAAACCATGAGGGAACAGCGCGCGCTTGCCCAACATCCGCTCGAATCCGGCAGAGAACTCGATCTTGGAGATGGTGAAGGCATGGCCGAGGTGAAGGGATCCGTTCATGTACGGGTAGGGGAAGTTGCCGAACCACTTGGGGAACTTTTCTCGTATTTCGGTGGGGGACAGCTGAGCGGTCTCTTCAGGAGTCGGTGGGTCGACCTCGAAGACGCGCTCTTCCGCCCATCGTTGCTGATACTTTTTCTCGAGGCCGATGATGAAGTCGCGCTTGGCCGTCTGGGAATCGGGATATCCGAATAAGATATGATGGATCGGGGACGCGACGAGCGTGACGACGCACCTGCCCGAGCTCGATGGTGCTGGCCATTCTGCGGTTACGGATTATATTACAGGGGCGCTTGAAAACACCGATGAGGGAAAGAATGGTGGCTTCTTGAATCAGATAGACGAGTCACTATCGATCTCGAGTTGCCTCCTCAACTGCACCGTAAAGCTATGATCAACGACCCGAAGGGTATTGTATGAGAAATTATTTCTGCGTATTGGTAATGGCATCAAGCACAGCTCACCCCTACGGCTTCAGTAGTTGGGACTCGATGACTCTTTAACACCCTGCACCGACCGCGGAGTGGAAAACAAGGAAGGATATACAAGAGTCACCAGTGCTCAAGGCCAAGCTGCAAGAGGGTCCTGACTCGGTCTGCAGGTCCTCGCGCTCGGGGGGACAGTAGTGTTTCCTGCAGCTTGCAGAGTCGACCTGGATCTCGGGGCGCGACACACGCGACGCGGTATTTTTTCAATGATCACATGATGCTCTTCAATGCTCAGCGCGAGTGGATCTCCGAGTCAGCTGCAAGCACGAGCCGTTGAGAGAGTACGTGTCGCAAGATCGAGCAGTAATATGATAGCAGCTTCAGCTCTAGTAAGCGATGTCAAAAGCTGACGGCCCATAAACGACCCTTGCTAGGAATCAGCATTACTCTTCCTCGTATTCGTCGTCCCCCTCGAACACGAGTTCAATCCCTTGTTCCCGGGCAAGGTCAATGGCATCCTTCTCCTTTTGAAGCGCATATTGTAGGAGCGCTTCCAGTATGTCTCGTTGGCCTACGAAGAGCTCGTTGAGTAACGGGTTCGAGATCACGGAGGTGTGAAGTGCGTACCTTCAAGATAGTGATGAAGCATCTTCTCGACCGCAGGGCGTAACTGGGTCCCCGTCGGGACCTGCCCAGGCAAACGATCGATCAAGGACTGGACCATGTCGTGGAGGATCTCAGCCGCTTCAAGCTCGTCCTCGTAGCTTCTAGCGTCGTCGCCACGTCCGGTCTCACTCGTCGCGGCCGATCCTGTCTCATCAGGGCGGACGCGACTGACGATGCTGAGCACCTGTTTCCAGACGGCATCTGCCCCTCTACCCCCCCTCCCTACTTCCCACTTGCCGAGTTCGCCTGAAGAAGCGGGAGCGCCTCCGTCAGCGGGAGTACTGAAGCCACTGCCGGCGATCTTGAGGACGATGGTGTCATCCGGGTTGGAGGGAAGGGAGAAGCCGTAGCCAAGGATGAGCTCCGAGTTCGGTTTCGGTCCGTAGTTGTTGAATAGCTCGTGGCCCTTGGGTGTGGCAGAATGCAGGACGAGCGATATGCTCAGGTCGGAGGAGCCCGTGTCGGGCGCGGCGTTGACCTGGCTCTGCGCCGAACGCGATTTGATAACCCATGAGACTGGTGCGCCTCGTGCGTGGTTCAATGCGTCAATTCCAGGGAGCAGGACGGGATACGAAGACGGCGATGATTGGAGAGTCGGATTTGGAGAAAGCAACGTGGACGGAAAGGCGCGCGAAGAGAGATAGGTGGATGCGGTAAGATATCGGGTCCTCAAAGACACCCGTCGATCAGCATCGTAAATATCCTGGAAGAAACAGACAGCTCACCAAGTGAACTCATCCGTCCATTTCGGATTCAAGAGGGAGACGACTTCCTTGCATCCCACCCACTCCGTTTTCCACTGGCGCTCACGATCAAGAGTCGCGCCATAGAGGTTGGTGCCTTTGAACGCAGCCAACTCGTCCTCGGTAAAGTGTAGCGGAGTGGTCAACTGCGACGGCTCAGGCAAGGTGTCCAGGTAACTCTGATGTCCCAGAATCGTGGTCTGAGCACTGGTGGTGCCGTGTTATGCAGTGGTCGGCCGCACGCCGAAAGCGATGGCGTACCGCAGCTCTTCATTCCAGTGCAGGCAGATATATATACAGATAATCTGCCTCTCTGATAGTCCTGCAAGAGCCCTCTTGAGGTTATCCGAGGCCAGGTGAGAGTTGTACGCCCGTGATATATCTTCGAGAGCGTTTTTCGCGACTTCATGCGTGACCGCGAGCGAGAAGGGTGCACTGACGACCGATTCGTCTGCTGGGATGTCTTCAGCTGCGATCACAGACAGACCGAACTGGTCGGCCATGAATTCGACGTTCGCATGAAAACCTCCGCCATGTTGTCGCAGCCAAGACTTCAACTGCACGACTTTGGGTGATTCATGGACTTCGGCCATGTTAACGATGTTTTATAATCACGGACGAAGATATTCCAGGAGCTCTTGATCGGTAGGGCAAGATGTTGAGTACTGGTACAAGGATGGGGTTTCCAAAACGGAAAGCACAAGCAAGAGTGAAAGCCACAGCGCGCAGCTTACCTTCCGACGTCGATCTCGCCGCAAGTCACTGGCGGAGTACCTTTGCCAGTCAGTGGTTCTCTGCCGCCTTGAGTCCTCATCAGAAAGTTGAATGCCCCCTGGTTTCCGCTACCAGTTCGCGAGGTCGGGCAGATTTTTGCGCATGATGACCCCTCCCTCGTCCTATGATACATGGACCCGCGAAGAGCTCGTTGCTCGCCTGGCCGAGTACGACAAAGTCACTCCGCAGAAGAGTCCGGATGCATCCCTGAGCCGCGTACCCGGACGACAGGTGCCGGGATATGCTGGCTCGAGCTCCGCCGCGGACGCGAAGACGATCGACTTCTCCAACTTACCTCGAAGGAAGATTGCTCTCAAGTTCTCGTATGCGGGATCGGAGTACAGTGGACTGGCGTATCAGAAACTACCATCTGCGTTGCCGACGGTCGAAGGCGTCCTATGGGACGCCTTGACGTATACCAGGCTCGTGGACGGCCCCGCCGGCATGGACGCTACCGGCTGGGAGAAGTGCGGACGAACGGACGCGGGGGTTAGTAGTGCTGGCCAAGTTATATCTTTCTGGGTGCGAAGCAACCTCGACGAAAATGCCGTGAATACGTTGTCCACTGCTCGAAGCCAGCAGGAGCACCCTGCGCCTCAACAGCCTAGTGCAGAGTCGGTGCAAGACTCCGATGATGGGCCGGGCTTGGAGGGCGACCTTGGATTTATGGGCGATCTCGAGCCAGAGGCCGGCCCAGTGGCTCTCCCGACACACCTTCAAAAGAAAGCCGAGTTCCGCTATATTTCCATGCTGAATCGCGTTCTTCCACCCACCATCCGCGTGCTGGCCTGGTCACCTGTTGCCCCTGACTTTTCCGCTCGCCACAACTGCAAATATCGGCACTACAAATACTTCTTCGACGCGGAAAGACTCAACATCGACGCGATGCGTGACGCCGCGTCCCGTTTGGTTGGCGAGCACGACTTCCGCAACCTCAGCACACTGGATCCCTCAAAGCAGCTCACCAGCTTCAACAGACGCATACTCCGAGCTGAGATTTCGCCGGTCGCTCCCGAGATGAAATGCGCAGGAGGCATGCACGTCTTCGACCTGGTCGGGCGAGCATTCCTGTTCAATCAAGTGCGGAGGATCATGGCCGTTCTTATGCTGGTTGGGACGGAACTGGAGCCACCCTCGGTGGTTTCTGCGCTTCTGAACGCGGACCCAGAGCATCCTGCTCCCGCTTGGTGTGACGCCGAGGACCCGCCGCCGGTGCTCGAGCGATCTCCGGTATATCGCATGGCAGACCCCCTCCCGCTGGTTCTATGGGACTGCGGCTACGACGATGCTGACGTGCGGTGGTACGTGGACGGGGACGATCCCACGGATGCAGGAGTCGCTCAGGAAGAAGGCACGGTCGGCGGGGACAGCCATCTATATGCGCAAATGGATTCGATTCGAGAGCGATCGGCAATACACGCCGCTCTCGACGCCCATTTCGTCGCATCGCTCGCCCGGTATCACCGCCCTCCGGCACAGTACTTTCCATTAAGTCACAAGGGGTACACACGCGGAGCCGCGATCTCCGGGTTTCCGAGCGCGATGCAGATTCCGACGGGCGGAGGGGTCTACCACCGGTCGAGGACGTATGTTCCTCTACTGCAGAGGCAGCGGCTCGAGCACTTCTCGGTGATCAACGAGCGATATAGAACAGGTAAGGGGGCGAGGCGCGAAGAGCGCAGAGACGGGGCCGCGAGGGTGGACGTGGAGGACGAATAAGGTTAGGCCTTCCTCCGATAATGATACGGTCGATTATCGCCATTGGACTGCGTATGGGAGAGCGTTGACGCCCATCGTCAGGTGCGTCGCGCGAGAGTCGTCCCCTGCAACCCCACATCTTCTGATGACCGATAGAGTCTTGTTTGTTTGTTTACAAGCGTAGAGACCCATGACGCAGATTCCGGAGCGCATTGCTGTACCCTCGGCATATGTACGACCCCGGCGTGATACCGTGCTGGAATGTGTGGGCCCCTAGTGGTCGCGTTGGATAGGAGAGCACCAAGACAAATTTCAATGCGCAGGATGCGCTGTCTCAGCGCCAGAGAATCCCGAACAGTGCTAGCCTGTGAGAAGATCAGCCAGCAACCCCTGCCCGAAACACGCGAAAGCATGCGGGTGACACCGTGACGTAACGCCTCACACGCGTGATTTTTCTCTCGCTATCAACGGTCACATCCGTGACGTTGAATTAGCTGGGGGCGCACTGCTGGAAGGGTGTGCTCCCACCTCTGCGAGTCCTCCCCCTACTACCCCCAGCCCCCCTTGAATAAAATCTCTCGAGCGGTCTATCCCTCGTAGCTCAACTTCGCAAGGCAAGTTTCTATGCACATCTCGATTCCTTCCCGAGTTTCTCGTCACCGCCCTCGGGCGTCGTCGTCGTTGCCGGCGGTGCCGGCCTCGCAGCGCACAGATATGTGCGTTAGGCGACGCGTCGACGGGGGGCGCGTTCCTACGTGTTCGGCGGGGATACTCTCCTTCCTCGCGAGTTGTGGACGTGTCGTTCGGTGTGCTGACGCCCTTTCCGACGCGTAGATGCCCAAAGATAGCACCAAGCCCAAGGTACCCTCTGCCCCAAGGCCGATATTGGCGCATATATGGGGTTTCGATCGGGTGTGCGATGGTTTCTGACGCATATATTCGTGCTGTAGCGCAAGGCCGCCGAGAAGAGCGAGAAGGCGACTCGGGGCAAGAAGGCCCCCAAGGACAAGAATGCGCCGAAGCGGGCGTTGTCCGCATACATGTTCTTCAGCCAGGACTGGCGAGAGAGGATCAAGAGCGAGAACCCCGATGCCGGATTCGGTACGATGCCTTTCTCCGTTGGTCGTTACGTGTGCGGCGGTGCTGACGTAGGCGGTTTAGGCGAGGTCGGCAAGCTCCTGGGTGCGAAGTGGAAAGAAATGGATGAGGAGGAGAAGGAGGTTTGCCATATATGCGCTTCCCCTCGTCTCCCAATCACTGATCTCCGCATAGCCATACATCAAGCAAGCCGCCGATGACAAGGAACGCGCCGAGAGGGAAAAGGCGGAGTATGATGTGAGTTGCTGACGCTTTGCCATCAGCGTCGGTGCCGTACTCATGCATTCCATTCCCAGGAGAAGAAGGTCAGCGCTGAGGGCAGCGGCTCCGGCGGCGAAGATGACGATGAGTAAATCCTCGACGCTTCGTTTGGACTTCGGGTTCGATTCTGTTACCAACATATTGACCGGGGTGCGCGACGGACCTTGCCCCGCATCCCATCAGCGCTCCCGAGTCGCCTGTCGAGTATATGTACCTGGAGATCACGCCCTATCTTGTTCGCCTTCTCGGTATCTGTTACGTCTCATCCCGTCTATCTATTAGTGTCTCGCGTCGATTACACTCACCTGTAATACTAGACGATGGTGATATCCATGTTATATTACTGTAGCGGCTCTGGATGAACCATTGTCTTTTCTGTCACGGTCTGCTCCAGTCTTCGCGTGAACTCAGGAAACCTGTCCCTCACAGGACCGCTGGCGAGCATACGGAATGAGCAAAGGCACATATGTCTGCGATATGAATGAATACAAGTTGATTTTGCTTTCTGTAGCGACTGCTCTAATACGTCTGCACGTTCTTCCACGACAAATCCGGCGTCAATCCAAGTCGGTACAAACGATTCGAATTGTGGAACAGGGCGTTCTCCACGACGGTTACGGCTTGACCCTCCGTGAGCTCCTTGCGAACAACGTAATCGGCGAGTACCTGTGAACGAGCGCTTGTTCAGAGTTCGACTCCTTCTGGCGACAAGCACGGATGATCGCTACCTCGTATAGGGTGTCGCGCGCTTGTTGGGTTCCGAGGTAGAACGATTCAGGCCACCAATGTCCGTCGGCTGCAGGAATGCGACGAGATTAAACATCCCGCCAAGCAGTTGTCATGAGGGTTGAAAGCTCACTCGACCACAATATCTTGTTCGTAGGGCAGAGCTCGAGCATCTGGCGCACGACTTCGCGTTGACCGTCTGCGCTTACGAACGGGAATATCTGGGATAGGGATGGGTTTTAGCTCGGCCCCCGGGTGTGCCGTGCTACTTACCTCCCCAAAGTCTAGATAGACGTTGGCATACACGGCACTCAGGTAGCCCTGGATGAAGGCGATGTCAATAAACGGAGGAAGCGTCGACCGATATTGCAGACGTACGGCTTCCCGCGTGTAAGGGTACGAAGAATGTAGAAGGACAAATTTGGTCTCCGGGAACGCCTTGATGAGGGGTTGCATGTGTGAAGGGGAAGAGAGGTTCAAGACGATGTCGTTATCGCCTAAGCCAGTATGGAACTGGACTGCCATGGCGAAGGACATGAGGCGGAGGTGATGAGATCGAGGTGGGGCGAAGACACGTACTGGGCTTGCCACACTTCGCGGCAATTTTGCACGTCGTGACCACGATCCAATCGTTGAGAGGTTTATGGGCTAGCCGGATAGGTTTGGAGGGGTCCTCGAGGTATGTTCCGATGACAGTGCCCAGAGCAGCGGCGATGCCTGCGGGATCCACGGCCGGAGATATGGCGAGGCCGCCTCGATAGCATGCTACAGACTCAAGCGCTCCGCGTCAGGCATGCGGTACCGCAAGGTAGGTACCAGCACAACTCACCTTGAAGCCAGCGACCTCGGGGTCTTCCGCACTGGCGGCGATGGAAGCGGCGAACTTGGCCTCGAGGCTTTCGAAAAGGGCCGCGCAGTCGAAGCCCGTAGAGGAGGATGTGACATGTTGGGCGTCTAACAGATCTTTGAGAAGATCCTGGTGACGTGTGCAATTGGTGGTCACTCGTTCGGATGTGAAAGAGTGGGTCGCATGACGGGCTCACCTGTGCAACGATTTCAACACGGACGATGCGTTTCGTGGCCGAGCGCGTGAACTGGTCGTGCCATTTGTAGTCCTCGCACATTTCCTGCACCCCGCCAAGCCCGTCATCGAGAAGGAGGCACTGGATGCCGGTCCGGTGCATGCTCAACTGCACGAGCTCGTCGTATGGGATCTTCTGGCGAGCAGCCTTGACGCTGTCCCAGGACGCGCCGTCCGGGAGCTTGAACAGAGGTGCGAGTTCCTTGGCAGCACGAAAACACGAGATCGTGTGCGGGGCGTCGTTGAGGAGAGCATCGCCCTCGGCCTCGGAGATGAGACCCTCGAACGGCACGGAGTCGCGATAAGTGGCCTTCAGCAGAGGGTGCGCTGCGCACGACGGCGATCAGACGCAGATATTGCGCGAACCGGAGACGCCTTGCCGTGATCGTCAATTGCGGGGTAATGGGCACAGGCTTCTGCGAGAAGGGGGAACGACATCGCTGTCGATATGTAGATTGTAGATAGCGCTGAAGGGTCGCCGCCGACGAGTTTCCCATGCACATTGCACGCGATGTTGCTTCCAACCACGACTTCTGCGTCACTTGAAATTATATCAAGCTCTTGAACCCCGCTTTTCCGGATGGCTGATAATCAGGCCTTTCGATCCTCGAGAGCCCTCTGTTCATTGCGATCCGTCGCCCACAAGTTGCCCAGTCAATATCACTTCGTATAGTATGGCTGCTCCAGGTCGTATGGCCAGTGGTACCCACGGCAAGGTGATAAAAATCAAAACAAACAGTTTTGTAAGTTTGCCGCGAAGCTGGATTTGTATTGCAAGCTATATTGACTTTGGAACTTACACTGTCTCCCAGGTGATTACACAGATGCCACAGAAGGCGTTTTTCCAGTATGACGGTATGTCGGAATTCAATCATGTTCAATTACCGGTTCACTGACGCTGACGGATGTCCCATAGCTAGTACGTCTCTAAGATTTGACCTTCCACATTGAACTCATTCGTCGTTTAGTAATAACACCCAAGGTCCCTCGGCTGCCCCGGGGGAACCTTCAAGACTTGAATGTTCAAGCAACGAGGGATCGTACCGATCTTCCTCCTCGCCAGAACCAAGAAATCATAAGCTACATTCAGCACAGAATGCACCCAGACGCCCTCGATGGAGCTGTCTTCGACGGAAAGCGCATACTGTATTGTCCTAGAGAGGCGTGTGCTCCTTGTTTTATTACCTATCGCGCGTTCTTATGCTTTTGCGCAGCTCAACTTTCAAAACGTATGTCCCTAGCCACTTGTGTTATTGAGAGGCTCACTCCGTTCTGATCGCCAGTGTACGGTCAACCTGAACACCAGGGAGCCGTCCTCGGATCGGTACATCTACGACGTAAAACTTGTGCTTGTAAGGAAGATCGAACCAAGGTCAATACCGTCAGGGTATCATGCGACGATGCAACTAATATGAACCTAGACATTTGAATAACGTCCTAAGAGGTGGTCAGCACGATGGCATGACGTTGTCCATCGTTACGCTTTTGCAGGTGAGGTTGTTCGTGCAGGTCAAACATTCGCTGACGCTGTACCGTCAATCAGCTCATACTACGCCAAGACTCCACAATGCGAGAACTCATACACGTACATCTGTGCATAAGCTCATCGCGTGCTTGATATAGGAAACATCCGATTTTCACCAAGAGAGCGGTCTTCCCAGGGGCTCGGAGCGACATCAAAGATTTGCGGAACGGCCTTGTTGTTCATCGAGGGTATTTTCAGTAAGCAGGGGCTCCCTTATTGGCGGCCGGACAACAAGGACATCAAACTTACTTGCGTTTCTCAGATCTGTTCGTCCAGCGCCGAATCAGATGATTGTACAAGTCGATGTCACTCATAGCGCGGTGTGAGTGCTTGCTGTAACCGAAGTCGGAGCAAGCTTCCGGAACTCACCATCAACTTATAGCCATAAACACGGCAATATCATCCCCCTTGCGATGGAGTTCCTTCAAGCTCGCGACCCGCGGGATCTGGAAAATAAAATCAGGAATCCCAGTTCGCAGGAGTGGAAGAGGCTCTGTGCTTTCTTCAAGGGCCTCAGGATGACATCTGACATGAATCCGAACATTCAAGCCCCCAGGGCCAGGCCGATCAAGAAACTTATACCTGCCGCTGGTGAGTCAATTTCCATTGCGCGCGGGAGGAGTGCTGATTGTGACTGCGGTGCAGGCTCCTACGAGTTTACCGCCGGCGAAGATATAATCACTGTCAACGTACGAAGTGTCCATCACAGCTTTATCCGCAAATCTAATCCAGATATGCCAGGAATATTACCATCGGATTCGTAACCGTTACCTGGAATTCCCCGGAATGTTCGGAGTGGTGGTAGGCAGGGATAGTGTTATTCCAGCTGAGCACGTCATGATCGGTCTGGACTTCCATTTTTTATACTTCATATTAACGCTCATATGCGGCCTCCAGTGGAAGGGCAAATGTATAAGAAGAAGCTTCCGGCGGAGTTGATGCCCGATCTGCTGGGATTTGCGACCCAGAAGCCGGACATCCGTCTTGGGAAGATCACACAGGCCGTGGGCGGTGATGTACGACATCTTCACTCCTTGCAGGCCATCATGCGCTGACATCTTCCCCCAATCCCGCCAGCTTCTTGGCTACAAAGGTCCTTACATGCGAGGGTTAATGATGAAGGTGAACCCCGAACCGATCCAAATACGTGGTACATGCAATTGGCTTTCACGGCGCCGACTATATCTGACTCGCTCTTTGGTAGGTCGGCTTTTGGAATCACCGGCGCTGAGCTACGGAAGTAAGCCCCGGTTCCGAGTTGATCAGCTACATATTGCCCGTATTGACCCTCCATGGCGCAGATGAGACATTCGTACGTTACCAAGTCTACGCTCTTGGGGCTGCCCAAGTTTTTTGACAGATAGAGCAGACTCCTAGAGACGGAAGTCAGTGCTATATATTCGCCTGCGGTCATTTTTGTGACATGAAAATAGGCTGGAATATGATTAGACGGGAACTCAAGCAACCGGGGATGATTCCGGCCTGGTGCGTAGCCAGGTTTGACGATCGACTGCAAGACCAGGAGCTCCACGCGTTTCTCGGATCTCTCGTCCAAGCCTCAAACGCTTTAGGTGAGTGATTCCGCATTGCAAACGCCATAACACTAAATTGTTATCGCAGGGATCAGTACGTTTGACGTGTATTCGTGTTTCGACACTTGCTAGACCATTGTGTTCCAGAAATCCGTCAGAATCCACCACCAATCCGTCTTGGGGACGCCGGCAATGTCGCACAGGTTAGACTATTCTTGACCTTGATCCTGATCTTGACATCGATCCCCCTGACCTCTTTGTAGACGTTGATGGATGCCTGTAGAAGCTCCTGGCAAGGATTGAACGTGAATCCGAATGCTCAAGCTCCAACGATCATCATCGCAATTCTGCCCGACTTTTCTTCGGATGTTCATAGATCCGTGAAGCACTGGGTAAGCTCGCGATTTCTCCCAGCATTACACTCACATGTTATGGTATATTCTAGGGAGATGCAAAGTAAGCCCCGGAGAACGGCGACGCATATTGAGTTTCTGACATTATTGATCTCTAGGAGGGTACGCGTGATGCGAACCTTACCAACTCCCAGCTGACCAGCATTCAGGGAGTCCCGACTCAATGCATCAACGCATCCACATTACGTAGAAATGTGGCGAAGTCCAATTCGTTGATTCAGTATACCACCAACATTGCGCTGAAGTATGTGCAAGCTAACATCGCTCGTCGGCCCCACTGAGTTTGCATGGCTCTGGCAGAATCAATGTCAAGATCGGCGGTGTGAATGCTCATATCGCGCCGTCGCCCTCGTATGTCCACGATTTCACTGGGACAATGATCCTCGGTGGGGGCAGACCTTTCCCCAATATCATCGCGTGTAATGACATTGACAACGTCTCAGGAGCGGACGTCGGACATCCTGGACCGGGCATCCAGCGACCGTCGATGGCAAGTGTGGTGTACTCCGTGCGTGCTCGTTGTCGTGGACGCAACTTTGAGCCTGATGGCGCAGCAGGTGGATGAGAACGCGGCCCGATATGGTTCGTTGTGCGAGATCCAGCATCCGCGAACGGAAATGATCGCGGACATGCATGCGATGGCCGCGGTCAGTGGTTCGCGGTGGCTGAGACGATTGTTCGTCGAATGACTTGCATGCAACAGCAAGCATTGAAGAACTTCAACCGTTACTGGGAGTTCGGCCGTAAAGCTCCAGGCCGTTGGCCATTGCGGCTGGTCATGTATCGCGACGGCCTATCGGAAGGGTGCGATATTTACATGAAACCATCTCAGCTTGCTACTGACACCAGGTACCTCAGAGAATTCGAAGTGGTCGCCGACCAAGAGATAAAGGCTATCAAAGGTCAGACGTGTCCCTTCATGTATGAGTTCACTGATTGATACGCAACGTCAGCCGCGATTAGCGAAGTTTGGCAGGCGAAACAAATCCCGGCCCCAAAGCCGCCGTTGACGTATCTCGTGGTCGGTAAACGGTGAGCCTATGAGATCGCCATCAGGTACGGGCTGACGTCGACCGCGACATCTTCAGTCACCATGCTCGGTGTGTCTCGTTGTCCGCCAACCATGTGATTGACACTCAACTTTTGCACGCGAACCTAAAAGGTTCTTCCCCGAGACGGAACAGGACAGAGACAAGAGCGGCAATGTTAAAGCAGGCCTCGTAAGAGCAAGCGTGAGACGGCTTATGATTGTTACTTATCTTCAGCTAGGTCGTCGACGAAGTACTCAGCGACCCTACCGGCTTTGACTTCTACCTGCAGTCCCACGGGGGACTTCTGGGGAGTACGTCCTTCGCCTCTCATTGCCTGACTGATACACCCGATCGACAAGCCCTCTTGCAGCTTCTCGACCTTCGCACTACACTTTACGCCTGAACGAGATCGGCATGGACGCTAATCAGCAAGTCTGTCCTGTTCGAGGGTGTGATTCGTAGTTATTCTGATCGTCTTCCCCATAGGCTGCAGCGGCTGACGTTCGCGCTCTGCCACGTCTACGCGCGCTCGACGCGCTCGGTCTCCCTGCCCGCTCCCGTATATTGTGAGCCATCGTCTCTTAACGCTGACCCACGCGACTCACGCTCATCCCGCTTGCGCCAACACTAGATGCCGATGTACGTTCGTTTTCGCGGGGCTCTATACCTCGCACCCTTTCTCACTCACGATACACAAAGCTCGTCTGCGGCCGGGCCGCGTTTCATTTCGATCGCGACCTGAACTACGAGACGGACACGGTCGCGAGCGGCGAGTCCGGCGAGTTCGACCTCGCGCGCTGGAAGAGCGGGTTCGACGGACCCAAGGGGAACCAGGCCACCAGCTTCTATTTCATGTGAGGCCCACACTCTCGAGGGCGAAAACGATCTGGCCTGCCTCGCTTTTTGTGCTGTTACGACTGCGCGGCGACGGCGATCCTGATTTTTTTTCTTTGGTGTACAATGCGGGTACTGTTGCGGTGCTCTACATTGCCTTCCCCTTCCCGCTGATCGCTCGTGTACGATGCTACGACAAGGCCGAGAAAACGAGCGCTACCAATGTATTCAGTTGTACAGATACACTCACGATGATGTTTATCCGTGCGCTGCCCGCCCCATACGGGCCATGCGTACGCAGAACTCGTGAGCGTATGATAGCAGCAGTAATCTGATTGTAAGCATACTAGTAGTAGGATCACGCACAGGGAGACTCGGCAAATATCACTCCCGCCTTGCCCGACTGCGGGCGGCGCTGATAGTCGCGACGGTCATTCCATCCGGTGCCTTGCAGCTTGCCTCCGCTTGCCATCACTCAAGAGGATTGTTACTTTCCGTATCATCACACGACCAGCGCTGGCCGCTCGTTCCCCGCCGTCTCTGACGACGACGACGACGACGACGACCTCGCCGACGCTGACCTCCACGGCCAACGACAAAGACCGACAGGGATGGGCCTCTTCTCCTTCCTCTCCTCTCGGCGCCCAACCGCGGCGAGCTACATCCCGCTGCCCACCCTCGCCTCCTCCTCGTCCTCCTTCGGCTCGCCCTCGCCGCCCTCCTCCCCGCGCCCGCGCCCGCGCTCCGGCTCTCTAACCCTCCCACTGGCCCACTCTCCCGCCGCGCGCTCGTCCCTCAACCTCTCGCCCAGCAGCCGACGCACCCTCGTCCGCATCCTCGTCCACCTCTCCCCCTTCCGCCTCGTCGTCCTCGCCGTCTTCCTCCTCACCGCCGGCCACTGGTACTCCATCTCCTCCTCTTCCTCCTCCGCTTCGCCGAGCACATCGCCCACAAACGAGGAACTGGCGACGCTCATAGCGGACGACAAATGGCACAAGGTGTTCGAGGACCAGAGCCCCGGCCAGGGCGACACGCGCGTGCTACCTATGCGGGTCTACGACCGGATGTCCGATGCGTGTGTGAAGGAGTGGGTGATCACCCACCGTTGGGGGGCTGCTTGTCGTGGGACGGATCTCAGCGAAGGGTACGCCGTCGACGGCGTATGGGCCTGGGTCAATGGCTCGTACGTATCTCCTCTTTAGCTTCATCTCAACCAACGTGCTAACGGACCTGTGATAGTGACCCAGCACAGGTAGCGTCAAGAAGAGCATACAAGCCCACTGGCACGCCTCTCAAGATAGATGCAGACCACCGATACGCAGATCATAACGAGCTTCTATACTCGATGCGCTCCTTCCTAGCCTCTGTAGGCCCCTCCGTGTTACAAAGGTTCGCCACTCCTCCCTTTTAACCTACCAACCGAAGCTGACAACTTGATTTTTCAGGTTACACATATTAGCTAGCGCCTATCCTCTCGACGAACAAAAAGTCGGCGACGGCACGAAGATGGTCGGCCAGATACCAGCCTGGCTATCGAAACCCGCAAGCGTACGCACCGACGAAGGTCCCATCATCCTCCACCACGGTCAGTCTAACCCATTCGACACTAACATTCTCCGCATCTGACGCATCTTTCAGACTCCTCCTACTTCCAGCCCCTCCCGATCCCTCCAAACACCTCCATGTCGGGCGAAGAAGTCGACGCCTGGCGGCATGCCACTCTCCCCTCTTTCAACTCGCTCGCCGTCGAGTCTCAGCTTCCCAACACGCCTGCGCCCCTCTCCGACACGCTCGTCTACCTCAACGACGACTTCATCACCCTCCGGCCGAACACGCCCGCGGACTACACCTCCCCGCTCTTTGGCCCTCTGCTGCGCTCGCTCACGGACCTCTCCTCGCTCTACCTGCCCTCCGAGTATCCGTTCCAAAGGCTGTGGAATCCCGCCGGGGAGGAGGTCGGGATCAAGCGCGCGGCGTGGGTGCTCGGCCGGCGCTTCGGGATGCGCAAGGTGCCGTACATCCAACACCACCCGCGCACGCTCGTCAGGCCCTTGCTCCGCGAGGCCGCGCTCGCGTTTCCCGGCGCGTTCGGCGACACGGCGAAGGCGCGGTACAGGGCGCAGCAGGACGTGCCCCCGAGCGTGCAGCCGTTCGCGCTCGCGAGCTGGTTCGTCGTCCAGCGCCACCGCGAGGCGCTCCTGTGGACGTGGGCCGTCGCCAAGCACGGCGGCCTGTCCGGCACGCTCACCCCGGAGATCAAGGACGCGATGTGGGCCGACGTCGTCGGCGCGGGCGAGCGCGACGCGGGCGCGAGCAGCTTCGCGGTGAAGGCGCCCGCGCGCGAGCCGGTCGAGAACACGGGCGCGTTCGTGCGCGCGGCCGAGGGCGGGCCCGGGGTGCACCCGCCGCTGAACGCGCAGTACTCGTTCAGCGCGAAGGACGGGTACGCGCTGCATTACGTCGATCGGCTGTGGTGGTGGGATCTGCCGCGCTCGGGATACCCGGACCTGACGCGCGCGGTGTCCCCCGTGTACGCGAGCTCGGGATCGAGGAAGCCGGAGAGGAACGCGGACGGCTCGATCCGGTACAAGGTGGACGAGGGCAAGCGGCTCCGGCTCTGCACGCTCTCGCGCTCGACGTGCCTCAAGCCGGGCGTGGAGGAGCCGGCGGAGGAGCTGTTCAAGCGGATCGCGTTCGAGCGCGCGTCGGACTGCGGCGACTGCGCGATCGCGGCGCTCGTCGGCGCGAGCGGGCTGAGCGGGATCGAGGCGTTCATGCCGCGCGAGGGCGCCGTCGTCCCGAGCGGGTACGTCGCGCACCGCGAGGCCGAGTTCGGCGCGGTGAGGAGGGTGGAGAGCAGGGTCGCGCATCTGCCGGTGACGAGCGAGTGGAGGGAGACCGATTTCAGGCTCGGGGCCGTGCTGGCGCAGGCGGGCTACGGCGGGCCGCGGTACGGGGGAGGCGAAGGGGGGGAGGAGAGCGAAGGGGAGGAGATCGATCTGCGGGCGTGGACGGCGCGGCTCGTGCAGCGGTACCAGTACGTGATGGGCTCCGCGCCCGCGGAGCTCTTCAAGCTCATGTACCCGGACAAGGTCCGCGCGCGCCTCGACCGCGCGTCGAAGGAGATGAAGTCGCACCGCGCGCAGCTCGCCGCGCACGAGCAGGAGCTGGAGGACATCGACGCGCGCGACGGGTGGGCGAGGGGGCAGGCGGACGGCGCGCCCGACGGTGGATTGACGTTCTTGTGCCTGAACGACGATATCGTGAAGGGCAGGAAGGAGATCGACGGGATGTTGAGGGCGTGGTTTGAGGAGCACTGGCCGGAGAGGATGAGCGACGAGGTGGAGGAGGTGTATTAGCCCCCTTGCTGGACCTCTTTTTGCGACATCTGCCAACTTCAAGAGGGGGCCCTATGTTGGGCGACCCGACGAAGTGCTCGAAATAGCCCTTCGGGGGAATGGGCATACGCTGTAGCGCCTGGCCGGGGTCATCTGCGTGCTTGCGCATGTGGTCCTCCGGGGGCGCCTGCTCCATTGCACATACACCTCACACCAGTCTGTATCATCTAGATCAATCTTGCTGTGCCTCCGCGTCGTATACTTCCTCGCCCTCACCTCACTCTCCCTGTTTATTATTACTCGCATGTTCTGCCGCATTTTCTCCCCCATTCTTACCTTATAATCTCACCTGCACGGACCGTCTGTCGCCCACCCCGGAATCTCTATAGGAATACCAATACAACCAGTTGCCATTGAATTATAATCGGTCTCTACCAAGTAGTACCCGAGCTAGCTAAGGAGAGGGTGGGTAGTTTGTGAGTGTGCTGTTGCTGTTTCTACAGTCCGCGGAACGCGCTATCTACAGTCCGTCAGAAGGCGGTTGGGATCCCTGGCAACGGTCGCATTGTCGCAGTCGAAAAAAATTTGCAAGTGCAAAGTGCGCCCCCAATCGAGTGGCGAAGAGAAAAAACGGGCCTGCCTGGACAGAAGTCGTACCAACCTCGCACTACTTTGGTGTTGTAGGGAAGTAGGCGACCGAGGGTAAGGTGACGTCGATCGGGCTCATCGTCGGTTCCCACTTGTCGGACGGCGAGATCTTGGCCTTCTCGACGTCGGTCTGGAACACCTCCGGCTCGAAGTCCATGTCTTCCAGCATGTTTTCGACGTGCACTACGCATGAGAACCGTGTCAACGACGTTGCTATGGGCTGGTAGAGATGGACGGAAGGCCACGTACGATACTGTGCGAGACCCTCGCCGAACTTCCTCCAGCACACGACACCGAGGACGAAGGAGGCCGTGAGGAAGATGAGCGCGGCGACGGACATGCAGCCGAGGAAGGGCCACTGTACGAACGTCCAGCGGAAGACGAGCGAGTCGAACATGGCCGCCCAGCAGCCGAGGAAGGCGAGGTTGATGACGAGGAAGACGACCATCATGCGCTTCATCTCTCGACTCACGGAGTACCATCCCTGTGGTCGTGCGGCGTGAGTTGTCGGACTTCGTAACGGGAAACAAGCGGAACTCGCTGGCTTACCAGGGTGATCCACGGTATGAGACACTACGAGGACGTCGGAATAAGTCAGCGACAGAGCATGATGATTTTGTGGGTACGTACGATAAGCGTGAACAGGAAGGCCGCGAAGTATATGGTAGTGTGCGACGACACGTGCTTGACAGCACTGTTCACCAGCTGGTCGACCCATAGGCCCATCAAGGTCACAAGGAAGAAGACGGAGAGCTGCAAGCAGACCCAGATCGCAAGGAAGAACTATATAACACAGTCCGGCTTAGACCCCGGATGATCTCGAATGATAGATGGAGGGAGAGGGACTTTACCCGGTAGATGCGAACAATGTGCTTGGGAGGGCCGACGCGCTTGAAGGCGTGTTGGTTGTACAGCCGGACGAGCTTCCAGCCGAGGTAGGCTGTAACCAACAGTGAGACCAGGTTGAGCACCAAATCGGGTATTTGCCACGCCAGGCGCTGCGAGAAGTACGTCGGGAACAGCTTTTTCTGTGATATCCGGGGGGCCAAACGGGGTTAAGTTCACAATGGCGCCCGGAGGAGACGTGCGCAGGGGGACATACGGTGTGGCACGGCGTCTCAGGGTTGATGATAAGATGGTTAAAACGCCGATGGATGTCTTTAGTGCGCCAGATCGAGTAGGCCGACCAGCCGGATTGTATCACGCGGGTGAAGAATACGGCGAGCCTGGACGCCGAGCACGATGAGGTCCAGTTGAAAAAAGGAAGCCAACAGTTAAACTTACAGATGTGGTGCTGACTCGTAGACCACCTGCGAATGATTGATGAGCATGAAACGGCATGAACACTGGCGCAACCTACCGCATGAAAACCGATAAGGAAGAGCCAGAATTGAGAGCCGATCAGAGCGAGCTCTTCTCTTCGCGAGTTTTTGAGACTGTTGGCATTATCAGTATCGGAACCGTCGTGGCAGAGGCTGCGACAAGGAACTAACACTTGGTCCGGATATATCAAAACCCGGGCGCACTGCAGGTTCAAGGTTACCTTATCATTGTTTTTGTCCAGCTCGACACCAGTTATATCCCCGGTTTTGTTGTCGAACACCGCTTTGACGGTCGTCCCATCTTTAGTACGTCCGGGATGTGAGATGTCAGGGAGACGAGCTAGATCGGACGCCGTGACCCGGTCTCGTTTGCGATAGCCCGTGAAATTATACGTGGCATTCGAGCCAGTTTCGTAGACCGGGATGCAAGGGTCGGATGATGCCCCATATGGAATGTGATGGCAGAGCTCGAGCCTGTAGGTCGAGTTGGGGCGAGTTAACCACGCCAATTCATTCTTCCATGTGACCTGCATAGCGACATCAGCGATGCGTGCCGCGGTGGGTGGTGTAGTGAACGCACGTTGCTTTGCTCCAGAACACTAGTGGTCAGGGATGAAGCATCGGAATCGATCGAATAGAGGAATGACTGTATGATCTACGACGAGCTGAGCTTGGTTAAGGACGACAATCGATGAATGCTACTCACCCCTTGTGAAAAGCATTGCGCGAAGGAGAACAGGAAAAATGCGGTCGTGAACTTCGACAATGTTATCCGGAGATACTGCTCAGATGCAACTGTGAGCAAGTAGGGACATCCAGCCGATGACCAAGGAGCGCACGATCGACTTGAGTTTGATCCAAGCCTTGTCCGCGGGGGTCAACATGAGAAGGCAACGACACGAGCCGGGAGAGCCGGCGAAAGGTTATGTCCAGCAAGTAGCGAAGGTGAACAGAACAGACGAAGGGTGCAGCCTGTGCGTGTCTTGACGAGACTCTGGCTGGCAGAACTGAAAAGAGCGAGTCGCCGAGCCAGGTGGAGACAATGGGTGAGCTGTCGAGGGAAAGCAACCAGCTATCACCCGAGGCAAGGAATAGACCCTTGTATGGGAGCGGGAGGCAAAGAAGGCTCTGCTCCGAGCCCGTGGTAACATCCATCCTTTCGCTGGACCTGCCCTGTTCGTGAACAAAGGACGGACAGAAGAGGACGGCTCTGATGTTCGCACGCCCCAGGGATCTCTGAGTCTCAGCCGTGCAGCGCCTTGCTTTCATTCCCCGACAATGGATATCTCGATCCAATATCGATCAAAAATCTCTCTTGATTCCTCTGCCTTGCACAATGAGGACAACGCGCCAAATACCCATCGTCTGTTGCGCCATGCGCGGAGCGGCCCAGGTCGCCGCGGACTGAAAACACTTCATTTGCTGGCATGGAGATCACGGAATCTTCGCTAAGAACCCCGACAGCCCCGGCATACCTAACGGGGCACGCTTATAACCGAGTGCTGCGCGCTCAACGTCTCGCCTCATCAGTGAGACTCAGGGCCTTCAAGACGAAAGTTGCCTTTAGTGTCAGCTTGAGAGTTCTGACGAAGGGCATCATCTACCGTAGATATCAAAGTGATCCACCAAGAGATGACATATATTACCACAGTATCTCTGTCATCCTGTGCAAGAGGTTCAGTCCTTCGAATGATTGCGGTCCTGTGGGTAGGAGCTCGAAGGAATATACTGTGCATCCACCCCTAATGCAACGCGTGTTGCATTAGGGTTATATCTCCCTCAAATCACCTCGAAATTGTCCGAAACTTTGGTAGTAGATAGCCAGGATGCTATAGATATGTCATTCAGCGTCTCAAATATTTTGGTTGAGCCTCAACTCTGCCAGCGAGATGCCGGCGAGACGAAGTGAGCACCAGCCAAAGTTGCGAGATCATCACACGCGGTCACGACTTGCCGAGGTGCCGAACTAGGACAGGCTGCAGCGCAACGCAGGGCTCAAGCGGCTCAGGCCAATCAACGCAGGCGGAGTTTGAACTCATCCGTCACCCCAATACCGTCCTTTGTGTTGAACATCCTCCTACAGCAGCATTACTACAGCAATTGCAAATCGGGATGGCGTATCAAATAGGATACAAGGTATTGAGTACTACAAAATATTTTCATGAATTTTGCGTTACCGATCCGGCGAAGCGAGGCCGTGGAGTACTCGCGACATGTTGCATCAACTCATTCGAGCTGTCCTAATGTTTTTCTGTAGCCCGAACCAACCCTCGCTCCTACTTCATCTCTTACATACAGTATGTATAGATGTGTGAGAGTACATATATTTTTTTCCGAGATGAACAGCTGAGCAGGAAAGGAACGGGAGAGGGATTTGTGTCGATGTTGCATTAGGGGGCGATGTTGCATTAGGGGTGGATGCACAGTATACCATGGGACACCTGAGGCTCACGGTCCAGACTTCGTGATGACCATTCTGAATCACAGATGCCCACGCCTCAAGACGGATTCAGCATATGCTTTTCATGATGATCAACGTATGGAGACCGGGTATACGGCCGTACGCCCGCATGAAGTTATCCCTTCTTCTGCCCTCCTTTCGGTCTGAGCGAACCGATCCAAGATCCCGATGCGGAAAGTTATCTACGCGATCAGGTAGTTCATGCTCCTTAAGATTCAAACGATCAAAACACCGAGGCTGTCCGCTCTCTACCACTGGAGATAGATTCTGATGGGGTTATCAATACCCTCGTGGGTCAGGATAGGGCGATCGCCGCCGCAGCGCCAATTGTTATGCTTTAGAATCATCGCGGGTTGTCTTAAAGCTTGTCCAAGCTCGGAATAACATTACACAGGGTATCGCCTACAGCCGAATGAATAGTTACTCGCATGCAGCGCCACATCCCACACGGAAGGAGATTCACAGTTTCTCCGTGATGGCCACTGAGAAATCGGCAAAGTAGGCATCCTGCGTCTGAGGCGACGCCCAGGAAGCGTCAGATCCTACAGATAATCAATGGCGCATCAGTGATGAAACAGTCAGCCATCGAGCGGTCCGGACGTTACCTCCAAAGAATGTCTGTACGGGAGGACAGCACGGAACGGACATGACAGTTGTTCGATCAGTCAGGCGCCAAACGGCGTGGCAAAGACCATGAGCGTACCTGGACCATAAGACCCCGGATCCGCCCGTCGGCGGAATCGCGCAACACCAAGCCGCCGACGCTGAACATGCTCTGGCCGCCGACGAACAGCTCGAGCTCGCCGTTCTCCTCCCCGGCGTCGTTCAGCCTCACGCGCTCGCTCACCGTCGTCCACGCGCCGGCGGCGAACGAGAACGAGCCGCGGGCGATCGACGCGCCGTCCGTCGGGTTGCACGTGCTGAACGGCGGGATGGCGCATACGCCGTCGTTCGCGGGGAACGAAGGGGGGAGGTAGGTGTACATCTCGCCCGCGCCGTCCGTGCGCCACATCAGCCGCGTGGAGAAGCAGGTGTCGTTCCGCGAGCCGCCGGAGCAGGAGACGGAGCCGTCGGCGGTGTCGCCGCCATCTACATGGGATCCGTCAGTTAGCGCTCGCGCCACGGCCGGGGCTGTAAAACCGGAATGAGCGTACAAAATCCGGGGAGTTTGCCGCCCATGTTCCACTCGAAGCCATCCTGGAAGAACACCGAGTAACCGAAGGTGGCCTCTTTCGCTGTCGTCAGGTCCACGCTGTCCGGCCCGGATGCGTAGAAGCTGATGCCACCCCGGGGAGTATGCGAGAACGTGTAGGAGCCGTTGGGGTATATCGCTTGCATGGCCTGTTTGCCGGCGAACTCCACGTAGGTGTGCGTGACGCCGGAGGCGATCTTGGTCGCCTGGAGCGTCTGGTCGGAAAGAGGGAGTGCAGACGACGAGTCTGAGCAGGTCGTCCACGACTCGATGGGAGTTATCGGGAATAGTTCGTTGAGTAGGGCTGTCGATCTAGACGTGGCTCGGACGTCGCGAGGTGCGGCGTTCACCAGCGCTAACGCGCCAAAGAGGAAAAGGGTATAAAGTGCAGAGCTCATCTTGAGGCGGGGTATCGGTGGGACAGTGAAATGCCCTTGGAAATTTCTCGAGCACGACCAGCCGGGTCTTTATACTTGATTTCACCGGAAGGGGCGAAAGAGGCACGTCCGGTGACTGCTAGCGCGAGGTTTCAGCCTGCGGAAGCAAAACCATGGTTCTTCCGGTGATCGAGGTCGCACAATGCACGGCTGCCGTACGGTAGGAATGAGGATCGCTGGGATCGCACAAGGCTGGTCGACTCTGCATTAGAATACGCCGGTGTTGCCGCGCAGTGCGCCTTGAGTCTCGACTCTTCCGTGCCCGCGATGACACGGAACTAGAAAACTCGTGACGGAGGAGAGAAGGTATTGGGCCGTTTCGAGGGCGGAGGATACTGGTTCAGTATCCGTCTTGTGAGATAGAGTATCCTCCGGACCGAAGTTCGACCGAAGCCGCGTGCAAGCGACGAGCGCGGTCCATGATGCATGAACATAGCTACATTTGGTGGCGTTAGGGAGCACTTCAAGTCGCCTCCACACTGAAGGAACCTAGAGATAGACTCGGCCTTGAAATTTCATGCTCCGGAGGTGCGTGTTGACAATGAGTTCCAGACGGCATATCCAGCGCCCGAGCGATAGAGGCAATCAGATAAGGGTATTATTGAAGGTCGTCTGCTGGGCTAATATCGGAGTGCGGGTATCCAGCGTTTCATTCACATGCAGCCGCTTCTGTACCCTTCCATTCAAGCTATGAACAGAGCGTGGCGTTGTGGTAGAGTTCAGAGCAGACTTAGGGGAGGTGTGGTTTATTAACGCTTATTTTTAGCCTAGCTGCTTCGGCGCAGTCTCGGCACGCGCGCTAATTGCCTCCTTCCCTCCCACCACGATGGCAGCATTGAGCGAGGCAGTTAGACGAGAGATTGGGCAGGTAATCCTGCCTTCTCCAGTGGTAGAGGCGAATGACGATTGTTGCTCGATGCTCTGTTGCAGCACTTCGTGTTTGGATTTCACGGCCAAGACGTGGACGATAACATTAGGTCGCTCATTACCGAATACTTTGTCGGGTTCGTCAAGGTCTTGACGATATTATAATATCGGAATACTCACTTTGATATAACAGAAATGTCATCATTATGAAGCGTAACATTCAAAGAAAGTCCCCATCGTTTCAGTCCAAGTCAGGACGATGAACGAGATGGTGCACATCTTAGGTTCTGCACAGGTCAAGGCGGTTACAGATGCCTTGCAGAAGCTCGCAAAGGACTCTGGACATGAAAAGCCCTTGCTCATAGGCACAGATCAGGAAAACGGTGAGATTCCATCGCGAGGCTAATGTCTCTCCGCGCTCAAGATAGTCTCTGACATGGCGTCGGCGTGTTACAGGTCTCGTTTCCGCCTTCTCGCTTGCATCCGGGGAGGCTGGCACCCAGTTGTGGGTAACCTCACCCCACGAGCGTCGTTTTCGCACATTCATTCCGCGTTAATGAAGCCCCGGCGCCATGGCACTCGCGGCTACAGGCTCAACAGAGCTCACGGAGCGTGTGTACCGCGCGACGGCGGAAGAACTGAGGGCTGCAGGGATCAACTGGGCCTACAGCCCCGTCGCTGACGTCAACAGTGATCATAGGAATCCCGTCATCGGTACGAACATAGAATTCTATCTCCCGCTAGTGAAAGTCTAATCGTATGCTGTCCAGGTGTTCGATCTTTTGGCGATGGTGCAGTTTCCCGACATCATCTTCGTCCCTTGTGCGGCGTAATGACCCCATCCCGAATTCCATCGCAGATCCCCATGAGGTGGCGCGGTTCACAGCTGCTGCACATCGCGGACTGGCCTCGGGGAACGTCATCGCCTGCGCCAAACACTTCCCCGGGCACGGCGACACGCACGTCGACTCCCACCTCGCACTGCCGCGCATCATGAAATCCCGCGCAGAACTTGATGCGACCGAGCTGGTCCCGTTCAAGGCACTCGTCGGGTCCTTCTCCTCCGCCGAGCCGATACCGTCGATCATGACCGGGCACATGGCGCTGCCCAACATTACCGGCGACGACACGCCCTGCTCGCTTTCCCGGGCGGTTACCACTGGGCTCCTCCGCATTGACATGAAATACTCAGGGGTCATCGTCACGGACTGTCTGGAGATGGAAGCCGTCGCGGAGACGTACGGCTCAGAGGGCGGCGCGGTGATGAGCCTCGAAGCCGGCGCGGACATCGTCATGATATGCCATCGGATTGACCGCCAGCGCGGCGCCCTCGAAGCGACCTACCGCGCGATTGAGCAGGGAAGGCTGTTTATCGATGAGCTCCGCATCAGCGGCGAGCGCATCAGAGCGCTGAAAGACAAGTACTGCGGCACTTGGAACGACGTGGCGACGAAGCATATCTTGGACTCCGTGGCGCTTGCGAAGCTGAAGCGGGAGAATCTCGCGCTGGCGCAGGAAGCATACGCCACGTCCATCGCACTGGTCCGGGATTTGAATGGAACGTTGCCCCTCGTAGGCGGCGCTTCGGCCGGTCTCGCGCTCTTCACGCCTCAGATGGAGAGCGTTAACCTCGCCGTGGATGACGCCGAAGGCGTCCTTCGCACCGCCGACGGCACGAAGCGGAACACCGCCGGGCCTTCTTATCTCGCCCTCGCCCAGGCGTTGTCCGCTCACGTCGAGAACGATATCCAGCACGTCGTATACACCCCACAAAGCGCGGACGCGGAGTTCCCGGATCTAGGCGGCGCGAAGTCGGTCGTGTTCGCGCTGAGGAACGCAGACCGCAGCGCGTGGCAACTCGACATGCTCCGCAGGGTCGTCGATGCCGCCCGCGCCGCGCAGGCGAAGCTTGTCCTCGTCTCTACGTGCACGCCTTACGATCTTCTAGACGTGGAGATACCCGGCGTGCGCGAGGCGGCGTACCTCGCAACCTTTGAGTTCACCAAGCCTGCGCTGGAGACGGCCGCGAACGTAATCTTCGGCGTGACCAAGCCAACAGGCAAGGTCCCCGTCCTCGGCGGCAAGGTCTGACGTTCGTAGCCCATCTCCGCCGAACTTTGAACAGATGTACCAGGTGTTTGAACATAAAAAAATGTGACGATAAATACTACAGTAAAAATGAAGCAAAAATTTCCATGTAGATGATCGACGATTAGTCTCTTCTCAGATGCGCGTACGGGTCGATGTAGAGCTTGAGTTCGGTGGGAGAGACATCCACTTTGCACCATCTATCTTTGGCTGTATGGGAAGGGTTTATCTCTGGCGATCGCAAAGCGGAGGGTCGACGTACCTTTTGGGTGTGCAGGTAGTTTCTCTGAGAATTCCTCGAGGACTTTGTATACGTCCGGCAAGCCGCGTACGTGGCAGAACCACGCCCAGGTGATGCGTCCTTGCGGGTAATATTGGTAGAAGACAAGTCGAGGATCCGTCACGTCATCGAAGACTTTGAACAAGGTGGTGTCCTCCGTCATCGTCGCGTTCAACCCGACCACCTTCAGCCGCGGGTTGTTCTCGAGCAGCTCCTTGATCGCCGCCTTCGTCGGCAGCAGGCGCTCCGTCTGCAACCGGAACTCGATGGGCGCGTAGAGGCTGAGGTGGGTGAGCTTGGGCAAGTTCGCGAGCTCCTTCCAGTGCATCCAGAAGATGTGCGAGTCGACGATCTCGAGGTGGGTCACGTTCTGCCAGATGGGCGCGTTCCAGTCCGGGGCATTGTTTTCGAAGAGGTTCAGGAGCCGGAGGCTGAGCTTCTCCGGTGCGTGCCTGATGAGGGCCTTCCAGAGCTGCTGCGCGGGCTCCACGCCCCCGGGTTGTTCGATGGAGACCCAACACCCGAGGGCACGCAGCTTGGGGAACGCTTCGAGGAACATGATCGCGTCCGGGACGTCAAAGTTGTAGGGTATCGAGAGCGACTTGACGTGCGCCTCGTAGTACCCAGGCGGCCGGCGCTTCTCTCGGACGTCGTTCATCAGCTCCCTGACGCCTCTGTTAAACTGCGTGATCTGGAGCATGATGTGGTTGTGCAGGAGCGCGGTCATCCTGGGGCGCAAGTCAGCGACTTTTCACGTTGGGTAAGTACACGCAACCTACCATACATGCACTCGCTTCGCGGTCAGACTGACCTTCCTCGCAAAAACCGGGTCGGCCCAGGCATTCATCTCGAAGATATATCGCTCGAGTTCGTAGGGTAGTGGTTTCGTGTTTTGCACAGCAGTGCTCGTTTCTTGCGGGCTATGAGAGGAGCCGTTCGCCGTCGCCGTCGCTGTCGCCTTTTTTGTCTTCGTTGCGAGACTGCCGACCCCCTCGGCCTCATCGTCTGAACGCTGCCTCTTCTTGCCCTTCGTCTGCCCAGAGAGCTCGTCGATCAGCTTACGCCTCGCCTCATCAGAAAGCGCGGCGAATATAGAAAGCGCGTGTTGGTAGTCGTTCATGCTTGCGCCCAGTTCCGCCGCGCTGGTGTTTGGCAGTATCAAGGCTTTACGGGATGCATCAGCTGCCTCATGCGCTCTCGGAACCTCCTCCCTCGGCGATACTGTCTTTCCCTTCTGTTTAAGCGATGATCCTAGCTTTCCCTTTTTCGTCTTTGGAGGCATGATGAGAGGAGATATAAAAGCGGGAGTGGATTAGGTGCGGTTGAGAGGACGGTGGAAGCGGTGGCGGTTTTATAAACAAGAAAGGCCACCCTTGTCTGAGACACAAGGACTGCATGCGTGAGCTATTGTTGTCCACGTTCACACCATGCACGTGAACGCGATCGGTCGGACCGGGGCCCACAGTCAGTGCATGCACGTGCCTCGCGCCCGCGTCGGGATGACGCCCCATCGCGGTAGCATCGCCGCCTGCTTAAGTACAGACGTCTCGGACAGGGAACGATCGCCCGCCCGCTCCCCCGCCCTCCGCCCACCACCCGCGTACCGCGCGCAATGTCGACGGCGATGCAATCCGATGCTTTCGATGTCATTCCCTTCGAGGTCAGCACTCGCGACGGCCTGCGCACGTCACCCAGCACGTTCTCAACCGTGTTTCACAGGACATCAAGGGAGACTGGAAGAAGCTGGGATCCGGATCCTTCGGCAACGTCTATAAAGGTCCGTGGCATTACTCTTACGTTGGATTGTCGCTGAACGCCGGTTTTCAGGCTCTTACCTGGGCATAGATGTGGCCATCAAGGAGGTCTTGCCATCCAACGAGTACGATGTTGCCAAGTACTTCGAGCGCGAATGGCGCCTCATGAAGTCAGTCTCGTGCCATGTAGATGTACTGAATTTTGAGGCTTATGCTCGCACAGGGAGGCGCGCCATCCGAACGTTGTACTATACCTCGGTCTCTCTCGTGCACCCCCGCCGGATGGTCGCATATTCATCATCTCAGAGTTCATCGAGAACGGAAACCTGCGAAGCTACATATATGACAAGACGAAGCCGTTTCCCTGGACGCTGCGTCTTTCGTTCGCAATAGACATTGCTCGGGCCCTCGCGTACCTTCATGCGCGGCGTTGCATCCACCGTGATCTCAAAGGGTACGCCAAGGTTTCACTGTAGCCCCACACCTCCGCAGCTGCTCACGAGCTCCCAGGGAGAACCTTCTGGTGACCGCCAACGGCCGCTTGAAGATTACGGATTTTGGCTTCGCCCGCATCGCCGCCCGCAACGAAGAAGAATCCAAGCGGCTCACCTTCTGCGGCACGGACTCGTACATGTCCCCGGAGATCCTCATGGGCGACGAGTTCGACCTCCCGACCGACATCTTCTCCCTCGGCGTCATTTTTACCGAGATTGCCTCGCGCAAGCTTGCCGACGACCGCCACTTCAAGCGCACCGCGCCGACCTTTGCCATCGATGTTGATGAGGTCCGGTCGTCCGCCAGCCCCGGCTGCCCCACTGCCCTGGTTGACCTCTGCATCGATTGCATGTCGGTCGACCCCGCCGCACGTCCGACGACGCGGCAGATCCTCGAGCGGCTCCGCGTGATCGAACTCGAGGTTCTCGAGCGGCCGTCCGAGGCGAACGAGGCGAGCGTGGGCACAGTCAAGTTCTTCACCGGCAGCAAGCGGCCTACACCTGCGCCGCGCATCCCGAGCTTTGGCATGGGCGTCGGTTCCAACATTCGGGCCAGCAGCATAACCGGCCGACCCACCGGAGGGTTCTCAAGCGACGAGGACAGTGATGACGAGGAGCTGCACGAGGCCCTCGAGGGCCTTAACGCTGTTCGTCTCGGCAGCGACCTGACCAGCACGCCGGCAAGCGAGGGCAGCAACGCTCCGCTCCTGGACGACACAGCATCATCGTCATACTCTGACTACAGCACGACGGTCATTCGCGGCCACCCGCACCAGAATGGCTCTAGCGCGGCGCCCCCAGCACTATCCTCGATCCTCACCGTGCGTCAACCGCCTTCGCCCCACGCTGCGGCGGCCGCACCGTCCGAGGCGCCTCCTTCCTCCTCGTCCATCATGACCATCCAGTCGTACCAGACTGCGCGCTCGACGATACCCTCCATCGCCGGCGCCACCGAGGGGGGCTCGACGATCCGGATGTCACCTTCCACGCTCGTGCACCGTTTCACCCTCATCAAGCCCGGCGGAAAGCGACCCGGCGGCTCCTCGAGTCCGCCGACTAGGGGCAAGGACGGATCGGACAGGGAGGTTGGTTGGAGCCCGTTCGACTTCTTCTTCTCGAGCGGTTTGCTCGCTGCCAAGTGCGACTTGTGCACGAAGCGGATCGGGTGGAAGCCGTGCCTGGAGTGCGACGACTGTGGCTTACGGTATGTGACCTGCCCCTGCCGCGTCGTTGCTTTCACTAATCTCCTTCTTCAAATAGGGCTCATATCAAATGCGGAGAGCTGGCGCCTCGCGACTGCGGCATGCGTCCCATACGACGCCCAGCTACCCATCCCGAGCCGCCCATCCCACTGTTGCCTAAAGTGAAGCAGGGCAACAAGGCGCCGAAATAGTAGCACTCCAAGGTTGACAATCGGACGGACCCCTTCTTGCATATCTATTCATTTTCACGACCCGACACCACTGGGACAATCCACATCACGATGTACACGACCAGCAACCACGACACGTTTATGTATTTGGTAGTAGCGTATACTGTAATATTCACACTAGCGCAATCTAAAGCCCGTGTCCCCCCGTATTGAATCGATGCATCACGCGAAATCATCGGCATGCAGCTGGATATAGTGTACGAACCCCCAGCATCTTACAGCAACGTCAGGTGTGATGTAACAGATATCTCGAAAAAGGCCTCACCGGTTGATCCTGTACGTGTATTCTCGATGAAGAGGGGGCCGAGGACTGCCAGGCGGTTCCGCCATCGGGGTCTCGGACCAGTACGGCTCATGATCTTTGGATGGCGAGGTGAACAAGTAGAAGATCCTGGGCACAGACATTTGGCCGGGGAAACCCATGTGGTGATGTCCAAACCCTTGCGGGTGATGGGGTTGATTGAAGCCGAACGGTTGGTGGTGGTGGCCGAAGTGGTGCGGCTGGTGTAGACTTGGTTGGTGGAAGCCGCCGAACATTGGAGGTGCGAAGTGGTTGATGCTAAAGTCTTGGTCTAAAACAGCGTACCGTTTGGTATATATATATGCAATACGGCAAGATAGGCTTACCGGTTCCTGCACGCGTGACTACGCATACCTTCAGCAAATCTCGGGAGATGCACGAAAGTAATCCTTACTGAAAATGAGTTCCTCAGGGGGGATAGAATGTTGTCTGGCGATTTTGGACGCATGATCCATCAGGAACTTCCATGCCTATGGGGCGATCAGTTCTACGCTGATCATTCATGCTGGTGTCGACGCATACCGAATTCACCGAGGAAACGGCTTCTTCATGAATTACATGCATTTGAATCTCCTCTTGTGGGGGGACCGCGATCGGCCATCTGCGTCTCCTTCAGCCATAGTCGGCGCAGACCATGTACGCGTACTAACCCGGTGATATCGTATGGAAGCGGGAACCCCTGCACGGGAAGCCGTCCCGATTGCAGAGCCTTCCAAGACCACCGGTTGGCCGAGGCGCTCTTTTCTCTTCCCATAGAGGCGACAAGGCCATCGTCGAAGACGTTCGCCAATTTCTTGAAGCTTGAGCGAAACTCTTCTCCAACCGGTATGTAACTGTCAGAAACTCAGCGTCTGAAAACCCGCCGCGACAACGGCATCATACCCAATGTCACCAGGAAGGAACTCAAATGGTTCAACAAGCTGACGCCAGCAGTGATTGTGCCTTCCAGCCCGAATGTTCAAGTCTCTGAGCTGACGAAGGGAGATCGTAGGCGCTTCCTCCTCTTCATCTTCGTCTTCATCTCCGGCATCAAGTAGCTCCGCCACTGGTCCAGGCAGCCCAGGCCGCTGGCCGTTGCCTGGAAGAAGTTCTTCCGCGAGATAGACAAGGTGACTGAGCTTCACTTGCATGGCGTGGCTCACTGCCGGTGGGATCCGTTATATGCCTTGAAAGACCGATGACTTGTGCTCACATGTCTTATCCGAGGTGTCGACTAATCTGGTCGGTTGCGACCGAAAGGGGAGCATCTTCAAGTCGAGTTTGGATATTGCCTCCTAAGATATAGTGACACCCACGAACCTGAGTGCAAGCACGGAGTAGGGCATGCGTCAAATCATAGTTCCTCCATGTCGTCCCCCCCTCTCGAGGAGGAGGTAGCCCCATTACCACAGCATGGTTAGGATCGACACGATAATTTGATTTCTGACATCAGCTGGAATGAGCGTGATTGCAGCGGGCTCGGCGTGAACAACGCGTACCTCGACGAAATCGATGACATGCTCTTCAGACATTTGGAATTGCTGCTGGACGTATAGTGTTGTTTCCTGCATATCGTCAACTCGAGCGTCAGCTTCACGGTTTCAAGGACGGTTTCAAGGGAACCGAGAGATGAGCACACCGCAATATCCCGATACTAGAAGCAATGGTTGTATGAGCTTCTTGCATACCTGATAGTCTTTGGAAGAAGGGCCTCACGAAATTCAACACTCGTTGCGCGCAATCAGATATACTTCCTGTCTTCAAGGTCTCAAGGAGTACCGATTGAGGGGTGGCGGTCCCAGCTGATCCGGATTCGGCCGATCGTCAGAAAATCGATCGACAAGACAAAAAGATCACACCAACTGTTACTGAGAATGATAAAAGGCACAGCAGCGTCGTCAGTGGAGAATCCAATCTGCAATTTAGTCAATTTAGAGCTTAACGTATTTGTCGAGAATTGGTCACCATCTGCGGTAGATTAGGGTGGCTGCCATCGCGGTTGAGTACCTCCATTACGCGGTTAGGAAGCATCTCACTAGACGTTCTGCAAGAACTTGACATCATGCACCCAGCTCTATCACAGCATGTGAGCTCATGAACCATGAACCGTACTCCAAGCACGCGTACCTTCACGTTACTGGCAGAAGCGTCATAGCGTTTAATCAACGCTTGACGCCCAGAGACTTGGATCTCTGTAGCGCCAGCCCACCAGCCCTTCTTTATGCGCGATTTACGGGTGCCTAACGTTATTTCAGATTGATGATATCGTACAAACTAGAGGCGACATCGGCGAAGATCAGAACGAATGGCCATCGACAAGACTGGCTAACCTACACCTCGATCGTCGTCAATGAGGGGAGTGGTTTCCGTTCGTTCTTCGACCTCCGTTTCCTCGATCGAGGTCAAAGAACCCGCCGAGGTGACTTCGACGAAACTGCTGGAGGCCCGGGAACTCGTAATAGTAGAGTCTCCGGAAAAAGATCTCGAAACGCTGATCGTTCGAGCACGCGAAACTGGAGAATCCGGTAATTCCGTGTATGGAGAAGAGATAGTCTGGTTCGATTTGTCGTACACTGAGGCGGAACGCGAGACCTAGACGAGTCTCGGCGATGGTTTATAGGAAACATTTCATCACTCACTGCATGGCTGTCGGAGAATACCGTGGATGTTGGCGATGCGGAAATCGTTTTCGCGCTCTTTTGTATTTTGATCCTCGACGACGTTCCCTCCTCCGATTCATCGTAGAGGACCACGCGCGTGGTCTCGGAAAAGATGGATGACCCAGTAGACACTTCTATCGGCGAGCTAGTTTCTTCGCCGTATGTAATCATCTTCGTTGTGCGCTCTCCGATACTGTAGTGGATGTCGATCAAAGCAGCTATCTAACAAATCGCTCGAATCAATATACGTTGTACCAAATTCACGATTGTCTCACCTGAAAAGACCGTGCTGCATCGTCAAGTTGCTGACCAAAATCCGAAATCGCATCCTCAGTGGAAGCCCTTCGCATGACACGTTGGTGCCACTTCCCGGTGCTTTCATTCTTCATGAAGTCCGCGATGCCGACCAGGACACTTTGTCGTGCATTACTTTACAAGAATTCAAGACAGTGCAGGGGGGTCGCGCACTCTTCGAACTTCCGAATGTTTCGTTTCAGGGACGGAGGAGCGTCCTCCCACCTCCCCCGCATTTGATCGCGTATATCGAGGAGGATGGAGGCGGCGCGTCTTGCGAGTCTGACACACGCAGTCTTGTTCTTTTGCAGGCTCTGCGAGTTGTGACCATGGTCAGAGTTATATACGGGCGAGGAACCAGGTAATACCGCACCTGAATGGTGTCGAACACAACCAGCAGTAACGTCGCCGCAGCGCTCACTGGAGGGAACTGACACAGGTCACCCAGCTCACGAGTGATCGCAGCTGTAGTCCGTGCTAGATGCAGCGCGTTATCCGCAGAAGATTGCTTGCGAACCGTTGTCGCGCTAAGCCGCAGAGAGCTCATCTCGCTGACGCCACGTCGGCCACCTATTCACGAAGGGGTACGACAGAAAGCAGTTGGCAAAGAGCCGATGCGATCGAGCGCCCGTTCACCACCTTCCCATGCTCATATTTAAACGTGTGCAAGTTCAGCAACTCAAAGAACGCGATCCAAAGCGCTCGCGGGTCCAAAGTACGAGTCAAGTCAAGTATTACGAGTGAAGTGGTCAATAGAGACGTTTCGTTCCAATCGAGTTAGCAATAATTACACCGTCTTGTCTGAGCAGGGCCGGCTGTTCCGGCAAATGCCGGACGTTGGCGGGTGTTTTCATCGCGACTGGGTCATTTTGTAGAGTACAATCTCCTCTAGAACTACAATTGCATCTAATACAGCGCTGGGAAGCCTTCATCGTTCAGGTGATGTCGAGCCTGGTTGGCTCTGTGTTTGCCGAGCACTTGAACTGGGCTCATGACACGACGAGAGGTCATGAGAATCCAGCCATCTTAGGGCGCCCTACGTCGTGATCATCAAGCTGATGAGGCTTATAAAACGGAAACGCGACCCACAGGCCGTGAATCTTGCGAATGGGGCATTTCGAACTCGATCTTCGAAAGCTCAACGTCATCCTCTTCTTCTGTAGCAAGCGCGCCCGACTTTCCAGCCTCGCACCGCAGGTTCAGCACGAGCCGCGTAGCCGCGATCGCGATATTAGCCATGACGAGCGGCTGTCCCAGTAGCTGGAGCTCCCGATGGGCGTACTGCAGGTGAAAGACGAGGTAGAATAGAGCGTTCGCGAAGAGCGCGAGGAAGTACGCCGCGCTGTCGCGCATCAGGAGGTGTAACGTCGGTGCCATGTGCCAGTGATGGATGTGCTGGCGGAAATTCGTCAGGAAGTGGCGGAGGGTCATGAAGAAGTAGATCGCGTGGACCACCGAGTCCGTTATCCTGCAATATCCGACGGCGTCAATGGGCCGAAGACCAGGAGCGAGAGAACAACACGCACGAGGGGGCAATTTGCAACGTGATGAAGCCCTCGTTGACAAAGAAGCATCCGGGCATTGAGAGACCTAGCTCAGACTCGCTGGTGACTGCACGCGTTGAAGGAATGGTCACGCAGGCGACAGCCAATATAGCCTATTACAAGAGGATATGAGCCATGAAAAACGTCAATCAACGCCGCAGACGACGTACTGCAATGTTTACCGCCAACAGCGCCGAGCTGAAGAGAAGCACTGGAGACAATATGAGCGAAATCGTGGTTGAAAGGGCCGGAAGTTTCATATCTACCTGATCGGCTCCGGCTATACAACGCATACAATCTCAACACGAGGACTACAGAGCCCATCGCGGTTGTAAGTGTTGATCCACCTCTTGGTTAACGTGTGAGTATCCCGCAGAGCGATGCCAAACAAAACTTACATTGTGATATACCACAACCAGGATTTGCAGCTGCACAGGAAACATTAGCAGATGAGCACCAGTCCAGTCCCTAGCCCCAACCCACAACTGAAGGACGATGATTCAGTTAGGTTGTGCAGACGTACTGATATTCCTGTCAACGTACCGAGGTAGACAGGCCAGCAGTTACATTAACTAAAACCGTCAGCCTTAGTCGCAGGCGCGGTTATAGCTGAATACTTACCGTATACATTAGTACTACAGCCGCGGTCAGCGCATGATACTTATACACACGATATAGAACACTCACGCAAGGGATCCAAGTGTTAGATATCTGAGCGAGAGGTAAAGCCATTTTGTCGTCGACCGTTTACTGCTGCACGGAACGTCATCGGGTCTGTACATGATACATGCTGTGGCGGCTACTCAACAACCAGATAAATCGTATCTGGAAGAAACTTGTCAGAGAGTTACGAGTAAGACCGCACACGAACACCTCACCTCATCCTTCATCATGAGAATGGTATCGTATACCAACCAAGCCAGCGTCGCGACTTTCGGCAAGCGTCAGCGAATCACGTTCGTATGAGATTAGAGCGGGTTCATTACTCGATGCGACCCGGACGGACCAGAGGTCCCCCAAGAGCTGCTCAAGCGCAGCAGTCTCACTGGCGCTCATGGGGGATGCAAGGACATCGACGTCGTGACAGAGGTCGCAGCGCGGAGGAAAGGTCGCTCACATCGGCGCGGTGCCGGGTTATAAGCACGACTTCACCGCCAACCCCACTGCAACGGGAGCCGCTGATATCCGATGATCGGAATTTCGGGAGTGTTGCATTTCTCCCCTCCCCCGAAATGTCAACGGTTTGGAGATAACGTCCGTTTTCGGTAGGTTTGTCATGCAAGGTCGCTGCTGCGTGCCAGAACGAGTTGCCCGATTTGTCAACAGGAGAAAAATGCAGATATCCCAGACGCATGCATTGCTGGCAAAAAACGGGCGAGGTACCAGATTACTGCCAGATCTGGGTTCCGCACGTTAGAAGCAGATGGCAGTGTATCAGGTTGGCACAGAAGATGCAGACCAATAAGAGTGACCGATCACGGCTGACGAACAAGAGCCCACATGTCCACAGCGAGCTCAGATAGGGACCACGCGTGGCAAGGCAGCTCTGAGGAGGGAAATTGCTCTTGTGTACATCTAACTCCTCATGTCGAGTTGCAAGTTTTGATGCCGGAACACTACACTCAGAGCAAGGTTGCATACTGTAAGAGGACAATACTCGCAGGTGTGCGGGGCGCCCGGCCTTCATCGATGCACCGAGCTTATCATGCGCCGGCCTTGAAAATATCTTCGTCTGATGCACAACTTCCATAGAATTCCCATCTACCACGACCTTGGGCTGAAGACAGTTGTGCATGAGGCAGTGTTATACTTACGGCACCACAAGAAGCTGCAACACAGGAGAATGGTCAGGTTTGCTATGCGGATGGTAACTCGCTGTGAAATCCACCGCTGCCATACACAGCACACTCAAGATCGTAATGAAACTTCGCGAATACCAGGATCATATTCTAAGAACAACCGAGTACCCGGCCTGTGCTTTTACTTCTCAAGGTACTTCCCGAACCCTTCCCTATCCTCCCACACCGCGCGGGGGAAGAAGCCGCCCACCCACAGCCCCCCGGCCGGGTCGTTGCGCATCGGGAACGGCTGGTATCCTGTGCCCCACACGTACAACACCGACACCTGTGCCACCCATCACAGATGCAGCAGATGAACAAGCAGCGCCCAAATCGATAGCAAACACGAACCTTGGCACCAGCGTTCTCGGCAGCCGGGGACAGGTCGACGAACATGAGGCGCTGGGTGCGCCAGTTCGTGACCACGTTCCAGTACGATCGCGGATCCGCGAAGAAGACGGGCGTCGTGCCTTCGGCATGTGCCCGCATGCGAAACCGGAGGAAAGATTCGGTGTAGGCAGGCGTCGTCTGCGCGAGCAAACCCCGACGGAACTATCAATACGCAAAAAGCAGGGGTCAGAACAGGCGGCGTATGACGTGTACGACGTCCGCACCTTCAGGGCCAGCGCCCCGAGGCTCTCGGTAGGTATGCTTGCGACGGGCATTGTGAAGAGCGCGCCACGGGCGGCGTTGCGGATGTAGGCACCATCCTCCGGGAATGCGGCCTGAAGGTGATTGCGCATGTTCGCGGAGTAAAACAGCGAGTGCGAGTGCTTCGAAGACGCAAAGCGTGGAGTATATATGCACTATTGTCAAGCCAAGACACCGCGTAAGCAGCGAAGCGCGTGAGATCGCAGAGCTACAGAACCGACCTTGAGCATGAAAGCCAGTACGGCGTCACTGGTGCTGATGTATTCTCCCTCGACTCCCTCTCGCTTGATATCCTCCATCGCCTCCGTCTTCAATCGCTGAACCTCCTGTGGCGGGATGTACATTTCGCGGTTCTCGTCTTCGCGCCGGCTGATCATATCCCAGACCGTACAGAACACGAACACCGCCATTTGGAGGGCACTGAAGACACGCCAGCCATCCGGGATGACGCCGACGTTACCCTGCTTTGCTTTTGCGATCCCTTGATCCTGCTTTGGGTCCTCCTCCGGCCTGTACTTAGCGAACGGGTCGCAGTCGGGCGGAGCAATCGGCGGTGCCGGTTCCCCGCGTAGGACCGTTGTGAGGGCGCGCATGATCTCCGCAACGCCCATCCCGTCGCAAAGAACGTGCGGGACGCTCAGTCCGAGAACCGACGCGTCCGGATAGAGCGTTAAGGAGAGTTGCGAAATCGGCTTATCGACCTGACCGGGACAGAGCGTCAGACACCTCAGGGCACCCGCGACATGAAACACGCACCTTCATGAGCTCCGGGAGCTTCCGCCGCCAAGGGTCTGGCGACGAGTACAGGTCATCGGGGTTCTCCTTGACGACAAGTCGGATATGTGGCGCAGGCTGGGAGTAGGTGTAGGACGTGCGGATGGGTTCTGACTTATGGACGACGCGAAAGTCGTAGTCCGGCGTTTCAGAGGTTGGGATGTGAAAAAACCAATTGTCCTAACAATTGTAACGGCATTAAGCTGTCGTTCAATCCTACGTGAAGAATAGGCGGAGGACGCACCTTGCTGTCCTTCCTGATACGCGCAGAAAGAATCGGCCAAGCAATGCTGAGGTCTCTCCAAGCTGCTTCGAGTTTTGATGGATCGAGGCGGGCATCCAGGACCCAGCCAGTGACGAGAATCGTATGCTTTTCGGCGCCAGAGGAGTCGAACGACCCGACGGGGATAATGCCGTACTCAGACATGGTCAACCAGTGTACCAGTCTCGATGAGAGCCCGTGCTTGTACGGGATGCCTGCAGGTCCAGCAAGGCGCTGTGGTGGCAATGAATCATGGCCTGTGCATCACTCGTACTTGGTTGCCAGTGCCATGGACCCAGACTAAGGTGCGTGGGAACATTACCTAGGGTGTTGTCACACGGTCAGACCTGAGGGCAATATGTAGCGCCACCATCGGACCTTCGCCCCGACAGAGACTCTCCTGACGAACGTGCACTCGAGTCGTGATAAAACCCCCACCTAAAGACACGTATTACGCCCTATAAAATATGACTGACACGTAGGGCCTCAGTAGTATATAAGTAGAGTACAAAAGATCATGTACTCTAGCTTTCTCCTGCGCACTCAACGAGACTTACCCCGGTCTATTGTGTGAACTCTGAGGAACTCTAACCGTGTGACTACACTTCGCTTACAAAGCTTACCCGTCGTCACACAATACGTCAACCGTTGTAAGTCTATCCTAGAGCAAGGGCGAGAATCGTGTCGTACATGAGTATATCGTACACTACTCGGGTTCCTACGAAGCCGTGACATGTCGGTTCTTGTATTTGATTGTGCATACGTGGTCCTTAAGGACTGGGCGAAACTTACACGTACGTACATCTACTTACCAGTTCAGGTGTGCGGGTGCCCGGCTTTCATCGATGCACCGAGCTTATCAAGCGCCGGCGTTGGAGGTTATCTTCGTCTGATGCAAAACCCCATCGATTTCCATCAAGATCGTAATGAAACGGCACAAATACCAGGATCACCTTCCAAGAACAGCCCAGATATCCGGCTCGTGCTTTTACTTTTAGAGGTACTTCCCGAACCCTTCCCTGAAGATGCGCCAGCCGTCTGGGATGGCGTTGGCGTCATCTTGTCCTGCTTTTGCGGTCCCTTGAGCATGCTTTGCGTTCTCCGTGGATTCGCTATCCGGTCTATACTAAGCGAAGGGATCACAGTCGCTCCGCAGCTTTCGAGGTGGCTGTCGATGATGAACAAGGTTAGAACACGGAGAGTACGAGACAGCTTGAGAGCTCACTGGATGCACATTCGCGGTTCGCGGACGGCGAGGCGGTCGGCAAAGGATCCTGTGCACGGAAGAATCCTGCAGATATCAATTGATGCGCGAACAGTTTACCTCAGCGGAACAACGTGTACCGTCAGACGCTTTTCTGTCCGCTGCGTATGGTCCATAGACATATGGCGAGGGCCTGCTGTGTCTACTGGAGATGCATGCCGCTGTTATTAAGCTGCGACATGGAACAGGGTGTAGTCATAAGCACGGCAACGCGCGGGGTTACAGGCCAGATATTTTTCGCGCATGTGCGGCTGATTGTGTTGAAGAACTGCATAGTGCCACTCAGCCTCGCACGGATTTAAGGTGATCGAGCCTGTCATTGGCGATGCCTGCGGTCGGGCGCGGAAAGATATACAAACAACCGCGGGCTGCACGGGATAGATGCATCCGCACAAAAAAAAATACGTTTCGGCCACCTGCCGTCCATCTCATCCGTCTAGATCCTTACTCGTCCGTTCATCTACCTTGCACACCGCGCCCCGTCGAACGTGAACGTGCATATATCAAGGCAGCACGTATCCCGCCGCGTGCAGCAGCGTCGCGAACTGGACCTTGGCGATCGAGCGCACCTGCTCGAGGTCGTATCCGTGCCGGTTAACGAGGTCGCCCGAGTTGTGATACATAGGATCGGCGATCTAAAAATAAAATGCAAAAAGCCCCGAAAGAGGATAGGCGTGGGGGTGATCGTCAGTCGGTCTGCCGTTCCGGGAGCGGAAGGATGCAAAAAAAAAAAAAAAGGGGGGAGGAACGCAAAACGGAAGACATTGCGGAGCGTCGGCATGGCGTAGTTGGTGCGAGCGTCTTACAAGCCTGAACGCTGCGCGATGCCAAGGAAGATATGGAAGCGAGAACTCACCGGCCCGGCGCGTTCGAACACTTGCGTGGCGGGGAAGCCCTGTTCCCAGAAGCTCTGGTGGTCGCTGCAGCATGCGGCGGTGTAGCCAACGGTGAGCTCGGGCGAGTAGAGCGACGAGAGATTGGACACGAGCTGCGTCACTTCGAGGGTGCCGATCCTACGATAAACCGACGTCAAACAGCGGTCGATCGATGAGAAAAGGATCGATGAACGAACGAGAGCGGGAGGCCGAGCTGCGGCGGCTCCTCCGGCACTATACACAACGACGATCAACACACACGCATCGAGGCCCAAGGAGAGGGGGGAGAGAAAAGAGACGAACCGTGGTAGGCGAGCATGTCTGCCTGGATCATGAGCGTGATGTTCGCGCCCTGGGCCTTGAGCTCGCGCGCGTACGCCTGGGATCCGAGCAGGCCTTGCTCCTCGCCGCCGAAGAGGACGAGCTCGACGTTCTCCTTGAAGCGCACGCCCGTCTTGGCGATCGCGCGGGAGAGGGCGAGGATGGCGGTGGTGCCCGAGCCGTCGTCGTCGCCGCCCGGGGCGCGCGTGCTCCCGAACGAGCCGCGCGAGTCGTAGTGCGCCGAGAGGAGCACGGTCGCGTTCGTCGGCATCGTCGCGGTGTATTTGCTACGTTATTTTTTAAAAAAAAATAAAGGGAGGGGGGGAAAAAGGGGTTGAGTGGTCGGGTATATGCGGGGAAGAGGGGAAGGGAGGGAGGAGACACGCACCAGACGACGTTGGGGGTGAAGCCCTGCAGGAACGGACGGAGGGCGCACGTCGCGCCGCTGAGCTCGACCTGGGCCTTGATCCACGCCGCGGCCGCGCGCGCGCCGTCGCTGAACGAGTGCCGGCTGAGGATCGCCGACTCGTCCGCCTCGCCGGAGAGGTACTCCGCGTCCTTCTTCATCTGCTTCACGTCGAGCTCCTCCAGCAGCGCGGCGACGGCCGAGTCGTACTTGACGCCGTCGAGGATGCGCCGCACGCGCGCCGCGGCGTCGGGCGGGACGGGGACGTAGGACCGCGGGGTGGCCGGGATCGGGCGCGCGCGCCAGAAGGGCGGGAGGAGGGGGTCGAGGTGAGCGGAGGCGGAGGCGGGGATGGAGGCGAGGACGGTGTCCGCGGTGCAGAAGAGGATCTGCGAGGGCGCGGGGGAGGTGCCGAGCGCGATCTGGCCGTCGGAGCGGGCGTCGGCGGTGACCCTGAGGGCGTCGAGCGAGAGCAGCGTGCCGGCGAAGGCGTCGTCGCATCCGAGCCCGCCCATGTCTTCGGAGTGCACGGCCTCGTCGACCGCCGCGCGCTCGATCCACACGAGCTGCTGCGCTCCGGTATCGGCGACCTGGACCGGATCGGGGAGAACGATGCCTTCGCTCAGGAACTGGGTCGCATAGCCGAGGCAGGACTCGTCGGTCCTGAAGAGAGCGTGGCGCCCGCCGCCGTAGACGCCGTAGAAGCCGTCGGCGAGGCAGCTCGCGCCGAACGAGGCTTGGTCGAAGACGGCGGGGTCGAAGGCGGTGACGAAGAGGACCGCGCTCGGGAGAACCATGGCTGGTTTACTCCGGCTCCGAAGATAATAATATAAATCGAGTTATTCGATTTTGGAGTGGAGTGCGCTGCTGGCTGAAGGTGCGGGGACCACGTAGACCAGGGGCAGGTCACTTGAGTCAATCGAAGGCGCTCGAAGCGCCAAGTAGCGGACAGTAACCGTGAGAAAGTCGACTCTGTGCTACGTGTCACCTCGCCACGTCGCCCGCCGACCGAATTATAAAGACCACCGACCGGTCGTCCCAGTCGTGCTAGTCGACCTCACCACCTCCCTCCGCTTTCTCTTTCCCTCTTCCCCTTTCCTTCTCCTTCCTTCCACTACTCATCCATCACCGAGTAGACGAAGACCACCAACCACCACACGCACCCCATGGCGCGTCCATCGAGGACCCAAGCGCGCCGCGCCGCGTCGGCGCTCTCGCTTTGCTGTCTCCTCCTCCTCGCCGTCCTCTGCTTCTTCCCCGCCGCCGCCGTGGCCGCGGACGACAAGCGCTCCGAGTACGGCACCGTCATCGGTATCGACTTGGGCACCACCTACTCCTGCGTCGGTGTCCAGCGCGGCGGACGGGTAGAAATCATCGCCAACGATCAGGGCCACCGTATCACCCCCTCATGGGTCTCCTTCACTGACGAAGAGCGACTGTGAGTTACTCGCCGCGTACATGAACCGCACTTCGTATGCTGACGATCCACCTGAAACACAGTGTCGGCGACGCCGCCAAGAACGCGTACCACTCCAACCCGCAGAACACCGTCTTCGACGCCAAGCGTCTCATCGGCCGCAAGATGGACGAGCCCGAGATCAAGCGCGACATGAAGCACTGGCCGTTCAAGGTCCACGAGAAGAACGGCAAGCCCGCCATCCAGATCACGTACAAGGGCGAGCCCCGCGACTTTACCCCGGAGGAGATCTCCGCCATGGTCCTCGGCAAGATGAAGGAGACCGCCGAGGCTTACCTGGGCAAGAAGGTCACCCACGCCGTCGTCACCGTCCCCGCATGTGCGCCTCGCTCCTTGATACGAACCGCCAGCGTTTACTGATTATCGCCTTGCTCTACAGACTTCAACGACGCGCAGCGTCAGGCGACCAAGGACGCTGGCACGATCGCTGGCTTGAACATCCTTCGTATCATCAACGAGCCGACCGCCGCCGCCATCGCGTACGGTCTCGACAAGAAGGGCAAGGAGCAGCAGATCATCGTGTACGATCTCGGCGGAGGAACCTTCGATGTCTCTCTCCTCTCTATCGACGACGGCGTCTTCGAGGTGCTCGCCACCGCCGGCGACACCCACCTCGGCGGCGAAGACTTCGACAACCGCGTCATCGACCACCTCGTCAAGGCCTACAAGAAGAAGACGGGCACGGACGTCACCGGCAACCTCCGCGCGCTCGGCAAGCTCAAGCGCGAGGTCGAGAAGGCCAAGCGCACGCTCTCCTCGCAGCAGTCCACCCGGATCGAGATCGAGTCGTTTGAGAACGGCAACGACTTTTCCGAGACGCTCACCCGCGCCAAGTTTGAGGAGCTCAACATGGACCTCTTCCGCAAGACGATGAAGCCCGTCGAGCAGGTGCTCAAGGATGCCAACGTTAAGAAGGAGGACGTCGACGAGGTGAGCGTCGCTACTGTGCCGGCCGTCCGTCCTGTTCAGCTCGCTAACCTATCGCTCAGATCGTGCTCGTCGGTGGCTCTACCCGTATCCCCAAGGTCCAGCAGCTCCTGAAGGAGTACTTCAACAAGGAGCCGTCCAAGGGCATCAACCCCGACGAGGCCGTCGCCTACGGCGCCGCCGTCCAGGGCGCGATCCTCGCCGGTGACGACGAGATGGCCGACGTCGTCCTCGTCGACGTCTGCCCGCTCACGCTCGGTATCGAGACCACCGGCGGCGTGATGACCAAGCTCATCCCGCGCAACACCGTCATCCCCACCCGGAAGTCGCAGATCTTCTCGACCGCGGCCGACAACCAGCAGACGGTGCTGATCCAGGTGTACGAGGGCGAGCGCGGCTTGACGAAGGACAACAACCTCCTCGGCAAGTTTGAGCTCGGCGGTATCCCGCCCGCCCCGCGCGGCGTGCCCCAGATCGAGGTCACCTTCGAGATCGACGCGAACGGCATCATGAAGGTCGCCGCCGCCGATAAGGGAACGTGAGTCACGCTCTCATCCTCCCCACCCCCTTCTGTTATTGTTCGGTTTTGCTGACGCGCTTCGCTTACCACTTCGACAGTGGCAAGTCGGAGTCGATCACGATCAAGAACGAGAAGGGCCGCCTCTCGCAGGAGGAGATCGACCGCATGGTCGCCGAGGCGGAGGAGTTTGCGCAGGACGACGAGGCGCAGCGGAAGCGGATCGAGGCGCTCAACGCGCTCTCGTCCTTCGTCTACGGCCTCAAGGCGCAGCTCGCCGACCAGGACGGGCTCGGCGGCAAGCTCGACGACGCGGACAAGAAGGCGATCCTCGCCGCCGTCAAGGACACGACGGAGTGGATCGACGACCAGGGCCAGGGCGCGACGGCGGAGGAGCTCGAGGAGAAGCTGGCGGAGGTGCAGGCGGTCGTGAACCCGATCACGAGCAAGCTGTACGCCGGCGGCGGGTACGCCCCCGGCGAGGACGACGAGCAGGATCCGTTCCACTCGCACGACGAGCTTTGAAAGGGGGAGCGGAAGACGGCTCCGCCATTATAAAAGGAACCTATATACCGTCCCGTGATGATTTTAATTTTATACATCGGAGATTACGACGCCACTCGCCATTTGTAATTGGGACTATCAGTAGTCGTCTTTTTGCAATCAACGACCCGATAATCATTGCAGCTTGTTCGTGATATGTTGTTGCAGATGGCTCGCGCGCCGAGCCGTGTCTTGGACGTTCAACGTTCATGCGTGGTAGACGAATCACCTTACCATCAGGCCTCACAAAGGGGCAGACTCGCTGCCAGTCCCTCTGCACAGTCGACGTTCTGGAGGTTGCTCTCGGTGCTTTCTTCACTTCAAACCGAGGCGGCGATTTGATTTCGAGCCTAACAAAGGGGACTCGCCATTGCATATTCGCCTATGGTAAGAGTGCATACAAGCTACCTCCCTATGACATTTCTCGCTATGCTAAAGTCCTTGCTTTTGCAGATCTTGGGCCCAAGACGTTTGTATTTGTACCTGAGACATCTAGTAAGTTACTTTGATACCGAGGCCTCTGGTTCTCGATGGCACCGACGGACCAGGATGTATGCACGACACCCCCTGCGACACGCTTACCAGCCGAACTTTGTCAGAGATTTTCGCCCATCTCAGGATCGCCGAGTCCCTCGAGCTTATGCTCGACGGCGTGACGACGGTCCCGTTTGCGTGGTCCATGACCTGGGCTCCGCCCGTCACCCAGGTGTGTCGGTTCTGGCGATCCGTGGCGCTGGACTTCCTCGATCTCGCGAAGCCTCAGCTAGCGCTCGGCCTCTCTCGCCGGTTTTCCTTTCCTTTGCGCATTCGCTGGGCCGTAGGCTCGGAGGATGTCAAGGACGCATGGGAGACCTTCCTCTTGATCCTCCGCGAGGCGGCTCATCGCGTCACGGAGCTGACCGTGTTAGACGCACGTAGTCCCTCCGCTGGCCGCGAATGGGCGGCTGCGCGCCCTCCTTGCGAAAATTTAACCTAACTCTTTTCTGGTTAGAGGACCACGCATGGCTGCCTCTGTACGCTTTGAAGACCCCCCTCCTGCTCACCTCGAGCTCTGTTATCCAGGCGGCCCGGACCGCTGGCGCTCACTGCTCATGCGCTCTTCGAGCCTGCGCGTGCTAAAGCTGCAAAGCTTTCGGAGCGTCGGTATGTCCGTCGTCCTGCAGACGTTCCGCCATCTACCGTATTTGGAAGAGCTCGATTGGCAGCTGGGCCTGCCGCGCGACGACATCGCGGCGGCATCGACGTCGCGTATCGAGATGGTCCGCCTTCTCACCGTCACTCTCACAGGCGTTACCTCCGGATGTGCTACCGTGTTACGGCACCTGATCATCCCGGAGGAGGCAGTGGTCACGGCGATATTCAACGCCGATCGGGACGAACCCTTGTGCTCACGCTTTAGTACATCTCTCTGGGACGCGTCGATCCAGGATCGATTCGGCGGACCCGTGGACCGCGGCGGAGGGCCCGACGATCTCCGGATCTCGCAGTCCGACACCCTCCTCGTCGTACTGCTCGGGACATCGCGGAAGCAGCAGATGCGCAGAACACACACGACGTTCATGATCTTCAAGATGGCTTCAGCCGAGCAGCTCCAGATCTTGCGCGCGCTTCAAGACCGGTTCGCGCTCCCGACCATCGTCTCGCTATCTGTGGTCACATCCCCCGCGGGCGCCGTCGGCGTCGACGAATGGGCAGAGGTCCTCGCGCACTGCCCGCAGATTATGTCCCTGTCGCTCGTAAATACCTTGTCGGCGAGGATGATCTTCGACGCGTTGAACTCGTGCGCATCTGGCACGGACCCAGCGAGCACGCTGCTGTGCAATCTGAAGCAGATCGTGGTGAATGACACATCAGACGTCCGCGAAGATTGGTTCGATGCTTGCCGAACGTTCATCGCGAACCGTTGCGCCGCCATCGAAGCGATGGCCAGGCCCAGGGGGCTCGACTCACTCTACTTGCAGGAATGCAAAAGCATCATGGAAGACGAGCTTAAATCGTTGGAAATGCTGGTACCTGTGAAGTTGGTCGGCGGATTCGAGTTCTGGTGACTATATACTTCAGAGAGAACTGGGGGACGATTACGCCGGTCCAGTTCGCAGCATTGCGGATCAGTTCCAGTAGCGACTTGTGTATAAGGTGGTTTTCAATCTTTACAAGTTCATGCGTACATTAGTGGTACATTGTCTGGATGCGTGTGGAATATCCTCGGCTTCAGCATCACAAGCGTACAGGAATATCCAACAAGGAATCGTACAGCGCTTTCGGGTAAGCAGGATGCAACGTCATCGTGGCCGTACAATGCAGGAGGAAAGGGAAGCAAGACCGTCAGATTACATGTGAAAACTCTGAACTGACGAACAGTGCGAATCCACTATCCTGGCCTTCACATGAAGTAAAACTGTACCGATTGCTTCGACTTCGGCCCGTGAAATCCGTCTTTCCAGCGCTTGAGGTCGAATTCGCCCTCGCCGCTGGCGACGGTGTCCGTCTCGTAATTGAGGTTACGATCGAAATGGAATTCGGCTCTGCCGCATACGAGCTATGAATGAGTCAGCCAATCACAGCATAAAAGGGGTTTGGTCATTGGAAAATTTACGAACGTCGGCGTCTGGCGATATAAAGTCAGCACATTCCGACGGTACAAAGGTGAGGATGAGGCTCACAGTACACGGGAGCGGGCAAGGATACGGAGCGCGTCGCGCGCGCGTAGACATAACAAAGCGCGTACGTCAGACGCTGCAGCCTATCGTGGAGTCAGCCATATGTGACCACATGTATTCTTTGTTACTTGCTGGTCGGCATTCATTCTGTCTTCATTGAGGCGCAGAGTATAGTGAGCGGGCCGAGAAGCTTGTCGTAGTAGAATGCTTGTCATGAGTGACAACGAGAGCAGGAGCGTCATCAGACTTACTGCCGAGGAGCCCTCCGTGTGACTGTAGGTAAAAGTCGAAACCGGTCGGACTGCTGAGATCTTCGTCAACGACCTGTATACGGGTTCAATCGGTCGTTCATGTTTGCGCATTTCAGCAGAGCTCACCAAGCCTGGTTTGACGTTGCCGCTCCTGTCTCCGTCTTGTGGTCTTTCGGGGAAAAATCTCAACGAAGGCGTCATTCAGGTGCGAAACGTGCGAGTTTTCTAGCAGACATACCTAGCGTGATGCCTGCATCACCTCCATAGTGAGCTTCGTTGGTGTATCGGGGCTGTCCTGGTTCTCACCGTTTCCCCACGACTATGTACGTCACCCGCGGTTTGGGCATCTGCAGCTGCTGAGCCGCCCAGACATGATCGATGGCAGCTAATGTGAAATGTCAGTTTGTATGCTTCCAGAAGTTGTATGAAAAAACATTTGATGTCCTTGATCTCTTCGTCGGCAACCACCTCAAACTCTCTGGACGCTGTGATCAGGAAAACCATCACCGAATAGGAACAGTAGTTACCCTTCCGATAGACCATCGCGGTACATGACCATGGAAACGGGATAACTGTTGGGCTTGCCCCAAAATCTGTTGAAGTTGACGAGAGCATGCTTCAGGATACTCGTCAGCGTGCGTCGTAACCAGGCCATGAACTAGATGCTCACGACGATCATCTCTTTCATGTCAGCAATGCGTTCTGTACGGGGATGCTGGACTCTGCAGCAGGCGCCATACCTGGATGCATGCTCATCGACCTTCTCAACAACATGATAAGATCAAACAGAATAATGTCACGACGATGACCTGCGCACAGAGAAGACCACACTTGACAAAGACGGGCGTTGTACTCCAGGGCCAGGGTGTCCTACGTCCGCACCTGCATCCCGCGAATTCGAAATAGTTGATAAAGGCAGTGTAGCAGCATGATGTAGACGAACCAAGAATCATCTTGCCACCGAAGTCCACTGCATAATTGGGTGAAGGAACCAAGTACGTGTTGACACCGTTGATCTTGACGTTAATCCTATGGTTGCTGATTTGAACGCGTTCTTAATGACCAGTGAGAACAGTGTATCCACGTACTTCAATGCGATATTGTTACAGTACTGGCTGAGTGAATTATCGCGGGCCACGTTGGATGAAAGTTTCTTCGCATTGACACATTGTGTTGGCACATCCTAGATAGTGAGTTGTAACAATGCAATCAACATTCTACCAAAATGGCGTACTCGTCTAAACATGATGCGATGAGTCGCGGGCACACGGACTCGATATCTTGGGGCTCACCTCGCGTCACCCTATCAAACCTGCATCAGCTGATGGTGAGCAAAACACGTGAACGTGGCCCACCCAGTGCTTCACTGCTCTCCGAATGTCAGCTGAAGAATCAGGCAAGATCACAATGATGATCGTCGGGTGCGGGTTTTTGCCGGGAAAGTCTTGAATAGATTGTCTGCCTGCTTCTTCCATGGACTGCGGCAAGAGGTGAGATGAATCCGGACAAGCTAGAGAGGACGGCCAAACCTGCTCCACGTTGCCGGTATTACCGTTCAAAATCGGCGGGGGTACTTTGTGAATACCTGTACAAACAGTCATGGATTTACAAATACCCCCAATCTGTCGTCCACGCACGAATCCCTAGAAAATGTACTCGGTATTATCTCGGTCTTTGATATGGTTTGACCAACCTAGAGCTCTTAAGCATTCCACGAGAGCTTTCAGAAACTTGATTAACTCGGCCATATTTGATCGACCTGAGTTGAAATCGACGACGGCCCATGCTGGGATTAGTCCCGGATTGACTAGTTTCCGGTTGAGCAGGTTCCAGCCTATTTGTTCCCATCAGCACAGTCTCACACCAGACAGCGATTACAACTCACGTCCACCGTCGGGGCGCTGCATTCGGAGTCAGTTCTCGCACAGTTGGATGAGAACATGAAATGCTTACACATGCCGAGTTCTCTGTGCAAGGAAGGTCTGTTCAGCTGCAAAGTGCCGATTACAGGAGGATGATAACACAATTTCACCGCCATAAATCAGAAGGGGGGGTTCAAGGACGCGACCTGGGTCACAATTGAGGCATTGTACCAGAAAATGTGCAGTGTTACCCACCGCGGATCTTCAATGGCTGAGGGTCTACCTCCATCTGAGTCATCCGCATGTAAGCACCTTGATAACCGAGGAACTACATTGTCCGCGGTTGTTAGTGAACTGATAAGATGTAGCAAAAGCTGGTTGTACATCTGACTTGACTGCATTGACGATGTTGTCCAATCGGGTCTCTGGCCTCTGGGTGGCAAACGCTAGGACGTCCTTCATGAGCTCTGCCGGAAGCTTCTTCTGATACAATTGGCCTGGCACTGTGGAGGGTATATTAGAGCAAGAAAAAAGGATTCATTCTACCGGACAAACCGATCTCTACGTATTCGGCCGGTATAACAGTATCCCTCCCGACCACGACGCCAAACAGTCCGGGGTATTTCAGATTCTCGCCCCGTAACGTGCGGTGGTAGTCCTACCACAGGCAGGTGAGATACACGCTCGACCGCAAATACTCACTGAGGTGCCCTTACGTTCACGGTAGTAGGGTCGTTGTCGCCTATGGTGAACTCGTAGGCGCCTTGCCATGGGATCAACAGGTGATCTCCTCTTACGATCAGAATTGACTCACCCGCGTTGGGGATGAGCTTCTTGATCGGCCTGATCTTGGCTTTGACGTGCTCGTTTCGGTTCATGTGGGATCGTATCTTGACTCCCTTGAGAAAACTGCAGAGCTTCTTCCATGCCGGATCGTTCGGGTTCCTGGCCAAATTCTCCAGAGCACGCAGATCGCGCGCTAACGTGACCTCTTGGGCGATATCGATGACGCTACCGCTCCTATGCCTGACATCATGCATGAGCCTAAAATGAGACTGGACTAAAGGGAAACACCTATACATTGCGCTATGCGAGACGTCTACCTGGACAATGATTTTGTTCAGGGATGGTCGAACAGATCTACGCGCGCTGAGTGAGATTTCTCTACACTGTTTACGGGCAGAGCAAAGGCCTACTGGAAGTAGCCGCGATGAATGGTCAGACCCTGCTTGAGGGAGGCCCATTCCTTGCCCGGAAACACAGCTTTTCTCGTGAACGGATAATTCCTAAGTCAGTCGGTCATGAGGAAATCGTCACAACGGCAATTGGAATAAAGTACTGCGTGGCGTCCTGACGCAGTATGAGCTAGCCATGACGCCGTCAGTGGGGTACGTTTGAGCAGAATGAATGACGTTACCTGCAACATCCTCATGATGTCCGACGTGTCGCCGTCGTGCTGCCCGCCAGTCAGGATCCTCTGGATGTTGCTACATAGAGGTCAAATGTATGCTTCTTCGTCATCGTAACCGAGCGAACCTTGGAGTCAACGTGCTGACAAGTTTCATCTTCACCTTGAAGATGTTCCTATCCAAGCGCGGTTCTCTCGTATTCATGTCGACCGTGAACTATCGCGAAACCGCGATGAATACATCGGATACCGGAGGCCAGTCGCGTAAGACCCACCTCGCCAGCCCCATTGGGGAACGGGATCTGTGTGATGATGTAGCTGGTCAGGAAAGATGTGCAATCGAGACAACGAGCGATACACACTTGACTAGGAGCAAACAGGGTGCGCTTGCCATCGAATACGGCGGTGCCTCGGAAACTCTGGGGGCTTGTCCTTGTCTGGAGATGTGTGATGATCTCCGTGTTCCTCCGCGGGGGAAGCTCAGTATCGCCGGGCGCCTGAGCCCTCTGAGGAGCGGCGCCTCGCCGGGGAAGTGCGGGAGCAAGGGGGGTAATCGCTGATAGCAGATTGACGACTACAGCGCGGAATAAGGTGAGAGAAGCAAGCACATACAAGCTATAGATGAACATTAGGAAGGTGGTACTTTCATGCAATGATGATCCGGCACGTACTCTCATATTGGTAAAAAACCATTTGCGGCATGCGCTTGATGACCTGGTAAGCGGCGCACGTCCGAATGAGTACTGCAGGGTTGACGACCTCTCGGGTGCTGAAGAACTCACAAAGCTATTCGTCCTAACTATCATCACCGTTCCTTGGGTGCCACCCTGCATACGACCTGGAGCGGCCATGTTTACTGCAGCAGATCGAGGAATGGAGTCTGCTAGCAGATGGCGATTATGTGTGAAGAAGGGGGTGCCTGAGGATTTGCGAAGGCCGATTATCTCGAATACTTATCATCGACGCGATGAACCATGGACCGTGCGAGACCGTTCACGATCCCGTGAGTCGTGACCGCGACGCATGCGATTAGACTCAGACACTGCCAGGGTTCCGCATTACGAATGAAGTCTGGATTACTTTTTCTACAAAAATCCGTATTTTGTATAGAATGGCTGGTTCAGATGTGGCTGAGACATAAAATACAAACATACTCTCAACGGAATAATATATCTTTATAAAGCAGGTTACCTGCCATATAAGTATATATTACTTGTGCAAACTATCTTTGTATTGAATGTAACAATCACATTTGAACCAGCCATTTGATATGAAATACAGATTTCCGTAGAAAAAGTAATCCAAACTTATTTCGTAATGCGGAACCCTGGCAGTGAGAGTTCAGTCTCGCTTAGCGAACAACCTGTCTCCCTTTGTGAACAACCTGTCTCCCTTTGTGCACACGCGCACCATTAGTCGGGTGAAATATTGCGGAGCAGCTTGAAGAAGCCCGCGCACGATATGCTGATGTGCGTCAATTACGACACTCAGGCCCCGCTTCGCAATGCAAGGCGTCCGAAAACGATGATGTCTCTCATCGTGGCCGATACCCTGAACAGAGAGAGGAAACTGGCTCTAGCATACGGCAGCTTAGTTGACGATGGGGAGAGGAGATGTTCTGAATCTGCACGTTGTCGAACGTTGTACAGTCGAACACCTCATAATGCATAGCCACATAATGCATAATTCTCATAATGCATAGGGTTTGGGCTCGAACCACCGTGGTTTGCGGGGAGCTAGGGAGATACTGCATAAACGCATAATGCATAGCCGTCAGGCCAAATTTATGCAATTCAAGAGAGCAGATGTGGGAATAATTAACCATATATGGAGGATAACTATGCATAATTCCCACGAAAGGACCCAAAATGATGTATGACTAAGCAGATTTCTCACGTATATCCGCCAAATTCAGAGCGGCCGTCTCAAGCGACCCTATGATGATGCTTGTTGATGCCAGATGACAGCTCAAAAAATAATTCACAAGAAAATGCCAATATATTATGATGCATAAATCTCATAATGCATAGGGTCCGGGGACGAAACCGTGTTATGCATTATGAGGTGTTCGACTGTAGCGCGACACGTCCAACGACGTCAGGGAAACAAGATTCCAATTACGTACGCTAGACATTGCCACAGTGAACGAAGGGCCTAGCTTTGTATCGGTGTGCGCGTTTCGCATCACACGCGTCAACAAGCACAAGTGGGAGTATTGCATGCCTTACTGTAGGAACTATAGGAAAGAGATCGCTCTGAGCCCGACCTGGAGCACGAGCGCAGGCCGCAGGCCTTCACACCTTCTGGTTCGCGGGTTCTCGCCTCGAGGCACATTTGAAACCTATATATCCACGGTTCCAAAGGGCTGTGCTCTATACTGTACACGTCGGATACAGTAATTTGTTTGATCACTATAGTACAGATGTGCAAAGGCCAATCGTGAACGAGCTTCACGCGCCGGCAGATGCCGACGCTGAATTTTCGCCACAACCGAGCAACCGACGCGCCCTGAGTCGCTGAGGCCCGAGACGATGTCCGAAACAAGGAGCATGCGGCGCTATCACAGCTTGTTATACTACTACACTGGGCGTCGTCCCACTCGGCGGTCCCGGTAATATCACTGACCAAGAATCGACGTAGAGCGGTACCATGCTCCGTCGTAGCTTCACAGAATGGCTCGTAGGCTTACGTCCGGTGCCCCTCCCGCGGGCGGTGCGCTCGATCTCGCAAACCACCGCTCGGGGAGACGCGAACGCGCCAGAGACGCACCATGCACCCGCGAAGGAGACGCTGCGCGAGCAGCATGAGATCGCCGCCATGGACCGCCTCCTTCGACAAGGCCGTGAGCGCTTCTTCTACTTCGCTCAGCTCTCCGATGCTAGCTGACATGATTGCTCGTCAGGCGCACGCTCAGATCCAGCTCATTCAGGGTGCGCCTTACTGCTATACTTGCAGCCGTGCATATAAGCTCATTTTGTACATTATCCAGTTCAATGCCCATGCGATCCCCCATCCTCTGGTCCGAAGCCCTCCTCTCGCCTCCTCTCCCACCCCCGTCGTCCTCCTTCTCTCCGAATTCCATCTCCTCGCCATCCTCCGCGCCCTCCCAAGATGCAACACCAGACTTGACCCCGCGCCCGATGCACGCCTCGTATACTGACCTTATCCTCCCCTTCGCATCGGAACCCGACCTCCTGGATCGTTACACCAACGCCTCCGGCGGCATCCGCACCGGCAAGCTGCTCGAGCACCTCGACTCGCTCGCGGGCTCCATCTCCTACAAACATGTGCTAGGACCCGGTGTTACTTATGATGTGCGCCGGAGCGGGTTCTACATCGTGACTGCCGCTGTCGATAGGTACGTTCTCCCATTCCGACAGTGGAAATACGGTTGTCTTGACGTAGGCGTGGACAGATTGGACATGCTCGCGCCCCTCAACCCGGTCCGCGACCTCCGCCTGAGCGGGCAGGTCATCTACACCGGCAAGTCGTCCATGGAGGTGGCCGTCAAGATGGAGGCGCTGCCCATGCACGGGCAAGAAGGCGGAGAGGAGAAGACGCTCATGGTCGGCCGGTTCTCCATGGTCTGTCGTGATGCTCGCACACACAAGGCGCGCGCCATCCCTGGTCTTAAGCTGGAAACTCCCGAGGATGAGGCATTGCACGCGATCGGCGAAGGTACCGTCTTTCCCCTCATGAACCCGATAATTGTTTGATGTGTGTCTGCAGCACACAAGAGCCGCCGTCAGAGCCTGGCCCAACGATCGCTCGAGCGCGTTCCGCCCACGTCAGAAGAGGCCGCGGATCTGCACGCGTTCTACCTCAAATACGGGAACGGGGACTTCCATCCGGGCAACGGGGAGGAGAGGGTGTGGATGGGAGATACTACAATTGAGAAGGTATGCCAGGTTGAGATCTAGTTGAATTGCATCTGACTTGCGTTAAATTTGTTTTAGTGCTTGTTGATGTTCCCGCAGGAGCGCAAGTGAGTGCTCCTTCAGATCCTCAAGAATATAGTATATTCTGACGCCTGACGCTGTCGTCCAGCATCCACCAAAAGATCTTCGGAGGCATGGCCCCCTCTCTTTTTTCTTCCCTCAACCGACTCATCGTTCGATGCTTAGGTTATCTCATGCGCCTCGCGTACGAGCTTGGATTCGCCAACGCCCGGCTCTTCACTCGCGCCCCCGTCCGTTTCCTCTCGCTGGACAAGATCGCCTTCGCCGCTCCCGTGCCGATCGGGTCCATCCTCCGCCTCCGCTCCCGCGTGCTCTACTCCGAGAGCAGCGAGCGCTGGCCCGCTCTCGTCGTGCGTGCCCCTCCCGTCACCCTTCGTCTCTTACTAACTGACCCATCTCTTATCCCCGCATAGCACATCGGCGTTCAAGCCAACGTCGTAGAACCCGAGACTGGGTCGGAGACGACCACGAACGACTTTAGGTTCACATGGTGCCGTGACGCCGGCCCGCCGCTCACGCGCAAGGTCGTCCCTCAAACGTACAAAGGTGCGTGGTCGCGAAGATGTCGCATCGTCGTCAGCCTCTGATGTCAGCGGGGACAGACGCGATGCTCTGGTTAGAGGCGAAGCGCAATCTGGAGATCGGCGATGAGCTGAGGGGGCTCAGGACGGACTAAACGCGGCCGCACTGCGATCATAAGACGGGCTTTGATATCGGATACTGCATCCAGACGGTATAGCGCTTTCCGAAGGAACAGATGACACGGAGAAATGGATTCTCCGGGCTTGACTCACCAACATCGAACATAGACGATCGGCATTCCTAGACAAAAACTACTCATGATAGACATATTCCGTAGATTGGATAGGGAGTACCAGATAGCGTGGTTTTTGTAGCGTGCGCGCTGAATAATCTTCATGACAGAAACAAAGAAACAAGTCCTCAACACAATATTACCCACGAGTCCACAGTGAACGGTGGTCATGGCCAACCTGTCCGACATCGTCGTCGTGGATGCAGACATTTCGCTTCCGGGTTCATGCGCGTATACCGTATCGATTTCTTCGGCCACTGATCTAGACCGACAGTCCTTCGGCGCCGCCGGTTTTAGGTGTTTTCTTACCTTTTCCGGAGCTCTTCCTGCTTATGCATGGTTTCCCGCGTTCGATAACGTCCTGGACGCCCACTTCCAGCTTGAGGCGCTGAGCGGCTAACTTGGTGAATCTTATGTTGCTGGGTTCCGCAGACGACATATCTGAGGAGACAGGATACTAGTATATTTTTTCTGCTGAGCTAGCGACTCGCAGTTACAAGCGTTGATGTTGAGTGGTGAACTCGGAGAGATGTAAGAATAATCTTCTGCCCAGTTCACACAATAAGCCCGAGTCGGAACTAATTATATTTGGCTTGCAGTGCGACCGACAGGCGAGATCAACTGGTCTTCCCTATTGCCCTTACTCTCGTCTTCTAAGCTTCCTAACTCAATGCGCGATGCCTCCTGTCCTTGCTAAGCTGACCGCGGCTCGGCCGGATGTAGATCAGATTGTTCGCGGACCGCGCGGGCCTAGCGCGGTCTACAGACTGTACTATGCCTGAGGTCTGTACCTCCTGTCACATACAGTATATAACCCTAATGCAACGTGTGTTGCATTAGGGGTGGGTGCATAGTAACGGTAGGTAGGTAGGTAGGTAGATTGCCGACGAGGTCCCGGTAGCGGAACAGCCGGTACGCTCCTCGTGCAGTCGACAGCGTGCCAAGCAGTTCGACGGCTTTCGTGAGCTGATGAACCCGACCGCACCGTCTCACCACCGGCCAAAAAAAAGTCCTAGGTACATGTGTACATACAGTGCTAAGTAATGTATGCTAGGCAAGCCGTCTTCGAAGTCCGGCTCCTTGTCAGTGCGTTAAAAACCCCGACCACCCCGCAAAACCGGAATGCAGAACGAGTGGGCGCCTACAGTGTACGTAAGACATGCACTTCGTGTATCAACCCTTAACCCTTATGAATGCATATGCCAAAAGAATGTCGTCTGTCGTATACCTACACTCTGCGCCACGACCATGGACTATCTCCAGCATTCCTCATACAAGGATACGCACGGCGTTTGGATTGTTCACCTCCATGTCAACGGACGAATGTATTGGCGACTCACCCCGACTGCTGCAAAATTTCGACATCACAGCATTCGTGTCGTATCCAGCATTGAACCCCATGCTCTGGTGCGAAAGAAAGCATGGAGAACGATATTCTCTGCACTGTCCGGCGCCGGGTTTCCCAAGGATGTTCCTGGTCAACTTGAACTTGGCAGGGTTGATCGTCTAGAGTTGCACACGGACGATGGAAAGGATGTGTTTACCGTGGACCATGCCGTGCAACGCGCAACAGAGGCTAATTGTGCTGAAGATGCATTATACCCAAAGGCACTGCTGCAAACTGATGTTGAAACCAGTATGTGCTGTGATGTGACTCGTCTCCAGCACTCTGTTTACGAGAAGATACCTCCAGTATACAATCAACAGCACCGTTACTGGGTGCAGATGCAGACATTTCCATCCCACACAAAACTCCCTCGCATCTCTGTTCACTCAGCTATGAATGCACTGTTATGGAGCCGTGCTGACCGCCTGCTGTTCCCTACTTCCAATGCACCGTATACCAAGGAGTCTTGCTCTGAAATGATCACATCACTGCAAGACATCTCTGAGGGTGTGTGAGGGCCCACAATATCTCTTAGGACAAATGTATAATCTGACTTGTATGGACTCTAGAGGCTGCCAAGAATGAACAAGGAATTTCTCTCGAGACTTGGTACGTGTCTGCGATATTGCGGTACATCAGTAAGATACATGCACTCCTTAAAGTCAGGACCAAGTCTCATAAACATAACATGTTCAGCCCTTCATCGAAAACGCTATCATTTTGGAAGAACAGACGCACAATTATACCGCAATCGCGCCCGGTTGGAGGAGTCCCCAGAATTTGATCCGAAAATCTTGAGCATTGCTGGGTCATTGATCTGGACTTTTCTATCGTTTGCATTGCTCACCTCGCCATACGGATATTTGCGTCGAATCACGGCTGTGGACCGCACGAAAATTGGGGACGGCGTTAGCACAATCAGATGGCACCGGTTCATCTCAAGTTTATGTCATGAATGGAATGCTAGCAATCTTCTGGTGAGCTGTCAGCACTGAATCTGTTGATTGATAATCAAATGCTCTTATCGCAGTCAACGGTACTGATTTCGTAGGTGCATGGTGAATCTTTGCCGGCAGCTGCTCATCATTTTCAAGGGCTACTGTCAGTCTTCTTGCTGCACCTGGTATGGATGGAGTGGCTGTCATCTTGGCAGTGCTCTCTGTTATATGTGCTATATTCTCTATATGCTTTGGCCTATACCTACTGTGGATGCATCAAACTTTAGAGGAAACAGACGGTGGTCAGGCAGTCAGTGCAAACATCATAGTGGTAATGTGTATCATTAACCAGATCCATTATTGCAGCTCCACTACTTTACCAGAGCAACAGCACTCACTGGATCCCCTCATCTCCTCGCTCTGGGTCTCTCCTTACCATTGGCTTCAACAATTTATGGGATGTTGTTGTTTTTAGCTTCCATTGTTGCATATGCGGTGGACTCCCGTTTCCCAAGTGTGCAGCAGATCATCATCACTGTGATGCGTTATGCATCTGTTGCTAGCTTGGGGTTGTTGCTTGCTCTTGCATGCATCTTACTATCACTTTTTGACCGGACAGTACAACAAATTGTGGAGCACTTTCATCCTCCCATACCAATTGTTGAAGCACCACAGCAGGAAGAGGGTAGCCTCGAGGTTGGCCCGAGTGGTCTGAGTCTAGTGAGTGATTTTCATGTCTGTCTGCGCATTGTTTATTGAGATTTTTTGTCAGCCAAATCCCGATCACAATATGAGCATAATGCGGATTCCACCTTCCACCCACTCAGTACCATCTGTACCTGATAGCGGAGTACACATGGTTGCACAAGGCCCTAATGCTCACGTACACCTGGTTGCACCAGGACCTAATGCCGATGTGCCTCCGGTTCAACCAGGACCTAAGGGCAAAATACGCCTGGTTTCACGAGGCCCAAATGTGCATGTACACCCAGTCACACCAGGACCCAATGCCCACATACGCACGGTTACACCAGGACTGAACACTGAGGTACACCCAGTCACAGGATCTCTTGGCAACATAGGCCCAGATGCACCAGGACCCAATGTCGGTGTACGCACAGTTCAACCAGGACTTATTGGTGGCAAACTATTGGTCTCATCTTCGCACACAAGATCTCAAACGCCTCCAATGGAGCCTACGAGGGGGCTGTCTTCTATGCCGGCTGGCGAGTTGTGGGGAAATGTTCATGAGCGAACATGAACTGTCTTCATGAACTAGTTCGTGAACTCTGTGGTTCATGTAGTGTCATTACCCCTGTGAACCTGCGTCAACCTTGTCGTGTGTTGAATGGCAGGCAACATGTCAGGCGCTGAGTGTGCTTGACCGGTGTGCAATGCGAGGGGTAAGATTGCTGGGCAAGCGTGTGAGGCTACATTGGATGCGATGTGAGTAGATATACATGTACAGCAATCAGATTAGAAGCAAGCACTGAACACGCACTGACTTCTCATACTCCAACATTGTGTACCACAGTTCATATCATGCAGGTTCATGAATCAAGAGTTCATATACACGTATGTTGTTGGATTGCTGCCATGGGTTGCCTTCTTTGGACTTCACCTTCGCTCTTGCCTGCAGTCTCTGGCAGCCGGCCAGAGCTTAGCACTTGCCGGTGCATCTCATGCTCTTAAGCTGTCGCTTCCGAAGAGAGCAGTCAAACTCCTCGAACAAAGCCAAGCAATCTTCTGGACCCATTCCCTGCAATTGTGCTCCCCTTTTGATGACATCCCGGAGGAATTGTGAGGTCGCTTATCAACTCTCGCCCGACAGTTGGAGACGACAAGTGACATGATGCAGATATCTCATGAACCGCGCTCCATAGAAGCCCAAGCCGCCCAGAGGAGGCAGCAAAGTGAGGAGTTCAACAAGCTCGTAGAGCACATTTGGACCTTCCCAAATTTAGGACGCTTCTTGCTTCCAGACAAGTTTTCAGTACTCACCAAGGCGGCAGAAAAAGGGCCGGTAGTCATGCTGGTCTCCAGCAGCTTGGCATGTGACAATATTGTCCTGAGACCATCGGGCGGAGCAATGTGCATGCCCCTGAAGCACGTTGAAGATCGTTGGTTTCTTGAGTCATGCAGCCTCTGGCGTTCTGCTACTTTGGAAGCTGGAGCTGAAGCCGGCGGATGCTTGAAGGTGTCAAAGGCTGGCACTCCTTTGCAAACTCTGCGGACAAGCGCACACGATATTCTTCGCCGGTTATGGACCAGCATAGTATGACCCATTCTCGACGCGCTGGAAATCAGGGTATGTGTTCCTTTCAGCTTCATGCAGCAGCAGAACTGAGATATACACCCTCATAAGCCATCAGAAGGGCGAGACAGACCTCGGTTATGGTGGTGTCCGACAGGAAACCTTGTACATCTTCCGATCCATGCTGCTGGGGCCAATGGTCAGTGGTGTTCGGACTATGTTGTATCGTCCTATACACCTACCATTGGGGCACTACTTGCGGCTAGGACAGCATACAAGACCCTGAGGAAGACAGACGTCCGGGCTTTAGTCGCCTCTGTTCCTCGTTCATATGTTGGGCAATGGTGCGACTTGATGTCCACACACCAGGAAGCCCGTCTTGTAGAGGATGCTTTGCCCCACGGATCGGTGATGACGCTTCCGACGCCTGAAGGCCCTGACGACGGTATCACGGCGGAAACACTCTTAAATCATCTACCTGAAGCCACCATTGTGCACCTCGCTTGCCATGGGCATCAAGATCCGGAAGACCCAAGAGCGGATTTCTGATGCGTGACGAGATGTTGACCATCGAGAGGTTAATGCCCGTACCCCTCCCGCATGCGTTTTTAGCGTTCTTGAGCACCTGCGAGACCGCCAAAGGCGACATAGTGAGTCCAAACTTAACGCAACCAATGACTTCCAATTCATTCTCCACGTTGCAGAATCAACCCGACCAAACTGTCCATCTTGCTGCTACGATGCTATTCGCTGGCTTCAAGAGTGTTATCGCCACTCTTTAGTCAGTGGAAGGCCGATACTAGTGGATCGTTCATACTGCGTAATCTCGTGCTGGGACTCACTCTGACTGTTTACAGGTCTATGCAAGATATAGACGGCCCGACGATTGCCCAAGCGCTTTACACCGATATCTTCGGCGGCGACTCGGACTTCATCGACGCCGATGACGTTGCGTATGCGCTTGATGCAGCCGTGCAACAACTGCGCCGCATACACCCCGATCCTAGTCGATGGGCGCCCTACGTTCATATGGGCGTTTGATGAGCAAGTCAGTCATCGACGTGCCCTTTCTGCTTACGGTTCTGGAGGTGATCACATCGCGGTTCAAAAAGGAAGGATGGCCCAAGCAGATCAGCAAGTACATATGGGAAGGTGGATGTTATAGGGCCTGCCCGCTATGACGCTCATCTAGGACCACCGGTGCTCCTGGTCCCGGTCAGTCTTGAGCGACATTGATGGAACGAGCCTGTCCGAGAAAGCGCGTCGCACGGCAAACGACGAGAAGGACCTCAGCCTCAGGGTATTGCAACGAGACGAGCATGGCAATTGTATAAACTTGATGCGATTCGCTTCAGAGGGGCTGCCGAGAGCCAATAAGTTTGATCTCTCTCAGCCACCATCACGCCGACGGTGAATTCGCACGTGTGCGCCCAAAGCGCGGACGGAGCGATATTCCGGGTTTGAACTTGAAGCTTGAAGCTAAGCTTGAAGTTCCACCCCCGCCTTCGTCCATGCAGAGCCCTGACCGTCAGCTTCAACCCAATCAATATGCTGGCACATCTAAGCGTTCGACTATCGGCTCGGGCTCGTCACCTGAATCCCAATCCTTGTCGCTCGCCTTCAATAAGTTCACCTTATACGAGAACCGCGTACGCTTCTACATAGTGGCCTCGAACGTTTCGGATTCACGTCACCGTATCGTCAAAATCGATCGTACAACCCAAGAGGAGCTCACTGTCGTCGAAGATGAATCTGTGTACACAGGGAAGCAGATGAGTGGCGTATTAAAGATGCTGGACGACGGAAACAAGCATTCCGGAGGACTGGGTAAAGCGCGAGTGATCTTCGGGGTTGCTGGTATGTCGTGTCCAAGCATTCGAGGACACTCTTGATAGCCCCAGGTTTTGTTAGGTTCACCGCCGGGTGGTACATGGTTATAATCACGAAGCGGTCGCAGGTCACTTTATTAGGCGGCCACTACGTTTATCACTGTGAACAAACGGAGATGCTACCCGTACCTTTCAATCACAAAATCGAAAAGGCAGCGGAGGAGCAGAAGTTGATCAACACATTTAAGCAAGTCGACATGTCCAAGAACTTCTTCTTCAGGTACTATCGTTTCTTCCCTGTTTATTGCGCAGCTCACCGGAATATATCTCAGTTATACCTACGACCTAACACGCACGCTACAACAAAACATGACATATCCGAATCCCAACTCTGACGGCAAAGCGAGCTTCAATGATCGCTGGACCTGGAACTATCATCTGCTAACGGCGGCATTCAACCCAGACGTGGCCGGCGGCGTCAGGCAATCCCCTTGGATGATACCCCTCATGCATGGGCATGTCGATCAGGCAAGTGAGTGGCTCGTAGTTCCCGTGCAGTGCACGAGACCGAACATCCTTCAGAATTGACCATACTGGGTCGGGTCGTATACGTGACCCTCATCGCGCGCAGGTCACGGCATTTTGCAGGCGCTCGCTACCTGAAACGCGGGGTGAACGACGAGGTATGACGAATGGCTCGTCCTCAGACAAGGCATACCCGACGCTCACGAACATGTTGTAGGGCAACGTTGCCAACGAGGTGGAAACGGAACAGATCGTGTCTGAAGCCCTCACGACCGCCTTCTACCACCCCGGACATCCCGAGAAGACAGAATCACTCGCCGCACGAAGACGACCGTCGCCTTTCTACACGAGTTACGTCCAGTATCGCGGGAGCATACCTATCTATTGGACTCAGGAGGTGAACGCGATGAGCCCTCGGCCGCCTATCGAAAGTATGTCGAATTCATTGTCATTCCATTCATCTCGTGCGATCTTAACATACTGTAGTCAGCGTTGTCGATCCCTTCTTCACCCCGGCTGCTCGGCACTTCGACGATCTTTTCAGACGCTACGGAACTCCTATTACAGTCCTCAACCTTATCAAGGAACGCGAACCCCAACCCCGCGAGTCCAAACTACTGGACGAATATACACAGTGCATCAAATACTTGAATCAGTTTCTTCCACCAGAGAAGAAACTGCGGTATCGCGCTTGGGACATGTCAAGAGCGTACAAGGAAAAGGTATCGCGCTCCAGTTGCATCCGTTTCTTTTTGCGGATCTAATGATCGCCCCCCGAAGACGAAAGACGTGATCAGCTACCTCGAGGACTTCGCCGAGGAATCGATCCAGTCGACGGGATTCTTCCATTCTGGTCCGGAACCATTTGCCCATAGCCTCCGCAGCAATCCTGAGTGAGTTCACTTCAGAAGTCATGATGAATCTGACATCATGATGTTCAGATCGTCTTCCGAAAATACTTGGCGCGACCACATCTCCCTGCAGAACGGTATCTGCCGCACAAACTGCGTTGATTGCCTGGATAGAACCAATGCCGCGCAGTTTGTCTTCGGCAAGCGCGCGTTCGGACACCAGCTGTATGCATTGGGCGTCGTAGATAGCCCCAATCTGGCGTTCGACTCAGACGCAGTTAACATGCTCACCGAGATGTATCACGATCACGGAGACAGTGAGTGCTGCCATGGATTGGACAACACCCCGTTGACATCCGGCGTAGCAATCGCCCTCCAGTACACAGGCAGTGCCCTCGTGAATCGGGTCGAGACGTATCGCCGAATGCCGCATTGGAACAGCCACTCGAGGGATCTTATCGAGAATTTCCGAAGATTCTACACTAACTCCCTCCTTGGTATGCTACCCAGTACCCCAAGTTCCCAGTTTCTACTGCTGATTGCGCTGTAGATGCCGATAAACAGAATGCCATCAATCTGTTCCTGGGAGTTCAAAGCGAGCGGCCAACGTCAAGCCCGCCGAAACGTGGCGGGTATCGAAATTGGTTCAACCCCGCGCACCTCGAGATCGCGTATCCTCAGGATAAATGCGAAGAAGGTCTACAGGAGTTCGCACGTACGAAGGCAGACTTTTGGATTGAATATTATCGGCCGCTGCTGTTCACGTCCTTGGGGAAGCACTTTGCATACTCCATGAATAGTACCCTCAAGCTGCCTGGGTATGATGTTCACTCCTCGACGCAAGCTTCGTTAAGCTCATTCACATCCAGTAAGACAGTGAAGGATATCTACCGGAGTCCGTTCCTGCCGCATCATATTCCAACCCATCCACCGAGGTACTAAACCAGCAATCGTACGTTACACTCAGCTGACTGTTGTGCAGGCTCATGCAGGGCGTTCGACGTTGGATGGGCTCACAGAACAATTCTCATGCACTGAAAGGTTCGAGCAAGGCAATCGTAGAGACCGACACCAGTCGCTCTCGTCCGGAGGCAATTACCGATCCACGCTCGACCGAAGACCTTGCAGTTGCGTTACTCAATCCCACGGTTCCCGATGACGAAGAGGCGGAATACGAAGTGTACGCGTCCTAATCAATCCATAGAGAGCTCGTGTTGATCGCTGCTCGCGTAGGTACATTGGCCAGTATGCCAAGATGTTGGACGGGCCCGACACTCTACCTGAAAGAAAAGATATGCTCATCTATCAGAAAGCCCTTCGCGCTGGTATCGGTGAGATCCCGGACGCTGATCTCGATAAGCTAGACCCGAAGGTGGGGTCTTTCGTCGCCGTGAAGGACACACGAGGAGAGAGCGTGAGACCCACGTTCCCGTACGACAAGTGGACTGTCCTCTTCGACCGATCAGGCGGGTTTTCTTGGGACCGATACCTGCCACCATCTCGGCAGGCCCCTTCAGTGTAGCTTTGCGGAAGTGACCAATTCGCAATGTCATGGAGTTTTTCATGCTAGGTAGAATTCGCAATGTATGATACACCAGACATCGCTAGCACGACATTAATAGCAACCGTCAAACTGTAGTACTTACATTATGAACATGGCAAAGGCATACAAATAGTTAACCGTCATTGAAGGAAGGGAAAGTACACATTGCGTAGTTGATCACGATTTAAGCGTTCCGATGTGGGAATCGTCGGGGAGGCATATATCTATGCCGTATCTTCTGTAGCCGTCGTCGTTTGTCCACCAGCCTAAACGTACCCAGTAACCCGTGAGAAGTTTCTCCAAATCTGTACGATTTAGTGACTGCGCCGCGCCGTCTTGGAGAGACCGTAGGGATGAGAACCGGCTGCCGGCAAGGAGGCTCATACGGGCTGCGATAGAGAATGGCGGGGATGGAATGAACGACGTGGAAGGAATGGTAACCGATACGACTATGACAGCCAGAAGGGCTGCGCCGAGTAAGCCCTCCAAGGCCCGTGTTGGGCCTTCGTCCATCATAATCCGAGTCTGCGAATACGTGTAGGTGCCAAGCACCTTGCGAGCGGGATCCGTCGCATTGAACGGCACGCGTAGGGACTGGCTAGCGAAAAGCGCCCAATACGTGCGCCAAGCGCTCTTGGTCCAGTTGGTGAAAGTATCGATGTCCCACTCTGATAAAGGCACGTCGGAGTGCTTGGCTTGCATCATCTCCATCCAAAACGATTGGCCGAACGAGTTATTCCCAGGAGACGGCACGAAGTCGATCGCGCTGAGATTTCCGAGACTGCTCAATTCAGGCATGTAGCTTTGAAAAGTGTCCACATTCGTCTGATTTTGTTGGTCGGACAAGCTGAGGATTTCGAAGGAAGAGTTCGACACGGATATATGGGCCAGCATGCTCGAGCTGTAATGTTTTCGATCACTTGTTATAAGTGAAATCACAGGAAAACTGACCTCGTCATGCTGTAATTGCAACCCAGCACATACGAATCCAGTTCGCGACTGGAACCATTGTTGGGGGCGGATGCTTCCCCGAAAATCCACATCTCCTGCCAGCAAGTTGCGACATCGTCACCGAAGTAGCCAGCTCCGTCAGGAAGCTCGATCGTCGTGGAGCACGCATCCCCAAATTCAGGGAAGTCAATCTGGACCCACTGGTCCGAAATTTGACTGAAGGTATAAGTCAGGTTTCGGCAGTTGAAAAGATCGGCCTCCAGCACGGGAACCCGCAGGTAAACCTCCGAACCGCCTGACAATGACATGGCCGCGGATAGATCAACATCTCCGATCGCGTAGTCGGAGGTCGTCCAGTTGGGATAGGCCATTCCGTACGAGTCGATCTCGGTCAGAGCGAGGAGCATGTCGTTCGCATAATACAGGTAAAGTCCTTCCGAATCCACAGCAAAGTCGAATGCCGTATTGAAAGAGGAGTTGACCTCGAAGGTCATGGGAGCGGTATGAGTCACTGTGTCCGTAACGAAGATGCCGGCGACTAAGATCTTCGCGGCTTGAACGAAGATGAGTGCGAGTGTTCCGATTGCCACCGATCGTTCGCCTTGACGCAACGCGGTCCATGTTATCGTGGCCGGTCCATGGTGGATCAGGTCTTGTGCCAAAGTGCGTGCGGATTGTGGACGTTTGTGCAGGCTTGCATACTGAGCGACGGCACGGGTGTTAAAGTCCAAGGCGCCGATCGCCGCGCCAATGACGAGAAGTACCACGGGAGAGATGTAAGACCAGAAGTATCGATTCGAGCGATCGCGGGAGTCGTAGTCAGCTAGGCCGTGATGCTTTCGGTCACGTCGTAACAGGATTTCCAGTGCTGCTATTGTTGCCACCAACAGGCAAACGATAACGGCCTTGACCAGTGGGTGTAGAATAACCGGTTTCCAGAATGTCGGTTCTCGATCACACTCTATCACCTCGTCCTGTAAAGCTATTAGATGCCGGATGACTTTGAGAGACGGATAGACAAACCGAAGTAGGAAACGAGTCTGTCGTAACGCCGTACCGGCCATCCACCTCCCGTGCCCTGAAGGAAGCTTGCTTCAACTCTTCGGTCATACGCTTCTCACTGGCGGAACCAAGAGGGAGAAGTAGGCGAGCCAAGGCGGAGTCCGCAGTCACGATAGTTGCCAATGAAGCAAGGGATGCCGGATCGCTCGGGAGGCGCGTTTTGGGCCGAATGAAGCTGAGCGTTGTAGCAGCGATCGCAAGGAAAGCCAATGCGCCCTGGAGGATTCGAAAGGAGGCATCCAAAGCGACAATACGCCGAGCTTGTACCCGTGCCTGTCCCTGCATGTTATTCTGGGCGGAGACGAGATACGTCACGGGAGCGACATAGGGAAAGATGTCCTCGAAGGTTCGCGTCGATGCGGACGCGAGCTTGACCGAATCGAGCATGTCTTCGTACGAGAGCTCGCCGATGAACTTGATAAGATGCATCCAGGACGACATGTCATCGGTATCCGTGGTGTTGACCCCCGCTTGCGAGTGCCATGGCCACATTGCGAGGCCATTAGACGGGATCGTGGAGTCCAGCCAACCGATGAGCAGGGAACCGTTAGTCGGGGAGACCTCCGTTCCCCTATCTAAGGCTGCTGGCGCCGGGTCGTTCATGAACGATCCACTACTTGCGTTGACAGAAGCGCTGACAATGTGTTTCGTGAACGTCGGGCGACATACTGTCGCTGATCCAGCGAGGAATGACGTGTCGTTGTACTTGACGGTCGTGATAATGTTGGACACGTTCCCCGCACAGGGCATCTCTACGACTTGCCCGTAGTACACTACATCTGTGAGATATTGGTGTTCAGTCCCGCATCTATCTGCCGCACTGCGTTACTTACCCTGATCTTGAGTCGTGCCCCCACATCCGCCATTATCGCCCTCCAACAAACAGCTCGTCACGTTCATCAACCGATCGCAGCCACCGTACGAGAGCTTGACTTGCATGGCGGCGAAAGTGTCCGTGATTTCAGGAATTTCAGGGTCGTCGACCACAGTCCATTGATACATGCCAGCGTCCGAGACGGAGACCTCCTCACATGATAGCGAAGCGCTGAAAGCGTCCGTCTGGCCTAGGACTTGGGTGCTCTCGCCATTGAGTACCGCTTCCGAGGCGAAAGGAGTGATCGCCCACTGAGCCGTGGTCCAGTCCGGATAGGGTAGAGAGTACGTGATCCCGGCCAAATATTTGTACAGGAAGGCAAGGTCGTCCAGAGTTCCGTTGAAGGTGGCGAGATCGTACTTGGACGACTGCGTCAACCGAACGTTATCGAAAGTGGACGTCTTCGTCTCAATCGTCCAAAGCGACGCGGCGGCTACGTTCGCAACGATGACCAGCAGCGAGCCGATCGCGGCGAGGAGGATGGACCAATGTCGTTTGCGCACCGCCTGGACCATAGCCGACGCTGGGTTCTTCCCCACGTAGTCGAGCAGGAGCGAGTCCGAAGCGGGACAGGAGCGACCCTCCATGGCGGCCCAAGGGACGAGCTTCTTGATTTCGACATCGTACGACTTCCACAGCCAGCCGAACAGGACGGTGAGGACGACGGGGACGTATGTCATGGAGCCATGGATCGAGGTTGAGGGAATCGTGAATCCGTCGCGAGCACGGGAGAGTCGGATCAAGGCTTCCAAGGCTCCTATCGATGCGAGGAGGGAGAGAACGAAGATGATGATCGTTGCGGGCCGCAGGATCCATGGCGTCCACGGGGATCGTGCAATGAAACTTCTTCGACTCGACGCGGTGTCTAAAGGAAGGAACGAGGGCAATATCGAGAGTGCGTTTTCTTCCTGACCTTTCTCGTTGTAATCGCCGGTACCGGCCAACGGCGAGGCCGGAGGCCTATTGGGGACGAAGGATAGGAGCGGGAGCCCTTCAGCTGCGCGCGAACCGTATGAGTCCACCAATGCGTGTTACAAGTGCCAGCATTGACTCACCTCGCGATGGCGACGACTGATGATGAGGTTCCATGGACGCCGGACTCGACGGTGGGGGAGGGGGGGAAGCTCGCGCGGTCAGGCGGACGCGCGCAAAGGAAATAATGTTCAGATGCAGAGAGCAGGTGCTCTTTCATCCCAGACGGTCGTGAGCGATGCATTTATGTAGTGCGATCAGGCACCGGCCGACAATAGGCGCGCGTTTGCGTGCAGTTGATATGTGGTGGCTACCGCCTCTCGGGCTCGGGCTGGCTCGGGTGTGGGCTCCGGCTCTCGAGCTCATCGCCACAAAATTCACTACTGTCAGACCGGATAGGACGTTAGATTATTCGAATCATACACGTAGGTTAGCATCACCTTTGCATAGCATATCATAGCACCTGGACCGCCCTCGCCTACCTTGTACAATTTCATGTCCAGTTGAATGATGGTGATGGGATAGGGCGGTGTAAAGTAGCTAGCTTATGTAATGCTATGCTACGACGCGACTTGGCCGAAACAGAACAGAACCGAGTGATATTGAGCAAAAGAGATACGGTACATGGTAGAGTAGCGGGCGTTTATATGCCTACGCCTCGTAGTAATGTGATTTGGGCGCCATATGGTGTTGAGGCGCCATCGTTGTCGTTGTAAGTGACCGCATCCAATGGGATGCGGTATTTGGTCTATTGCATCATGCCGCCTCGCGGCGGCTTACAAAGCGTATACGGTACTACTATACTACCGTTACACCCTCCCCCCCTCTAGGGAAAGAGATTGTTAGTAGTTAGCAAGTCGCAGCGTCGATGGACTTACTGCGACTCGAAGGCCTGTCAATGGACACAGCCCTCGTGCTTCGATTCTCACGCCACAGCGGGTCCGGTGTAGTCGGCGAGCCACTGTATAGCGAATGCGCGGAGGGGACCCTCCGCCATTTCATGCTGGAGTCCGCATATCGCCGCGTGCTTCAGGAAATCATTGATTTCCACGTTTTTGGCATGGGGGTAGGGCGACGGCGCCCACATTTCCGAAATGGTGCCTCCCAGGGACATGACCGTCCCACGATATTCTTCGGCATGCTCGGCGAAATACCGGCAAATCACGTGATTTGCCACATTGCGGGTGCGACGGGACTCCTCCTTCGTTCCCGGGCGGGCAGGCCCGATTTGTTTGAAAATTAGCCAGCCTTGCAGCTGGGCCTGGTCGGGCTGGTTGCCTTCGAATCTGATCCCATGTGGGCGGCGAAACACATTCTGCCCTAGGAACTGAGCCCAGGCGTCTACGTCGGAGAGCGGTGGGTCAGTCGGCCGTTCGGCCTTCTCCGACTTCTCGCGCAGCTGAGCACGCTTCTTTTTGTCAATGAAGACAGCTTGTTGGAACCAATCGGGATCCTTCCAACCGTCGGCAAAGGCCTTCTGGTTCTTTGTGGTGTGCATGCCCAGCCCTTTGATCAGGGTTACGTAATGCTTGGCGAGAAACACGTGAACCACGCGTATTCGCGTTTCGCACTCTCGGTCAGCCGATCGTAGAA